AAATATTAGGAGAAACAGCTGGCCATCAGAGAAAGTCTAAATGGGTTTATTAATTTCCATAAATAAGCACATTTGTGTCACCATATCCTGGGATGTTCTCCAAGCACCCCAGGAAAAGGAAAGATTCTGCCCACAATCATTGATTCTTTTACCCCAAATCAACCCTCTAGTGCATTTAAATCCCCTGATCCTACTTTAAAAAGATTAAGCATCACATCGAGAAACAAAAAAGTTCATGTAACATTCAAGAGTAGGGGAGGACAGAGCACTACCTAACGGGGTAAAATGTAACACCATTTTTTTTTTAATGTAGTTTAACAGGTTCAGCTAGTACATGCTTTTGGTCATCTTCTTGCTTTCCTATAACATTGTCATCTGTAAATTTTCACAGCAATGACACATGTATTTCTCCAAGATTCACCATGAAGACTTGAAAGTAACTTTGGTTATCGTAAATCTTTCTCGATTACTGGGTTGTGCTTATATGTCACGGAATTCACTTGTATGTTATTTTAATCATCCTCTTGGTGGCTGTAATGCAGTATGGTTTGAAGCATATAACCAACTCACAACAAAGGCTAGCCAATCGAAAGGACAGCCTCAACACAGAGGTAAAAAACTCCATATTCCCTCATATAAATTCAAAACAGTTTTCTAAAACTTTTCATTCACAGATTCATCAAAATGTACTGTAGATGTCACTTAGTGATACTTTGTTGCAATGCATTTTCCAGTGTTTCACACAGTGTTTGACCACAGCCTCTTTCACAAATAACATTTATTTTGATGCACATATTTTTACGTATTTAGGTGAAAAGCTTGTCTGGTTTAAACAACATAGAATTGTATTGACTTGTGTATTGATTGTGTATAATCAAATTTACCAGACATTTATAGCAATATATTTACAACCAATCCCTCAGTTACAATTAACTCTACCTATGGGGTAAGATATAATGTTTCTGCTCATGCCGCTTTCAACTGAATTGTTCATTAATGATATGTGCTCAAAAATATACATTTGCATTTGTAGCAGAGATGGGAAGGTTCTTTGTATACAAAAAAATATTAATCTTGCTCAAATTTTTGGCTCGGCCAATTTTGTGTGATTTCATTGTTCACTTACCTGTTTACTCTACTCTTTTCTTATATCGAAACATAACGCTGTGGGCAGGTCAAGAGACCCCAGAGACTCATTGAATTGTACAATCATTGCTTTTCGCATTAGTGCTTGTGGCATTTATTTACTTCATGACATTGCACTGTAGAGACTTTTATTAGATTTAAATTATGCTTATATATGCACTTTAAATGTGACAGTGAATTGTGTCAACATGTCAAACTGTACACCTGAGTAAGATGCATGTTGTGTAATATGCAAGGTTGAGTCACTGAATTGCTTTACCCCCTTAGTGTTTTTTACCTGGTGTGTGATAGAAATCAACATTTTATATGCTGATAGGTTGGTTCTGGACAAAAATCATCACAATGTATCACTATATTGTTCTTAGGAGTTGAAACACACTCTGTAGGTCTTTTGGGGAGCTGTAAGTGTTTCCCGTACATAATGCTTATAGCTTTAATTTATTATTAGCAACATTTAATGCTTTGTGTAACTGGTTCTAGATCATTATATAAAGGATGATTTTGTTTTCTGTGACAAATTGACAGTGGTGGAGGTTGCCCATTTATATTGATCTGGGACCAATTTTGCTGTTTGGAAACTGGTCCAACATTATCTTAAAAGGGCAGTGAGTACCTGTGGCAATACTGACATAATGGACATAAAAACTCAGAAGGAGATGTCCCTCTTGTGGAGGGACAATACCATTACTGTGCATCTTAAAACAGATGACTCAGCGACAACAAAAGAAATGCATTGCAGTACCAGGAGCACTTTGATAATGAAAAAGCTCTGTCTAATGCACTATGAAGATGTTTTATAGTATTGGTGATGCATATGTTAATGTATCCTGCCTAAATACATGTAGGCCAGCATACAATGACATACTAATGGAAATGAATTAGATGGATTATTTGCTGGGAAAATAGGCAAAGAAACATTTCCCTAAATTAGGAGTAGTAATATTAGGCAATATTGTTTTCACTATAGCCTACAATATAATTTCTGTGATTCTGTGAGTTCTGTGATATGTTTAGTTTAGTGCAAATGTGTTTTTATTTTGTAGGTTGACTATGTATGTGTTGCATTGTATTTGCAATAGTGACCAGTTTCCTTAGCTATAAGAAAGATTGCATGTGGTCCATAAATTAGTATTGTCTGTTGTGTGTATGTTTTGAAAGGGGTAGTATGCAAGAAGCTGTGTGCTTCCTACAGATTTCTTTAAATCTGCGTATAATTGAATTGTTGGTTAATGGTGAAACAGTGATTAAAAAAACACATTTATTTGGGTACTACTTTGCCTTAGAACACCCTGCATGTACCTCTCTGCCATTAATGAATTTTAAAAAATCCCATCCCCAAGACATTTTATCCCTAAACCTTATCTCAAAGAAAATCAAGAATGTTCATAACCATTTCATGTAACCACTTTCTATGATATAGCCTTTAGAGGTATTATACACTGTGTTTACACATTTGTTTGTATTTTATCCATTTAATTATGCAGAAGCTGAACATTATTTAAGATTGAAAACACACGTTTATACTACTAACTCGGTGATATCATTAGAACATAAAAAATGCATCTCCTTCATTTTGACCTGCTGCTGTTGTGCATTAGTAATTCATGAGTTAAGGGGTGGAGTCTAGAGAGTAAGATTAGGGAGGGAGCAGTATTGTCTTTGTCCCTGTCCTCTGTGTATATGTATGTTTGTATTTGTATGTTTGCAGGCTGAGATGGGTTAACAGAATGTTGACACTTGGCAAGCACTTTAGTGTGACATTTTAACTTAGTGTGAGGTTTATTCGCACTCTGAAATAATCAAGCCACAATACAGTAGTACTTTAGTCTGCGACAGAACAGGTGTAGCCTTCAATAGCCTTTGTGTATGTGTGTGAGTGTGTGTGTGTGTGTGAGAGAGAGAGAGAGAGAGAGAGAGAGAGAGAGAGAATGAGAGAGAAGGAGTTGCAAAGGGAAGCAAAAAGGAGGGTATAGACAACATGGTGGGCTGGGGCTCACCAGCTGCTCCCTGGGCCTGACTCCATCCTCTTTGTTTTCACTCATTGCCAGAGTGCCTGTCTAGTCAGTAATTACAGACCTCTTTAGCATAGTCAAAAGCATGCACTCTTATCCTTTAGTGAAACTGTCCAAAACGTGTGTTCTCTAATTTTGTGTCAGTAAAGAAAGGATTCAAATGATCCTGCCTGTACCCTTCCCCTGTTCCATAATGAATGAATATTTGCCACATCTGATACAATGAGTGAAACAACCATTTAAAGAAGACAATTTTCTACCAAACAGAAGTGGCATTTTGCAAGGTTTATATGTCTGTGCACTCTGTCTACAGGCTAACACTTTTTTTTGGATAATAAAGATATCATTTAAAGAATGAGTATACTTTACCTCTTTACTGTGGCAATTTTAATTGTTCACCTTGGACCTGTTGCCCCAACTTGATTTATAAAACAATTTTATTTCTACAAGCAAGTGCATTACTTCTTCTAAGCCTCTCTAATGCCAGTTTAGTAACATTTCCAGCCACAATAAATAAAATTTTGAAAGAAATCCTGGTGTGACATTTAATGGCTGGAAGGATAAGTAACCTTGGAGTGTGTTAAACCCACAGTATCCTGTAATAGTGCAATTTTTTATCCTGTATTTTCTGCAACTGCCCTTTTTCCCCTTTTTCTTTTCAACACATTTCTGTTAGCCATGTAAGTTTGCTAATCTTTCTGTGTTATTTACTAAAATATTATGCACTTTATGATACAAAAATGGACAAAAATGTGCCCATGTAGAAACAGGGTCACTCTGATGTTTGTGTGTGTGTGTGTGTGTATGTGTGTGTGTATCACCTAAATTTAGCTGTTTAGTGTTCACCCTAAGTTTATTACTGAAGCAGAGCTGTATGTAAACGTTTTAAGCAAGTAGCATTAATGCTAGGAATGTTGCAAGCGGTGTAACACAAATTACACTGTGGTAGCACTGTGATAAAATGACATAATAATAATTCTAAAAAGTATTAATCTCAGTAGTTTAACTGTTGAGTACCATTTTGAAATTTTGAAAATGTTCAATCTGTGAAATGTACAGATCATTTATTTTCTCCACAATAATTCAGATTGCCGATAAGGGGGCACTGTTAGGAATCAAGTAGCGTTTTTGTGCATCATGGAAAGAGAAGAAACATGCATGAACCCACCTGCAGGGGCTTGTAGATGTCAAGAAAAGAAGCTAAACAGTTCATTACTAAACGTTAATCAGTTAATTCTGTAGGCTAAAGACAATGTATGTAATGAGCGAACAGTTCACTGACAATTAACTACAACTTCCATGAGAAATGGGTCTTTACAGATGATTTGAATGGAGATGCGCACACTAAGAGCACGCTGCGACTGTGATCTTTTTCTTATAGACCGCTGTAGTCGTGCGTCATTCTGTAGTCCTCGCTATGCCCATACTAGGAACTCTGGGTCTAAGCTTCATTTCTCTATGGCCAGAATGAATAGGGCTTTCGAAAAACCGACTCTATCGCACCTTATGTTAAATAAAACTGTTCAGAACCCGATACGTTTTGTCCTGTGTACATTTTTCTCCCGAATGCTACTGCGCACTGAATTTACGTCATTAGACTGGCAACCTCCTTAATAGGTTTTGGCAGTGAACATTTTCATGTACAAACTAACGAACTGGGCCGTTTTGAGGGGTCGGAGTTCGTTTGGCCTGTTGACATACGCACAGAAAACCATGACTCGGCGGTCTGAGTCTACTTCAGACACTGAAACGGTCCAAGTGTGAAAACGCCCTAAAAGACGCAGCATCAGCGCGCCCTCTGCTGGAAGGAAAGCCGCAGCACAGTGAGGGAGGAGTCCAACAGGCTCGCGCTGTCCTCGCCAGCACGCGCTCCGCCAAACACCGTCCGCTTTCCCCGTATTCACATCAGCTGCATCGCGAGCACGGAGAGACGCAGGAATCACAAACCCTCCAGAGTAACAACCAGAACGTCAACAGCGCCTATACAATGTCTTACCAAGGCAAAAAGAATATTCCGAAGATCACAGTAAGTGAACAGTAGCTGTTTGTTGTCTGTGAAATACTCTTTTGCAAGGCGCCTCTTTTGTTGTCTTAATTTTGCGAAAACCCTAAAAAGAGCCGCAGAACGGTTTCTCAGTCCTCGCCATGAAAAAGCTTTTGTTGGATAAAACTGCAGCAGGCGGCGGCACGACTGGCTCCCATAATAACAGTGCGAGAAGCAAAGGAAGGCGTTTTCTTAAAGCTAAATCGCAGCTTCTATGCTCGTTTCATGATGCTCTTAGTAATACACATTGGGCTTCCATCGGTTTATGGTTAAGTTTCAAGCCGTCCTCCCTGTTGTGTCTCTCTTGAGAAAGGAAATTACGTAGCGTACACAAATAAGAAAAAGCATTCAGAATTCACATAGTATCATGAACAAACCAGTTACAGCATTTTGACTATGGCGTATAATGGCCCTTTATCCACAAGCTACCGCCCTCCGCAAGTAAACCGTTAGGCTGAATCGCCTCTGGACTGCAGCAAAAGAAAAACACGCCCATTAAGGATCAGCGCTGATAATAAAAGGCAGGTATTTGTCTGCTACAAAGATGCAAGGCAGCTTACATACATGTTTCCTGCTACAGAAAATTTGATTAGACCCTTAAAGGGATCAAAGTAATTTTCAGTAAGCTGGCTTGCTATCATTATTTTATAACTGTTGCAGTTGGGCTCTTTGTCCTTTCCTGCACCCTGCAAATGGCTGTTAGGCTGCTGGGATTTGGTCTGGTGCAAAGGTGGTAGAGTCTGACAATGTACACAGTGTTGTGAATTATAATTATAATAGACAGGTTGTCCATTATAATTACAACTTCTACCAAAACAGTATTTTTAAGGATACTGCACAATCATACGGGACTTCAAGCTTTCAAGTAGCTGCATGTTTAAATAGCAGGGTCCTGCTGTCTAGTCACACTGCTGGGTTTTCACTTGTCATGCATCAGCTTTTGTGTGCATGTGAAGGAAGACAGAATGGGGTCTGGTCAGATTTTTCTAGGTGTGGTTTGCTTTTTTTTCCGTCTCCTCACTCACGGCAGCCCGGTATTGTGTGCAGTGCACATGTCATCAGTAATTTTCTCCAAACATCCATGTGGGTAAAAGTGACGGGACCTACCAGACAGGACGAAGCCTTTTTGCCCATGTTGGCACTCATGGCATGTGAGACAGCTAGCTGTGACTACCACCCCTACCACCATTTATTCACCATGGCGACAAAATGGTAAAGACGAAAATACAAGGGTGGGTGGATGCACCGTTCTGAAGTCATTCCCTAATCATTATCAGGAACAACCCAGGAGCTTTAGTTACCATAGCAACCTCATTGGCCTTGTTGAAAAAAAAAAAAAGAGATTTGTCCATTTATTGTACCAGGCAAGTGCAACTTATTAAGATTGGTAAGTTCCAGTGTTTTGACCATTCTGCTCGCAAAAAAAGTGCGAAGTGCTTGTGAGTATATGGTAAATATTTTGGTCACTAAGCAACAAGGTTGGAGCACTGTTGCTTTTCTTCCATCCCACCCCAACTCACTAAGCAGGGCTCGCACAGTTAATAGTACACTCCATAATGTCCTCTTGGCTCAGCACTCTTTGGCTTTTTTTGCTCTCCAGTCGCAACACAAACGACAGCACTGTTCACATCCAAAACAGATCTCACATCCAAAACAGTATTTCTGCAATTATAATATATATACATATACATGTTTTACATTAAGTCCTCTTTTCAAACAATTTCAGATGGAATCCATCCTTAAATTTCCACGCACAGTCATTTAATGTAATCTTCAACTATTGTGTATTTAGATCTGTCTGCACAATCTTCTATGTAAGCAGTTAAGTAAATCCATAAAGACTTATGCTTTTAGTGTAGGACTGCTGTTTCTGTACCAGTAGCTTGTTCTGTGCTCAAGACCAATCATTCAATTCCTTTAAGATCTGTGCCCTTATCACAGTGCTTTTATCCAGGACATGCTAAAAATAAATCTACACTACCACCAAAATCCAAGAAACATGCTTCACAGCAGCAGAATTTTAGTCAAGATATATTTTTAGAAATTGCACATTTTCGCAAACGTGGCTGTATGTATACAGAAGAATACATTTGGTGAGATGACAAAAATCAAGTCAAGTCAAGAGGCTTTTCTTGTCATTCCATCTATGTACAAGTACACAGCGGAGTGAAATTATGTTTCTCCAGGAACAAGGTGCAACAAGGAACAAAAAATACAAAGTACAAAAATGAGAAAAATTCAATAATAGAAGATGTCATTAATGTTCTCAAATGAACAAAGGGTATATGAATGGTTTAAAAATGATTTGTTAATGTTATTAGTAAGTTTATACACACCTTTAAATCATTAATAAGCAGTCACAACACAAAAATAAAAAGTGAAACTGACCTGTTTGCCTAATAGAACACACATTTGTCTATGCTGCGAAAGCTCAGATGTTGCTGGTTACTGATCTTACTTTGTCTTTTTCATCAGTCAGCGTTAAACTGGTCAGCTTCTTCTCATTCATGTTCATCAGATATAAAAACTCACTTTTTCCCTTTTTGTTTTTGTGTTATAACTGTTTATTCAGGATTTTTAAGGTGTTTATGATCTAATTAATAATCATTAATGAACTAATTTTAAACCATTCATAAACCTTTTAGAAGGGTAGTCTTAAGATGGTACCGCTTAATTGGCCGATGAAAATTTTTTTGGCTGGTTTTTATTATCTTTTACAAGAATCTTTCATGTGTATGTGAAGGCTAAATGAACACATGAACACATAAGAAAAGGCACATTCAAGTAGCCACAGCTACAATGTACATAACATTATTTTATCTTTAGTCTTTATAGATGTTAAATTCTTACAAGAAAAATCCGTTGTCAATGTAAAATTGCATTATGTAAGATTTGTTCAAACTGAAAGAAGTAGCATGACTGAGTCATGCTAAAATATGGTGTCCATGCACTGCTGTGAGAATGAAATAATAGTTTGAGTCAGAGGTGTTGTGTTTTACAGTTATCTGGACCACATCATACATCTTTACGTATTAATGTCACATGCAAGCGATTAAAACGATGGTCCTGCTCTATGTTTGTCTCAAATACCAAATAAGCGTTTACTGATGATGATATGATGACAATAGTAGGTAATTCACTTACTGCCTTGTAAGACACATTCCATTTGAAAACTCTTTTAACATGTTCACAATAGTCAGATTCATCCTCTTGGGGAAGGGGTCCCAAGCATAATCAGCATTACAAAATATTCTTCATCCACCAGAGATGGTGTCTTAAGTTTTCAAATCTCCAAAACTGACATAACGTAGCTTTAAATAATATTAATCAAGTGAAGTGTTAAGAAGCATTTAGCAAAATTACTTATGCGTAACTGTGCTACAACGTTTTGGTATAGGTGTAGCAACAGCCTTCAAATACAGCGCAAACAAGTTTAAACTCCTGCCTCATGGTATTTGCCTTAAACTGCAATGTAGATCAAAATCAGAATAATAAACTGGCTGATTGCGGATCACAAGTGTGAGGCATTTATCTGCTGATTCAAATCTTAGCTGATTCTGAGCATGTATCTCTACTTTTAAATGAGCTATTTTTAATTGAAGCACTTTGGTTCAGTAGTCTGTCATGTTCAAATTATGCTGCTACGACAGAGAAAGAAATGCAAAGTTAACAATATGACATCACACAATGTGAGTATGTGATATTCCAGGGAGGATTTTTTACAGGATTTGATCAGATTCATTCTTTTTTCTCCTCCAATATCTGATCCAGCAGTTTTGCTGACATTGGCCTGTTACTGTACCCAGTATCGGACTGGGTATCTGTAGATGATATTAATTAAGTAATTATTACTATCTGCTGATATCCTTTTCACAAGTCTGACATGCAGAAAGTCAGTAAAAGGAATTTTTTGTCCATGTCTGAGAACTTTCCCCCCATGCTGCTTTCCTGTTTTCCTGTGCTTCGTCAATGTGGAAAACAGACCCTCTCCTCGATTACAGCAAGACCTCCTCAAAGATGAGCTCACGATCTTTAGTGTCCCTTGAGAAATAGTTTCTTGTTTATCCCTCCCATATTACATAAACTACTGGAAAACTTTGGCTCAAAAATAAAATCAAGTCTCTACAGGTTGCTCCTTGTAGTGATAAAGGAGTAGTTTGCCCAAAAAGGCTGTTGTGGTTAACAGTGAATTAAGCAAGCATGTGCTAATGTAAAAATTTGTATTGTGGTAATCACCTTTATTTCTGTCACAGTTTTAAAATATTGGCACAAAGTGTTATTTTTTCTGTTGCTTATATGTCAACATACATTCCAAAAAGTTAGAATTAGCTAAATAGCTAACAAATAAACAAGCCTTACTCAGCGCTGCCCTCTAAACATTAGAGCACCAAGTTAAAAGTTAGAACTTTTGTTTTCATAAGACCCATAAAGTCTTAATAAATGCATTTGCTTCTTTCTTTGATTTACATTTATTTGCCTTAATCCAAACATATCCTGACTGAGAAGTCTTATGACTGTGGAAAATTATTGCAGTCAGCTTAAATAATTGTGAACATCTGAAATAATTGCGATCAGGCGATTGTATAAGAATTGTGGCAGACGTAACTGCAACCTTTTCTGATAGCTGTGGAAATGATCCAACATAAAGTGAAGAATAGGATACACCCATTATTTTTTTTTTTTCTTGCATCAGTTGCACATAACAGTGTTTAATATGGGAGCCTGTACTATAGAATGTGATAATGCTAATTTCTGTTAGCCTGCCAATGACTTCTCTAATGTTTAATTAGCATCAAGCTAAGGGGGTCAATACTACACAACTCCAGCCCAAGCTTGGCTACTCAAGGAGTTGAAGCTTGAAACAGGCATTCAAGATTGTCTGCTTCGTATGTTGCGGTTTACAGTGAATTAATTAGTAAACTTGAACTAAAATCAGAAGTCCCTGGAATAAATTAGCAGTTTAGCCTTATAGGGGTTTACAAACATAGTAAACAGAACTATGTTTGTATACAGGGTATCTTTGCTATTGTTTCAGGCTTGTTCTTCATATGAAAGAAATTTGTGAGTGCAAACATACATGTACTCATGAGATCTTCTAACTGGATAAGACATGAGAATATCTGGGGAAACAGCAACTTGTTTGACTAAAATGCAGTGACAATATTTTTATGCCATGCATAATATCACAGTATATCAAATTACATGTCTAGAATGAAAATACTCGTCATCACCCAAAAGATTTGCATACGAAAGCTAATTAGTCTCTACCAACTTTTACTTGTTATTGGCAACCTTAGCATTTTAGTGAACTGTCACTTTAACAGGATATTCATGTCAAAGAGACTAGACAAGAGCTTGTTTCTGTGCCATAAAACTTATTTCAGGAGTGGTCAGTCTGTTGATTTCAAACTCTAGCCAGATGGCTGACAAAAATCAGTGGCTGTCCTGATGTTTTGGCATAAACAGCTCAAGCACCGTGACGATAATTTTCAGATTGGACCATGATTGAGCTAAAAATGTTACCCTGAGCTCTTGAAATTGTACAATGACACATCACTGTTTTCCTCACTTTTATGCATGGAGTTTACTTTGTTTAGCCTTTATTTGGGCACTGATCCATGGTGAGGTGCATGCTTTGTTAATGAAATGCCGATAATGTTAAATTGAAGCCTTTCACGTTCAATTTAACTTATTGCTATGTGCATAGAGCTGTGTTTAGATATATGTGCATCCAGGCCTCAGATATATGCTATATCCTCATACAAAATATTTTTCTAATGCTTGTAGCCATCATTCAGCAGTGTACAGACTATAGTTTTTTTCTGATAACTCTGTGTGAATCCACTTTGTTCCTGAGTTGACCTTTGGATAATCAGAGATTTGCATTGTATTTTTACAGCAGGAAACCTTGTCCTCATTAAAGGGCTTATTTTTTGGGGCTGCATGGTACAAATGCAGTTGTATGGATTGTTGTTTAGTATGATGATGTGAGATGTGGTGAATTACAATTAAAATATGTAAAAAAAACATTTTCAATTGTTTTTTTCTTCTCTTTGGTTTAATGCTAATTGCTAATGTTATTTGATTTTTATAGCCAAAAATGCAAACCAATATGGGGACTTTTTCAAAAGATTTTAGATAGATAGATAGATAGAATGATAGATAGATTGATAGACAGACAGACAGACAGACAGAGAGATAGATAGATGCATAGATAGATAGATACTTTATTGAACCTGAAGGAAATTTGGCAGCCTGTAGCAGTCACACAACACAGTCTGTGACTGCTACTGGCTGCACAGTGTGTGCAGCCTGAGTATTTACTCTAAGTCGTTTACAACATTAGAAATCTATTTAAATTCATAACATTTAATATTATTGGTTTCTTTGGTCTGTTGCACCATGAACAGCTGAAGCTGCTACAGAGAACCCTGTGAGTTGAACTCTGACGCACTGTAACCTGACACCAATCCCCTCCCCTTCCTTCTCCCTCTCCTCTCTACACACGCACACACACATTTGTGTTTTGAAGCTGTTTTAAGCATTTGTGTCTTTTTCTGGTCTGGATTACTTGCAGACATTTTGCCACACGAAAATCAATCAATCAATCAACCTTTATTTAATCTCGGAGAACATTGAGGGTGACCCTCATTTACAATGTTGCCAAGGTGATACAGAACAAGGGATTGATAATGTGTAAGAAAATACCAAATAATAAAAGTAAATTTAATAAAAAAAAGACTCAAATCAGGTAAGTGTAAAAAAAATGAAACATTAATAATAAAAATACATAAAAATACAAAAAAAAATATAAAACAATAATTAAAACGTAGCTAAAATGTAAAAGTTAATAAAATCAAATCAAAGTAAAATAAAAGGAGATCAAAGGGTTAACAGTGGCATAGTTGTTTGCCTGTTCTTGTGGATTTCCTTTGTCGCTGTCTGTGCTATGTGACAGTAATGTAATTTGAGTGCTATTATTTCTAACCAACAAGGTCAACTTTGGCTTACAGGAATCTTAATACCAGTTATCATCTTTAGAAGTTTCCATACCTCTGTCCAAAATATTTCACTGTAAGATCAGGACCAAAACATGAAAAAGAGAACCTATTTCTATCTTACATCTAGGGCAAAATTTAGAATGCATCTTATTAAGCCTCTCAGGGGTGTAGTATGTTCTGTGGAGTAAGTTAAATTGAGTGAGTTTGTGTCTACCGATAAAGTGTATCTGGCCTATTTTGCAAATATTTTATCACTCCCCTTTTTCATAAGTGTAATTTAAATCTTGCTCCCACTCTGTCTTGATTGCCAGTGTTTTTTATTGATTCTGTAATATCTTGTACATAAAAGGAATAAAACCTTTTGTGTGCTGTCTTTGAAACAGTTTAACATCCAATTCTACAGGCACCAAAGGCACTAGTCGCCCCTTTTTTGTTCCCTTATGTAGTTTCTAACCTGTAAGTATTTAAAAACTGTTTGTCATGCAAGTAAAATGTTTGCTTTGTTTGATTATATGTAATTAGTACACTGTCTTTATACAAGTGACCAAAGATATGTATTCCTTTCCTGTGCCGTAACTGTGTGATGCTATCTTCTAGGGTTACTATAAAATGGTGTGGCTTGATAGATACATCTCTGATTTTTTTTTTATGGATCTCCATTTATAGCTCACAGGTGAGTTTGATATGCGGATTACTGGCATATTTATGAGTATGATATTGAGGGATATAGGGTGAACTAGGTAGGGGTGTATCTACTACAAAATACTGCTCCAATTGCAGCCAGGCAGGGGGATTTTGAAGATCTGCCTGCCAGGTCCAAATCATCATGGACTGAGCAGCCTAGTAATACATTTGAACATCAAGTAGGTGGAGTCCCCTTTTCATTTAAAGGTGAACATAGCACCTTAAGTTAAACTTTGTTTTATTGTCCCATAAAAAAACTAATAAACTATTAACTAGTAAAATGGGTAGATGTTTCCATCTTTCCAGCTCCTATTCTTTATTTTTATTAGTAAAGGGATATAACTAAGGTAAAAAGGTACAATTTAGTTCATTAGTTATGTGTATGCTCAAGTATGTGAGAAACTAATGGCTCCAGGTAAAAGGAATTTTTTTAAAAGGTATGTTGTCTGCTGCTGAGGTGGTATGTTGGATATACACCGATCAGGCATAACGTTATGACAACCTCCTTGTTTTTATGCTCATTGTCCATTTTATCAGCTCCACTTACAATATAGGTGCGCTTTGTAGTTCTACAATTACAGACTGTAGTCCATCTGTTTCTCTGCATACTTTGTTAGCCCCCTTTTACCCTGTTCTTCAGTGGTCAGGACCCCCCATGGACCCTCACAGAGCAGGTACTATTTGGGTGGTGGATCATTCTCAGCACTACAGTAACACTGACGAGGTGGTGGTATGTTAGTGTGTGTTGCGCTGGTGCGAGTGGATCAGACACAGCAGTGTTGCTGGAGTTTTTAAACACTGTGTCCACTCACTGTCCACTCTATTAGACACTCCTACCTTGTCAGTCCACCTTGTAGATGTGAAGTCAGAGACGATAGCTCATCTGCTGCTGCACAGTTTGTGTTGGTCATCCTCTAGTCTTTCATCAGTGGTCACAGGACGCTGTTGGCTGGATATCTTTGGTTGGTGGACTATTCTCAGTCCAGCAGTGACACTGAGGTGTTTAAAAACTCCAGCAGCACTGCTATGTCTGATCCACTCATACCAGCACAGCACACACTATCACACCACCACCACATAAGTGTTACTGCAGTGCTGAGAATGATCCACCACCCAAATAGTACCTGGTCTGTGAGGGTTCATGGGGGTCCTGACCACTAAAGAACAGGGTAAAGGTTTTTTTTTTTACCTGCATTTTGATTTAAAAAGTACCATGTTGATGTGTATGAACATCTTTCAACATAACTGTTAGGCCTTGCCAATAAAAATTCTACCGTTTCCCAAAAAAAAAAGCCTACAAAGATTCTGAGGAGAGATAGTATGTGTTGGAAGTGAGGTGTGCAAGGACTCTTTGGCCCATCTACACTCCTCACAGTCTGCAGCATTTTAACATTCTGTCCCTTTGCCAAGAATGTGGCCCTTGCAATTCAGTGCCTTTGTATGTCGCAAAGGGGAATTTCTGTACCAGAAAAGCTTTCATTCTCTCTGCAGGCCTGAGGCATAATGTCAGATGGGGCCACATAAGCGACAGGCTAACGGCTGTCACAGACTTTGCCATTGACCTGATATGACAATGCCTCACTCAGCCTGCTATGCTGCCGCTAATTAATGTTAGTGTCATTGCACTAACTACTCAGACATTTGGCTATCGGAATGGACAAATGTGGGGTGTGGAGGAGATGGACTGACTTTCTCCATTTTCATTCAAGTCTGTTAGTCTTTTAATGTTTTAATAAGAGATTGGTCACCAAAAACAAATGTGTTTTTTTTATCTGTCCTCCAGCTGCTGGATGTAATTTTTCAGGAAAAACGTTGGGAAAGTTCCCAAACAGATAGCCAAGACTGTGTCACTGTGGAATGACTTGTGATTGCTTCATGCATCTCTCACTTCCTTTCTCTCTCTCTCTCTTTCTTTCCGTTTCCCTCTCTCTTTCTTTCTGTTTCCCTCTCTGTCTTTCTCCTCTATCTGTTTTCAGAGTGATAGGCTTCTGATTAAAGGAGGCCGAATTGTGAATGATGACCAGTCTTTCTGTGCAGATATCTACATGGAGGATGGCCTCATTAAGTAAGCTGGATTCCAGAACACACTCCCACATATATGAATCTAGTTTTTGGCTCCAGTCCTAGGTTTAGCATCCTCCCCAGTGGCCTATGTCCAAACACAGCGGTTGCATTCTTTATTTTTATTGGAAGGTCATTGTGGTGGCTCACAACCACCCCACTCCCTTTCTCTCTACTACATTGACTAGTTTGTCTCTTTTTCCCAGAAGCGTGCAGGACAGGCATAGTTATAGGAAAGGCACCCGCAGGAAGGGTACCAGTCTTTACCGATCGCACAGAATAGACTAACTGCTTTACAATGGATTTACTTTGTGGTCTGTAGTAGGTTTCAGTAGCATTCATGAGGATCATTTGTTATGCTATAATTTAAAGGTAATTATATAAAAAGAGATCAGACAGATGTTTAGATTGGACCAGTATTTCAAATGGATATTCTGTGACATATTTATTGTGCTCTAGAAGAACAGAACATTGACTCTGGACTTCTGTGCTAAAATGTCTGCAATTTATTAATTTTACTGCATTTATAAGTCTACTGGAATACATGTTATATTTCTCTGTAAGGCTGTAAGGATTGTACTGTCTAGATGAAAGTAGTCCCAGTTTCTACTTTTTGTATGAAGTTAAGTATCAGTATCAACATGTATTTAAACCATGAAAAGCATCTAGGAGCAACACCTAGCAGTGTCACGAAGTGGTAGACCACGCAAACTCACAGAGCAAGGTTACCATGTGAAATCTGTTGCATCACTCACTACAGAGTTCCAAACTGCTTCTGGAAGTAACATCAGCATAAGAACTGAAGTGGTGTCACTTGAGCAGTAGAAATGTGTTCTGTGGAATAATGAATCTGTCCAATGGATCTGGAAGTCTAATGGACGAATCTGGGTTTGGCAGATACCAGGAAAATGCTATGTACCAGAATGCATAGTGCCAACAGTACTGTAACAAGTTTGGTGGAGGAGGGATAATGGTCTGGAGCTGTTTTTCAGGGTTTCGGCCTAGCCCTTTAGTTTCAGTGAAGGGCAATGTTAATGCTACAGCACACAAAGACATTTTAGACAAACATATGCTTTCAACTTTCTGGCAACAGTTTGGAGAAAGGCTCTTTCCTTTTCCAGCATAACTGCCCCTGTGTGTGAGGTCCATGAATACATGGTTTGATGAGTTTGGTGTGGAGGAACTCCAGTGGTCTGCAAAGAGCCCTGACCTAAACCCCTCTGAACACCTTTGGGATGAATTGGAGTGCTGATTCCAAACCAGGCCTTTATGTCCAATATCAAGTAACTTTTCTTTTGACTGAATGGACACAGCTTCCCACAGACTCACTCCAAAAGCTTGTGGAAAGCCATTCCAGAAGAATAGAGGCTGTTATAACCACAAAGGGGGGCTAGATCCAAGTTAATGCCCATGGTTTTAGAACAGGATGTCCATCAATCTCATATACATGTGATGGTCATTTTTCCACATATATTTGGCCATATATTGTACATTTCTTATCTTTCCAGGTACCTTTTGTTGTCATTATTGTATAGCCTTGCTTGACAGTGTGCCTGATGTTGTCATTCCATTATTACTGTCCCTTTGTTTGTGGTGATGTTTTTGTTTTCACAAAATACCACTAAGCTCTGAATCTCTATGTCTGTGTGCATAGGTGAATCTAACATCGTAACACAATTGGAAGTGGAGAATGGAATGCATGGTCTTCTTCCTTAAAATCTTCTCTCCTTCTGAACAAAAGGCAAATTGGAGATAACCTCATAGTCCCAGGAGGGGTGAAGACAATTGAGGCTGATGGGAAAATGGTGATCCCTGGAGGGATTGACATTCACACTCACTTCCAGATGCCTTATCGGGGTACCACCACTGTGGATGATTTTTGCCAGGGCACCAAGGCCGCTCTTGCGGGAGGAACTACAATGATTGGTAAGAGAATGTACAAGCAGTACATAATATAACATGGAAGACAGCAGGTTTGAATACACTTGAATACACAACAGCCCTTGTACCACTATAATTTAATAAAATTATAATCTGATTTAAGAATTGTAAATGTTCTTAGCCATACAAGAAAGAGTAAAATATTGCCTCTCCAAGTGCAATGATTTATTGTTTACAGTAACCAATTGACATGAATTAATACATTTTTTTAATGTTTTAACTTGACTAATTTTTGAACTTGACTCAAACACTGCAACACTTGTGGTTAACTGTATTTTTAAACCTGCAGCCTTCACCTTACAGTTTCCTCCAAGGTGACCAAGAAAGCTAACCACTGTTACTGAGAGTGCCTGTATGAAGGGTTCGCTGACTACAGTAAAATGCTTTTAAATGACGTAGAGTAGGCAGTGGTCCAGAGGACCACACAAAGCTCATGTGGGAGTCAAGAGAGGCCCCCGGTGAAATACTAGTCCCGTGGAAACTGAGCAGACACTATCTGCCTCATAGTCATTCTTCAGAACATGCTGGGTTATTCGGCTGTTCTGTATTCCTGAAGGACATCTATAGCAATTGGTGATTAATTTAGTGGTGCATATACATGTTCAGATATAAGGAGAGGAAGTAACTTAGACCATGAGCTGTCATATCTGATTGGCATATGAGGCGCACAAGCTGTTAGGTCTTGTAAACAGTGCTGTACGCAGACATACACATACCATAATGAAAGGAACAATTCGCCTAAAATATGGTGTTGTGTCACAATAAAAGGACCAATTTGCCTAAAAATGCTGTTATACCTAAAAAGAAATTAAAATATATAATACATTCAAGTATCTTTCCAAGTCATCACACTGTAAATAATATCTTGACCAGTAAAAGTCTTATGTTTATCAAATATATCTAATATTTATGATTTTGAGATTGTTTTCAAAATATTGTAAGATTTTTTTTCTTGTGCCAAGTAATTTTATGTAAAGAAATGGTCTTATTCTGATTTCAGATAGTTTGGCTAGTTTTAAGGCATAATGCAGACAATTTCTTTAGATAGAATAATTAGTTAAGTACAAATACTATCTGATAAATAATCTTACAGCACTCTTTATATTAGAAATATTAGTTATATTAACTAAATCTGGGATGATCCCACCAAAATAAAATTACTCCAGTACATATTTTCTGTTCTTTTACTGGAATTATTGGAATAATTAAAAATTATTGTCTGTTGCAATTTTGATTGTTATTATTATTGTCTACATATATATATGCAAGGGTGGAGTGCCTTGCTCAAGGGCCCACTTGGGACCTAAGTGGGCCCACTTGGGACCTAAGTGGACCACAGGCTGGGGGTCAATTGCCTAGAGATCTAACAACTAAGCCACCCCTACCCTTAGGTAAAGACCAGCATTCACTTCATCCTTCTCTCTCCACTATCTTCAGTGGACCATGTGATCCCAGAACCTGGCAGCAGTCTGGTGGAGGCCTTTGAGCGTTGGAGGGAATGGGCAGATGAGAAGTCATGCTGTGATTACTCGCTCCATGTGGATATCACACACTGGAACGACAGTGTGAGGCAGGAGGTGGAGATTCTGCTGAAGGAGAAAGGTGGGAGCTGATGGGATGGACCACAGAGTCGTTTGATTGCAAGCAAGCTGTAATCTGAAGGGAGAGGCTGGCAGTTACAGGTTGTTTTAATCTCTGTCTTCCTATTGCAGGAGTGAACTCCTTCCAGGTCTACATGGCTTACAAAGATCTCTATCAGATGAGCAACAGTGAGGTAAACCAGTACAAAGCTACAAACATGGGAAGATTATGTCATGTGAAAATATTAACCTTGTATAAGCTTTGGTAGTGTATGTATGTGTTTAGGAGAGAATGTATGTGTGCATGAGGGAGGATAGCAAAGAATTAATAGCTTCTCTTATGTTCCTCTAGCTCTATGAGATCTTTACTTTCCTTGGGGAGTTGGGAGGAATTGTGCAGGTCCATGCAGAAAATGGAGAGATCATTGCTGAGGTATTAATAAACACATGCACATATATTCACAAACAACAGCTTTAATTGCTCTACCCAGACCAGAAGTTCTCAAAATTTTTGAGCCTAAGGCCACCTTCTGCGAATAGTAAGTGCTAGTCCTTTTTTGGATTTAAAGATTTACTGAGATGCTGTGTGAACCCAGGACATGAAGTTTGCCCTTCTCTGGACCTCAGATTTTCTGAAAAGTTTTAACTACCATTAAACACTGCTTAGCATTTGACCTATGTGACAGCAAGTAGATATGAATCCAGTTTATCTGAGTCATCACCTCCTGAACTAGACAATGTTTGTGGCTTGATGAAGTTTACACATATGTTGTAATGCATAAGTAGTTAAATAGTGGCACAACTGTTTGTTTTTGTCTCTTGTTTTTTTGCTCTGTACTCCACCAAATTGAATTTGAAATGAAACAGTGACTATGAGGTTGGTTGCAGATCATGTTTGATGAGTAATGACCTGAATTATTTTTAGCACTTCACCACTGAGCTATACTGTGAACAGTCACTTTGTTTTTTTGCATCTCTTAAACTGGTTATGCCATTTTGTGTCCACAGGAGCAGGCACGCATGCTGGGAATAGGAATTACTGGGCCAGAAGGGCACGTGCTCAGCCGTCCAGAGGAGGTAAGTACACATAACTGAAGGTATAGTCTTAGATCACATTGGTTACTTTTGTCACATTGCATGAAGGATTGTCACATACCAAATGCAGAAATCAACTAAATGAACCAGAACATCAGTGTTCACTGGTTTGTTGACTGATTTGGAGTACTATCAGCACTCCAGTAGATGTTGGGGCTTTAAAAGAGCTGTGCTTTTTATCAATGACCCTGTGTGTCCTTGTTCTGCATCGCAGGCCAGGGTCACACTAGACTAAGGTTAATTGAGTGAATTGAATAACGTAAAGTTAGTGTTTGGTAAATCACACAATAAAGTTGAGAACTCAAAGATTCATTAGCACATTGGACGAATGCACATTTTGCCTTTGTCATCCTTTATTTAACTGTATACTCAGTTTTTCACGCAATGCTCTGAATCTTGGCCAAAAATGGAGAGCATCTCAAAACATTGATTTGGTCACTGGACTTAATTAATTAAGAGGGCATGTTTTTAAGAAGCAATTTCTTTACTTGGGCAAATGAAACACTGTAATTATCTACCACTGTTATTATCTACTTTTGGAGTTTATTCATCTTTATGAAATGTACTGTGTTATTAAGTCATTGTAGGTCTGCCATTACTTGAAAACATGTTACCAACTTAAGCGTTCCTTTTTAGCATTTAGCATGTGTAGGCGTGTTTGTCTAATTCACTCCAGTGAGGCTTTGAGAAATCTGATCTGGCATCAGTTTATCAGTGATCACTTCCGGACTGGGTCCTCTAGCACTACATGCTGCAGGCAGGCAGTCCTTCTGAGGTGGATGCAGTTGGCCATGTCAAAGCAAAGAGGGATGTGTCTCACTCCCAAAGCCAGACAGTATATAGAATTATAGTTGGATGTGTACACATATGTATAGTTATGAATTGTCTTGGTGTATGTGTGTGTCTTTGTCTGTGTAGTTGGAAGCTGAAGCAGTGTTCCGAGCCGTCACCATTGCCAGTCAAACCAACTGTCCTCTCTATGTGACTCGTGTAATGAGCAAAAGTGCAGCAGACATCATTTCACAGGCTAGGAAAAAAGGTACCGGCACCAGAAGCATGCTTGACATATTGTTTGTACTATAATAGAACAGAAATGTGTTTGAAAATATGCCCACTGTCATGAAATAAATCCAACTAGTGACAGTTGGTAAGTCTTAACTGTTATTTTGGCATGTCACTGAATGAAAGCTATTGGAAACCAGTTGGCATGTCACTAACTGTGAACTGTTTAAATAATGCTATCTAAAGCTAGCTTTTATGACTTATTCTTTTAAGTAAAAGAGCTGATAGAGTAGGGTTTTATTCTGACCCAATGCATGCATTCATGAAACCAAAAGGAGGAAAGCTGATGTTTGACTGCTGCCTTCTTTTGACACCAAGGTTCTTTTTGAATATCCTATGCTTAATCTGCTTTTGTACTCATAGTATATTTGTCTCACAATAAAGATGATAACACAAAGCTTCATTAGCACATTGGATAATCGCATATTTTGCCTTCACTGTCCTTGTTTTTAACAGCAAGCTCAGTTTTACTCTCACTCATTGCCAGAGATGGTGTTTCAAAACATTGGTTTGGTCTCTGGACTTGTATAGCTACTACACAGTGGCTGTGCATAGTTGTTGAATTAAATGGTAAAGGGGATAATAAAAAACCCTGCCCCTGGCACTTGCAGGACCTGGATTCCTATGTGGGTGACTATCCTCCGGCTACTACTTCTACTACTTCAGCTTTTCTCAAAGGATGTGATGGCACCATTGTATCATAGAGTGGTGCTATTCATGTTTAGGCATCATAAGTATCACTATGAAGACTTATTAGATCAGTATGTTTTACTTAAATTCAGTAAATTAGGGATGGTTCTGGAGAGCTAATGCTCTGTAGAGTTTGTCTGCAACTGTGATTTAACACACTTGATCCGGGTAATGCAGGCCTTCAGGAGCTTTTGACGGGTAGTGGCAGTTGTGCTGGCTCTGAACTGTCCAGGGTGTTAGATCTGCAGGACAAGGATTGAGCACCCCTGCGGTAAATAATGACAAAGAGCTTCATCCCACTTGTGAGTTGTGCATCTGCCATTCTTTAGGCCACTCATAGGCTTAAGAGCTTAAAGTATAGTGGGTAAAATGATAAACAATCAGAGAAGAAAGAGTTAATGAGAAGTAATTTGTATGACTCAGGGCTAGAGGAGGGCTTAGCTGCATATATTCATCAAATGAAGGCTGTTAGCCAATCCATCAGCATAGCCATAGCTTTGTGTTGTGATGAATACTAACTGCAGTTGCAAATCTGTTTTTCATTTGTAAAGGGCTTGATTTGCCCTTTACAAATGAATTCCTTATGTGTTTAAACATGTATGAAACTTGACCACAGTTCTTTGATGCGTTATTTTGACTGCAAACTCTTTTCTGTGTTATTTCTTAGCAGTGTGAACATTTACGCTAAGGTAGCTGCCTAGGCCAATTTGTGTTTGGACTTTTCTTACAGGAAATGTGGTATTCGGTGAGCCAATCACAGCAAGCCTGGGAACAGATGGGACTCACTATTGGAGCAAGAACTGGGCCAAGGCCGCCTCTTACGTGACTTCACCACCTCTCAGTCCAGATCCCACTACCCCAGACTACCTAAACACAATGTTGGCCAGGTGAAAGGATGCTAACAGTTCTTCACTGTCTTTTTCTTTAGATCCTTGAACAGGGTTGACTATTAAAAATGCTACTGTGGGTAACAGTGAATGTAAGCTTATGGGAAACAAGTAGCATGACTTTGTTTGCTAACAGTTGCTACAACTGCAGTAATGCACTGCTTCTCAAATACTTGGAAAGTCCCTCTGTTTATGCCAGAAATAATACAAAGGCTTGTTTGTGTGATGACTTTGAACAGGCTTTTCCTGTGTTTCAGATAATTGTATAGGCAATATCACACACTTTATTTTCTTATAGCCTTTCTATATATTCCAGCGATATTTCTTGCAACGTTTCCATAGAGACTAAATATGTTAAATGTGCCTTGAGGCCTGTGTGAGATTTTTACATAAATATGTGTTATACATGTTATCTCTGCTCACTTTATCCCATTTTGTCAGTGGTGATCTGAATGTGACTGGCAGTGCTCACTGTACATTCAGTGTGGCTCAGAAGGCCATCGGGAAGGATGACTTTACCCAGATCCCTGAAGGAGTGAATGGAGTGGAGGAGAGAATGTCCCTCATTTGGGACAAAGCTGTGGTGAGGATCTCGTGTAGCTTCCAAATCCAAATACTTTAGGATTTTGAACATGTATAATAGTATCAAGGGAATCTTTATTTCATATTCATGAAGTATTTATCTCTTTAACACAATCTCACCCCATCTATGTCTTTTAACAAATTATTATGTCTGCATCATTTCCCCTTAATTTGATCTCTCACCATCACAATTTGCTGTAATTAAGAAGAATTATTTTACTCTTGACCCTTGACTGAATTAGGTTATTGTTACTTGTATGGGTTTATCTAAATCAGGTAAATTGGAGGAGGTGGCCTTTTAACAGCGACCACCCCTTTGTTTTTTTCATCATGGACACAAAGTTCTGTTGCAGCTAATTGTGACAGCCACTTTTTAACACCATATTAGGGTTTGTGAACGTTAGTATATCTGCCCCAAAGCCTCTACAGCTGAAACAGTGTAGTGGACAATTCAGGAGAGACATTCTCAAGAGAGAAACATTGAAATGTTGAAATATATCTTTTATACAGATTATTTAGCAGCTTACTAGTTATTGTTTAATTGTACATTAGTCATTTGATAATATGTTACCCATTATGGGAATTTTATTCAACTACAGTAGAAAAGACATGCTGCAGGGTTATGAAATATATTATTGTTTAGATTTCCAGCATAACATTATTTCAGTATCTTGTGTTCAGTTTCGTAGTAAATTCTCTTTTCTTGCTCAGGTTTCTGGTAAGATGGACGAGAACTTGTTTGTAGCTGTGACAAGCACCAATGCAGCAAAGATCCTGAATCTGTACCCACGCAAGGGCCGGATAGCTGTAGGCTCTGACAGTGACCTGGTCATCTGGGATCCAGACCTAGTCAGGACAGTCACAGCAAAGACACACAATTCGGTAAGGCCTAGGGCTGGTAAAGGAATAGAAACATTATGTTTTCTCATTCTTTGTTTTTTTTTATTTATTATTTTTTTGAACAATTATCAAAGATGTCACAGAAATATAGGAAAGTATGTTTAGATATATGTGTTTTACTTGTCTTCAATTAAAGATGTTTAATTAAATAAGGAAAAGAGAAAAATAATTTCAACAAGACGTATTTAACAAGAGTTTACCTTAACACATGCCAAACACAAAAACTGCACTGTTTTATGAAACAAAATGATAGATCATAGGTGTCTTAAATATTGTGCCTCACAGAAATGGTCACTCATTTGGCGAAATGGCCAAATCTAAGAGGAGCAATAAAAAAAAATATTTCAAACAAAGATGACAGATTTGTATAACAGTATAAGTTGTTTGGGTTTAGACATGTATACTTATACCTTGAAGTTCAGAAATTAAGTCTGCTCTTCTAGAAAGAAGTGATTTAAAAAAAATCAGTACACTGATACTAAAAGCTCTGAGACTAAAACACAGGGAAACAAGTAATCAATGTACAATGATCCAGTACATTGGATCAAATGCAGTATAGTTAAAACTATACTGTTCCTGGGACCTTTTTGCCTTATTTGATAAAAATCTGTTTATTTTGCCCAAGCTAAAAGATGAGTCTGGTAGAAATCATATTTTGAAACCCCTAGTCAACAATAATTATAAACAGAGGTCATTATAAAGCTCTGACTGGACATCATTTGTATTCTGTTTGCTAGAAGCCCTTACTGGCTCATAAGGTTTCATATCATGCTCAGACTTTGATGATCATAATTTGCAGATGCTCCCTTATCAGCTCTCAGTGGTTTCAGCAGTTCATACTAATTAACGAGTACTAAGAGTTTAAAAGGAATTAATTATACAAGAAAACTAAATGGGAGCTGATTGTGTTAGTTACAACTAATGATAATCTACGCATATTTTGCATGCATAATACGAAAACTACTGAGGAAGGAAACCATACATGTGAAAACGAAACTAACTTTGCTGCTCACTTCGCTCTCTTTTCCAGTAGAGTCTCGGAACTGTTGGTTAATGTTAGTTCACTTAAGCGTTAAAACCTGTCAGGTTAAGGTTTTCAAAAGTTTGATATATAGTTAAACTGTAAGATTTTACAGAGCAACAAACGAGAATAAAGAGTTTACCTTAGGATCAGTTTACTGCAGTAGAATCTGGTGGTGTGGAAGATAGGTAAATGACTGGTTCCGATATTGTCAGGAAAATGCTGCAGATCACAGTTCTGCCAATAAAAATCAAACAAAAAAAAAAATTACAAAAATTCTGTAGATTAAATTCTATAGATATCTCTATATAAAAATCTTAAACTGCTGTTGGGAGGGTGGTTCTTCAGAATTCTCTCCTGACAGGTGGACCTCCTTTCCCCTGTACACAAAGTACAGGCTTGCATTGTCCTCTTCACTTTGTATTCATGTATAAAAAAAGACAGCAAAGGCCAGACATAGTCAGAAAGAAAGCAAGGCTTTCTAGAAAGAAAGAGAGAGAGGGAGAGAGCAAGAAAGAGAGCAGGCCTGGCTGGCTTCCTCTGACCTCCCAGTTCCTCTGGGCGGAAATGGAGATCCCAGTGGAGGTTTGTAACTAATTGAGCACTGCGAGTCAGTCGAGGGCCATAATGGAGGCACTTTTGGCAGCTCAGGGCACCACAACAACAGGATATATCCGACCGAAAGAGCTGCAGTCCAATTTTGCTCATCAGCCTGATTGAATTTCACCAACCTACAGCATCAAGCTTATTTGGCTTATTAGGCTGTTACTGGGCAGTTAGAATCAGTTGTTGACATGACAGTGGGGCATAATCAAAAGAGGATGCTCATGATTTTTTGCCCTGGTGTTTATGTCCGATGATGGATATTGGCATTGTGTTGATTATGGTGTTTTCACCCATTTGTGAGGTATATTTTTGAATATTGATAGTGATGCCTTAAAATGTTAACAGTTTAATTTCTTTCCACTGCATAAGGAAAGTGCTGAGGGAGAGAACTTTAGTTTTGCCAAAGGGGCTTGAATGGTATGCAACCCTGTGCATTCCAACCTCACAACCTTTTTTTTAATGCCTATACAACGGAGAAAGAAACTCTACTGCGTGGCTGTCATGACAGCATAAAATGCTAGTGCACGGAGGTAAAGGCTATGTATAGAAAGACCTGTCTTGTGTTTTTCCAATGAGGTACTGCAGAAAGGGACAAAGGATCAGTTGTTTTATGATGCCTGGAGCAATTTTTTGGCACCCTAAAGTCTAATGTGATGTTAGAAATCTTTGCATTGCTCCTGCTGGCCAGCTAGATTGACATTTTTTTCAGTCTGTAGTGGCTTTTTAGCACAGATGAGTACAGTCTGTAAAACTTACTGACATGGCATATTCAGATGGGCCTAAAATCAATGAGAATCAATAAGGTAAAAATTATATTACCCCACCTCTCCACATAAAACTAATCCCATCTGAATAGGGCGTAAGATGCTTTTGGGAAACTGGGCCCTGATTAGTTGAGTCAGGTGGGTTTTAGCAGGAAAGACTGTGCTGATACCGGCCTTCCAGGACCAGAGTTGAATAGCCCTGAAGTATAGGCTGTACACTGTACACCAGCAAGGTTGACTTAAGCTGGGCCTATCCTACGAGACTTGTAAAATCCTAACAGATTTCAGAAATGGAGAGCATCACACACTTAACATCTATCTTTTTCCTGAATTTTGTCATGAGTCCCACGTTATCATGTGATACAAACCAAGCTAAACTGGACCACACCTATTTCTGTTTATGTGCGAAGTATAGAGAAAAACTAGGGACGAATGTGAGGTTGAAATGCTGATATCGCAGCTGGAGAAATATTTTACCATGAACTGGCCTCTAACTTGAAATTGTAAACAAAGTGATTATTTACCTGAACTCAGCAAGCAGCTCCTCTGTCTCTGCGGCCCACTGCTCATGCTGCAGAGTGCACGCACGTCTTTCTTTACCTTTTTTCTCTCTCCCCTTGCTTTTCTCGTTGGTTGTTGCCTGAATCATTTCTAAATTACATTGCTGATTATCTCATACTACAGGACTTGTGAATGTTTTGAGTCTTAAAAATCGAAACCTTTGAAAATATTGGAAGGCCTCCAATCACTTCAGAGCTTGATCAGAAGGCTAAAGATTGAATTATTTCTCCCCTCACACTAGCAGATCCTCTGTGCCGTCAACTGCTTCTGATCAAACTCCTGACCTGGAAACTTGCTTCAGATTATGAAAATTTGTCAGAAGGGGCAAATCGGGATTAAAATCAGAGTTAAAAATGTTTAGTGTAAGCCCAGCTTTACAGAGTTTCAAACTAAAATTACTTGGGAGTAGAGGTGAGCAATATATGATATTTTATCGTTATTGTGACAAATTCTCTTATATGGATACACAATACGCTTTTCTGAGCATATTGTAAATATTGTCTCTTCCTAATGAATGCTGATCATGTCAGCATGTTTCATGATATGTTTCATTAAAAAAACAACATTACTCTTGATTAAATGGATCTAGTGCAGTATGGGATGTGAAATGTTCAATAAAGATGGCTGTTTTTAAGTGTGGTGCAGCTAGTACATTGCGCCTGTGTGTTTAAATATTGTAATATTGTAATTGTATATCATAAAAATATCATGATATAATACAGGGTGATTCAAAAAGATTCATCTGATTTCAAAGCACCATATTTTTACAACCGTGAGGCACCTAGGAACCAATCACATACCAATTGAAAAGGGGGGTCATAGAGTGTCTGACTGTCAGTATGGCAGTGAACCTCCAACAGCTCAGAGTTTTGGTCGTTGGTACCAACAATTCCAAGAAAAAGATCACCAGCATCACGAGTGAAATAAATCATTTTGAAATCGGATCTTTTTAAATCACCCTGTATTTTTGCAATATTGCCCACCCATATTTGGGAGACAGGTGGTCTTCTTTAAGGGGGGGGAAGAGTGAAAAATTGCAGGGTAGAAAAGTATATACACTCTTTTAAACACATCTTGACCAATGTTTGTTATCAATTCCTCAGTCACATCAATGCCAATAATTATCATCCCTAGTGCATTTAAGCAAGCTGAGCTATTGTCAAATGCCAGTTAATAAGCACTGAATTTCTCAATTTAATGCACAGCTATTTATTTGCATCATTCACCATTTCTATTTCTTCACAGCGTGTATTGGTAGAGCAATGGCATTACTTTCTGAATGGAGAAATGAGTGCCAGTCTTCCACCATGCTGTCTAACCACTATATATTCAACTGAAAAAGGCCATTAAGACTGTGTCATTACATTGTAAGCAAAATCAAAGGGCAGGAAAAGAACATTTGATAAACATATGATGAGATCATTAGTTTTAAACCCCTGACCTACAATATAGACAACACAATATACAGTACAATAAACTGGTCGATGAGTGCAGCTCCTCTACAAACTTTTAGTCTTTGAAAAAAAAGCTACTCCCAAATGATCACTGTTTTTATTAAACTTATGATCATGGTCTCTCTAAACAGTGCAACACTTAAACTGCCTTTGCCCTGTGGTACACATTTATTTTATGAACTCCTTCATTGTTGCGTGTTTAAGAAAGGAGTTGCCCTATCAACATGAATGAGATTTTACTTTGTGTTTGTGTAGTTTCACAGAGGGGCTTGGCTATGACATCATTCTTGGCAGTGGTTCCCTTTTTTTTTGCCGTCCCTCGTTGTTTCAGGCCAAGCATGGGCGGCGTAGAACAGAAAAGTGTCGTGTGCAAAGGAGACTGCAGACAATAACAGGACATGGCTGCTTTCAAGTTGGTATTACCCCAATGGTGAAAATATCAAATAGTTGAAAGGAAGAGCAGAGACGTGGAACACCATTGAAGAACGGCAAATATGACTTAAAAGGAGTGAGGGATAAAAAGAGAGGGAAGAAAAGATAAACCTGAGAGATAAAGGGAGGGAGAGAGATGGGGCAGAGAAAGAGAGAGAGCGGGGGGTGGAAGAAGGAGGAATGTTTTTGGCATCCCTGGATCAGGCTGTCTAATGTCAGCTGTTGGTGTTTCTGTGACTAGAGGAGAGTATGAGAAACAGGCAGGATAGACTAATGGTATAGAACAGATGAGAAAGGGTGGGAACAGGGCTAGGGAATGGAGAATCCAAAAGCTTTAAGCTTTATCCCTCAACTTTCCTCTTTTCCCTCATATGCTGTTGATTAGGGTGCATTCCCAGCTCTCTCCTCTTTTCTCTAACTCTGTGTGTTTCTTCTTCATCCAAGAAGTCTCTGAAAAAAGAGTTTTTGGTGAAGACCTGCTTAGCATAGAAAAAAATTATGTAAACACTAGCCATTATATGAGTATACCAGTGAAAGGGAAGCAGACTGCCTTTTGAAGCTTCAGGACATCTTTTGCATTTTACACACATTATACTTTTTGATCAATTTCTCATGTAACAATTATTGTATAATGTAACTATTTTTTAAGATGAGCTCATATGGTCCTGTGTTTCTTTTGGAAAGAAAGAAAAAAAATATACAAATCTAGAAATGCAAAGTAGTTGAAGACAGCTTATCACATTCTACTACTGGAAGATCTAACTTTACATTTCAGACATTATCATTAAAACTGGTTTCCAAATGGCCACGCTACAATATGTAAAGTGATCCTCACTAATGTGCCTCAGTTTCACATTAATTTGTTTCATTGGCTAGCATGCTGCTTTTTATTTACGTTTTACTGTCTCCTGGACAAGACCTCTTTTTCCTTCATAGTCCATATCAATTTTATCCAGCCAGCATGTCATCGCTGTCCCAAAAACAAGATGGCAAGTTTGGAAAAGGCAAAAACATCCATAACTTTTAATATTAGGTAATGTAAAAAGATTTTTTTCCAAGTAAAGAGCATTTCTATTGGTTGACTGATCATGAAATTCTCACACATTGCAAAACATGAAGATACATTTTTTGTTTGTTTTTAAAATCTTCAAAGTTTCTGCTATAGAAATGTGATCTCTTTAGAATTTGTCTGATTCTGAGTCCTGTGAAATTTCTCTGCTAAAACTGTAGTGTACTATAGTAGCATTTGTTCAAACACATGTTTATGTGAAGTCGTTGAGTGTAAGTTGTCATGTGTTGGCAACCTATGTACTATAATCTTATTTTTGGACATCAGTATTAGGGGTAGACCATTATTTTCTTTTCAGGGACAATACCAACTATTAATAATTATAGATAGTGATAACCGCTGTTTGGGGGTGATATTCTTTTACCATACATTTGATGTTTGTAGTGTGAAAATTCATAAGAGTGCAACTCTTACTCAGAACTTACATTAAACAAATATTAGAACATTATTAAAAATAAAATCCTTTGATTCTTACACAGTACAGGTTGAAAAAATAGTAACTTAAACATTTTAAAGTTATCTTTAAGATAATAAACAATACAAAATAACAAATAGCTCTTAATGATGTTTAATAGTCAAGGACGTTTGTAAGAAAAATGGGGCTCGAAAAAGGGGTTAAAAACTTTAAATTAAAAAAAATTTTTCAACTGCACGATTCTTATATAAAACAGATATGTAGTATCGATCACTGTGTTGAAAGGGTACAAGGACATAAAGGCAGGACATAAAGACATACTACAGAAGTGCTCGTGGGTTGTACTCGTTGGTTGTATGAATCATCCACGTTTCAAGCAATCCAGTAACTCTGTGGGTGGGACATTGGGCCAGATTACAGAAAGGTGTTTTGTTGATCACGGTTGCATCAGATATGCGTATAAATAATGAAACCCGCTTATTTCAGCAAGGAAGCAAGTTCATATGCCAATTCCGCTAATCAGAAAAATAATAATATTGGTCAGGCTGATAATCGGTCGACCCCTAATCAGTATTTCATGAAGGATGATGATCCCTTGTATTTGGCCAGTGTTCTGGAGAGTGTTTTGTATATGTGAAAGTTTCACAACATCTGTTTATTATTTGTGTCAGGTGCGAATTCCAGTGATGAAAAATGGCGGGAACTAATTTCTGTGAATGCTGAGTTTCAGGCTTCAGTGCTAACATTGTTTAAAAAAAGCCTGGTGTCCATGTCTCTTCTGTTTCTTTTTTACGATGTATTACATGTTGGCTATTTCTTATTCATAATAACTGGCATAGATAATGTCAACTATACATGAATCATGGATTAACAGTGCTAGGAATGAAAGATAGAAGAAGCATATACTTTTATCCATAATCTTTTCAGTGGTAAGTTGCATAACTTAAGTGGCTTTAAGTGGCTTATTATGGTTGTAGTGATGTAATAGCTTCAGTAGGCTATACATGTAGAGGACTTTCAGTTGTACGTTTTCAGTTTACGTCTTACTTCTTACATAGGTTTATTTATGTCATATTTATCATGTTGTTCTTTCTCCTTAAGGCTGCGGAATATAATGTGTTTGAGGGCATGGAACTCCGTGGTGCTCCCATGCTGGTCATCTGCCAGGGCAAGATCGTTCTGGAAGATGGGAAGCTGCAGGCCACCTCTGGCTTGGGGCGCTTCATCCCCTGCTCACCTTTCCCAGATTTCGCCTATAAGCGCATCAAAGCCAGGAAACAGGTGAGCTTGAGGTAGTGATAGCACAGAGAACTAAAATGGCATACAGTGCGTGTTCTTCTGTTATGATGATGGATGTTCTTTCTTTCCTATTGATCATTGTCACACTTCTGCATTCATTGATGCGGCAGCGAAAATAGTAGTGTTAAATTACTTCTGGTTGCACTGTAAACAGTGGCTACTGTCCGGAAAAAGTGTTGCATTCCAAAATGTGCCAGGAATTCAACTAAACAGGCTTGCCTGAGTTTCAACTAGAAGTTGAAAAATGTTCATACTAAGCAGAAAAGTTCCACTTGTCATTTGTCACTTTTAATGAGGTAACCGATCAAAAAAGGGTGGGTAAAACTGAACCGGGAAGTAAACACAGGCTAAACCGTAGGACAGTTTTGCTCACATTTATGACTAAAAATGCTCCACAATAAATATTAATTCACTGGCATATGTATCATCCTGAGGTTTAATTGAAAGCTTTGAGAATTAGATGAGTAAGCCTCAACTCTGTAACCATAGTGTACTTTAATGTAAAAATACAATGTTGTGTCTCTTTGTTAGTAGTGTTCAGGGCACTTGCTAACATTGCTAATTTTCACATGGGCTGACAGGGAAAAATTAAACCTAGTAGACGTTTTCTCCTCTAAAATGAAGTGCAATAAATGCTGTTTTTTAGTCTATCCTTTTAGATATGTATAATGAAGTGTTGACCATAAAAAATTATCCCGCTCCCTCTTCACTTTGCATAACCTGTTACAGGCGGATTCCTCACAGATTTTTTCAGAAATTCGGTCTGCCATCTGAACACAGCTGTTTTCACACTGAACGTGTAACATTCGTGGATGCGCTTTCAAACGGTATGCATGGCACAGATGTCTGCAACAGCAATGTCAGTTTTGTTTTTATTTTCTGAAAACTAACTAAAAGAGTTCTACTTTAGTTTCTGTTTACTTTCACATCTGCTTTTGTCAGAAAAAAGAGATTTAATATAGTACCAATAAAGGTTCTGTGAAGATTCTATGCCCTGGTAATAGAACCCTTTTTGACACTAGGCTCTTTTAAGAACAATACACAACAGATTTTTAGTCATAGAGAAAGAACAGTTAACCATTTATGCTTTCAGCATTCATATTCTTTGTTTTGTCCTGGTTCTATATGTAACCATAGACTTTAACAAAGAACCCTTAAGGAATCATTTTTTAAGGGCATAGAAAGCATCCACTTTTATCCTTAATGCATTTAAAAAGTTATTTTCTATGTAATGCTATTCATTTTTATTCATGTTGCAGTGGTCGTTATAGTTTATAATGTAGTTTATGTGTTTTTACAGCAGTAAGTCCATTTTTCACTACTAGTTTTCATTTTTGTAATAGTTTTTAAAGATAATTATTATTTTTACAGCTGCCAGCTCTGTAGGTAGCTATGTGATAGTTCTTGTTATGATTAGTTCATTAATTCATGGCATTCATCCACAGTAGGTCCAAATTCAGGAGATTTCAAATTTGAACAGGATCACTTGGCTAGCCCCTACACTTTCAGTTTGCATTATAGCTGAAACTGACAATTAAACCATTAATCTATTGACTGTTATTTGATTTGACTTATTTGTGTTATTTATGTTATTATGCCATTATGCTTTATTTGATGTATTTCTTTTTTATTTTGGTGAAGTTGATCCTCCATTTCCTGTACTGTCAGGTCATCACTATTTTATAATAGTCATTTAGCCAATGTCATGAATATGTCAGTTTAATCAGTTAGATTTAATTATTGGAGTGTAAGCATGTTTAATTCTATTTACTCTTCATAAAGAAGAGCAAAAGATATTAGAAGAGATTATTATATAATAGATTATTATATAAAATATATTATATTATATTATATATTATTGTGCCCAAAAATTTTGTGTAACTGTGGAGTAAACTGGTATAAAATTACAGCGGTTAATTTATTTTTTTTCTTGGATAAATTTGTACCTTTATTGTACTAAAAATAGAACAAAAAAGGTGAACTACACAAAACAATTGTGTTTTTTTTTTCTCCCATAAGAGAGCAACATTAGGCCTGCTGCCCACGTTTATGCCATCAATCTCCAAGATATACTCAACTGCAGTAATTAAAACCAGTAGCTGTCATGCTAGCAGCATTATTACTGTCAGTGTTGCTCATTGCTAACAATGAACCCCTGTGTGAACACAGTGTCGTTTCAAGTTATAGGGAAGAAGGTCGAGTACCGCTGGTTTGTGTCGATAATTGATGAAGAAATTGATCAGATGAGTAGTAATAGATTTCAGCGCCACGTCGAACTGGGATGGGGCCAGAGCATTGGTCATTGTCTGGGCTAATTTACACACCTCTTTAATGTTATCTTCAGTTGTTTCTGACTGCCGCAGACGAACATCATTAGTACCAACGTGGATGACTATCCTCGAATATCTTCGATATCAACTATATTGAATATCAAGCGCAAGACTAACTTACACTTCCCACAAACAGCTAGTAACACTGATGTCATTAGTGACAGAGTGAGAAGCATAGTTAAACATGCTGCACTCAGAGCAATGCCACAGCTAGCAGTCTGCCATACTGATACTTACGTTGTTTCATCGGCTAAATTGAGTCCTTCCAGGTGTCTTGCGAATCTGATGAGGGAAGAAGTGACTTCCAAAAGTCGTGGTTGTAATTAATTGCGAGTAATATGGAACAGCAAATTGAAAATGTAAAAAGCTGCAAGAGATTAACAAGATAGAGCAGAGAAAGCAGCAAACACTCCTGCCAGCAACTTCGAAAGACGGGAACTCATTTGCTTTGATGATGTTACCATGGGTTATGGGTACAGTTCCATATTGCAGTCATGCTGTGAAAGTACAGTTTACTTTGACAGAGTGTTCACTATTTTGCCACCAGTCATCATTTTGTCCTCAAAGAGTCAAGCTCTTAACTTCTCGTTTAACTGCATATTGTACTCTAAGCTCATTGCTCTTAAAAATTCATAAAATGTCATTCTTAAAATTGATAGTGATTTACAGCATACAGGTCAGTACAATACTGGAAGGTCGCCGGTTCAATCCTCTGAGCCAGCAGGACCTGAGCAAGGTACCTAACTCCCTAGGCGCTTTGAATAGGGCTGACCACCATTCTGGGCAAGTATGCTTTCTGCCCCTGAGTGTGTGTGCGTGTGCGTGCATGGATGGGTTAAATGCGGAAGTCAGATTCCTCTGTGTGCAAGCACAATTGGTCATTGGCTTTGAATTCTGAAAATTACGTATCAGTGTGTATATCGTTGTATCATGAGAAGCATGTTAGGTTGTGGCTATTGCGTTAGTTTTGGGCTAACATTAACTTGTGGCTAGAGCATTAGATCTATAGACACTATAAAGGTATTTTTTTTCCAAATTTGTACCTATCCTTAAGCTAGTATAAATTGGTCTCCTGAACTAATACACTACCAGACAGCAGTCAGTGCTGAAACCTACAAGGATACACAATACACAGCGATTAGATATTTATTAGGTGCAGTTACATTATAACAGAGGAGGATTAGTGTTCATTTAAATGCTTTTCAAAGAAATCAGTCCTCACTTGTTGTTTGAAGACCAGAAGGGACTCATCTGTTTGGACAACCAGAGGAAGTTCATGCAAGAACAGCCAAGAGTCTTGATGCTTGTTCTCATGAATGTTGATAAATTGATTGTCAGGCCAAGTCAGTGCTTGAAGCTCAAAGCACTTAAGGTAAGATTCAGGTTTTGACCATTGCCATCAGGTAGGGAGGGGCTGGTTCATTTTTGGCTTTATAGGCTAGTCTCAAGGTTTTAAATCTGATGCGGGAAGCCAGTGAAGAAAACACAGCAATGGAGTGACATAAGCGAACTTAGGAAAATTGAAGATGAGTCATGTTGCTGTATTTTCGATCAGTTGCAAGGGCTTGATGGCACACATAGGAAAACTAGCCAGGAGCTGGTTGCAGTAGTGAAGTCTGTCCATTGCCTCGCAAAAGAGAAAGGGAGTCCTCCTGAAGTTCATACATCTGTGCTGCTACTAATTAGAGTTTATTCTTGCTCTCCACATTCACATTCAATTTATCTGATTTATATATTTTCTTAACAGCAGTTTTATCTGGTTCACTTAATTTGTATCTAGAGGGATAACTTGTTACAGCAGTAAACGTTGAGAAGCATTTGGGAAAGCAAACAGAGAAAGGGTGAACTATTCAGAACTTCAGAATTCACTATTCAAACTTCACTCTCTCTTTTGCAGTTGGCAGTGTTAAGGGCAGTCCCACGGGGCATGTATGATGGGCCTGTCTCAGACTTTACTCCCATGTCCAGGGGAGGCACTCCCTCAGCTTCTACCCGCAGCTCTCCCACCAAGGCCCCCATCAGGAACCTCCATCAGTCTGGATTTACTCTAGCAGGTAATCCTAAGCTTTGTTTTCTGCTGACTCTTTCAGAGACCGTTTTGTGGTATAGTGACTTCTCTGTCGTCCTACAATGCAGTTGTAGGCTAAGAAGTAGTCTGACAAAAGTGCAGAATCCTTTCCTACATGAAGACTTTTTTACTCTGTTTTTGTAATACTGACTTGACATTTAGAGGACTGACTGATATTTAGAAGGCTGTTTTAAAATGCAAAAGATAAAATTATCAGTTCTATTTAAAAACCTCAATTCCAAAGAAGTTGGGAGAGTATGTGTGAAAATAAAATAGAAAGCAGTGATTGACCTGTATGTAAATGAAAACAGTACAAACACAAAAATATTTAATGTTTTACCTTAACAACGTCAGTGTTTCTTTGTAAATTTATGGTCATTCAGAAATTGATGCCTGCCACTTTATCCAAAAATAGTCAGGACATGGGCAAATTTAGACTAGGAACCTTGTGAAAAGTTCAGACTTAAACAGGAGATGCAGTCTTGCCTGAGTATAGGAGCACTTAGAGCCTAGTCCTAGTATGACTGTATGAGCAAGGATGGGTCGAGGCTTGCCACACTGCCAAAAACAGTGTCAGCGAAAAACGGTTTAAAAATAACATTCCTCAATAAGCGATTGCAAGGATATTTAATATTTACCTCTTGGTATTGCATAATGTCATTAAAGGATACAGGGAATCCAGAGAAATCTATGTAAATAAAGAGGCAACTCAGTGTCCATGATTTTTAACCCCTTAGACAGCACTGATTTAAAAATCGGCATGTTTCTGTGATGGATATCCCTGCATGGGCTTGGGAATACCATGACAAACTGTGTATTGTGGTCTGATGAGTCAGCATTTCAGATTGTTTAACAAGTTATGGACATCATGGGCCAAAGAAGAAGAGGACTGTTCAGATTTTTACCAGCATAAAAGCCAGGGTTTCTCATGGTATGGGGGTGTATTAGTGCCCATGTCATTGGTAACTATGATGTCATCATTAATGCTGAAAAATATACACATATTTTGGAGCAACATATGCTGCCTTCAAAACAAAGTCTTTTTCAGGAACATCCATGCTTATTTAAACATGCCTGCAGTCCAGACCAGGCTGAAAACGTGTGGCACATTATGAAGTAGCTGATGAATGGTGTCCTATTATTTATTGTGTAAATATATGAAGATTTTAAATAATAGCAAAAAAATCAGGATGAATTGATGTCTTCAGTCCCCAAATAAAAACAGCAAAAAAGAAAAGTTGATAAGGTTGTAAACATGTTCCCATCCCAACTTTTTTAAACTGTCTTGTGTGCATCAAATTTGGAATGAGCATATATTTACCACAAAAAATGAAGGTAAAATATTAAATATCATACTGTATTGTTTTTAACTTAATACAGGTCAAACAAAATTTTTAAATCTCTACTTTCTGTTTTAATTAACACTACTAATAAAAAAATACTGTTCCAACTTTTTTGGAACTGAGGTTTGTAGACAGTTTCTGTCTGCAGTCTTATTAGATAATTAGATCAAGTCCTGCTTTTTGAAGTATTTGAGAATATCTTTTAGTTACATAATGTATGAGAAAAAAGACTCCAATACTGAACATCTGCAGCTTGTTAATGCCTAATGTAACTTGACAGGGAGGGCTGGTATAAACAGTTCTTTATGAGAATGGTTTAGGTGTGATGCACTTATAGTGGATAGTGATCTAGATTGGAAAGTATTTCCCCCATCTCTCCAGAAGGGAGGGCAGAGAACTTATTTCCCATCACCAAGCCCTGTAATGGCTTATACATTGTTTATATAGCGACACTTGTCTCCCACTAGAATAAGAGCATTACAAATGAACTGTGGGATTAGCCATTAATACTTTTGCCGAATATGTAAATATGTGAGGTTTCTTAAATATGGATTTTCTGGAATGAAGTGGACATTGTTGTGATACACTCTGAAGACTGTTTTACCTTCTAAAATATGTTTCATAGTCATCTTCATCAGCAACCTCTAGTGGTGTAACAGCCATCACAACACGCTGTCCAACAAGCAATTAAGTCTCTGTGTGCAGAAGATTCTACCAGTTCTCCTGTGTTTCAAGCACTTGGAGAAATGAGCTGTTGACAGAATAAATTTTACATTAACTAGCTAGATACAATGCATGTAAAACCTATTACATTCCACCATATACCCTACTCTCTCACCGAAAATTATTCGCTTTGTTACCTAAACACACAAACAAATACAGCCCTTTCCTTTAGTGTTCCCTCCAAAGCTAGAACAGCTGTTCTATGCTACTGCTCAATGAGTTGTGATCAACTGTCACAAATAAAAATGACATAAGAAACCAGTGCACAGTTAATTAACTCGCGAGCTAATGCAGAAGCTAGCTATTGTTATCAATGGTGAAGTCCTTCAGGGCCCAGAGCCAATCTTGTTAGCTTTAATTTTTATCTTTAATTAATTTTCTTAGCTATAAGCTAGCTGACAGAGTATATGGGGAACTACATTTTTGCACTAATTACCTATGCCCAATTGCACAACTTAGAACTATGTTCTGTGCAAAATAATTAGCTGTCCAGCAGATATCGCGCAAGATCTGCATTATACTCCATGCCCTTCAACTCCGTACGCTCTCTACAGCAAGGGAAAGCCACCCCGATATTCACTCTTTGATTTAGATCTGCTATTTTTGGTTTCTTTGGCAGTGTAAAATTTAGTAGGAAATGGTAAAATAGGCTGTTGTGTTATTTTCCCTGCCATTATTCGTTAAAGAACTCTCCAGCAGTTAATAAAACTCAGGTTTGTAGATAGCTTGTTTTCATGCTAAGCTAGGCTATAACCTTCTACCCTGCTATAGCCACAGAGCCTGTATTTTTCTTCATGTGATCTTACATTTTATTGATAGCTGTCAGGGGAGCTGTCAGGGGAGCTTCACCAGCCATAACAAAAATCACTGACCCCACCTCAAAGATTGGTACTTTGCACAAAACCCATGCTTTTTGTTGGGATTTTTGTAGGGAACCTCTGTCTTGGTTGGGTTGATGCATTTTAAGATGGCAGTAAGAAAGTACTTCAGCCTGTGACCTATTCCATGTGAGAGTAACCCTGTAACCTCAATCCTAGTCCTATATTAATCCCCAGGTAATTATGTTTCAAAAATGAAGAATGCTAGAGCATTGCAAAGATATCAAGAATGACTGGTAGGCAGGTTGTTCATCACTTTAGCTCTTAAAATTCAGTAGTATACAGAAAATCTAAAAAAAGTATCGCTGCAAACTGCAGTTCAGTATTTTGCTTCCAAGTGGCCAAGTGTAGTACAAGTCTTTCCAATGTTTTACGTTTTTAGTCAGCAAATGCACCTGTGCCGTGCTGTTCCAAGCATTTATTCATTCAGTTGAGCTCTTTAAAGAAGGCTTTAAAACATAGCTGAATAATCTCATTGGGGTGTTGCACTCAGTAACTTCTTTATTTTTTCTCTCCCTGCACAGGTCCGGAGGAAGCCCCTATCAGGCCTGCTGGAAGGCGTATTGTGGTACCCCCTGGTGGCCGGTCCAATATCACATCCCTCAGTTAAATAGACTGAGAGAATGAATCATTAGATCAAGATTAATTAATCAGAATGGGAGGACATCATTAGTCAGGGGATAAAATAAAGAAGATAAGCAAAACATGGAATCCTCATGCCTTACCTTTCATAAAAACTTTACCCACTTTAAGCTTTAAAGAGAACAGTAGGCCTTCTCCCAGGAAAAGTTGGGTATGCAGACAAATCAGCATTTAGAAAACAGAGAGACTGGTTTCACCTTACATAATTAGAATAATAACAGCTGCACTTCTGCTGATGTCATTTGACAAATTTAAATGTGCTGTAAGTGTTAGGATAACAGGTGTGTGAAACCTTAGTCTCTATTTTGCCCATTCAAATATTTTGAATTCTTTGAAATCTCTTACTCTCAGTATGCTTTCCTGGAGAGGGATTGCTGCCTTGCTCATAATGAGGCGCTTGTCTTTTGTTGTTCATCATGTTAGACTTTTGTGACTTTAGACATGGTTTGTCTGCAGTTCATGTAATACCTTTAGGTGTAGATAAATGCCAGTGTGATCATGGCAGATAATAAGCTTTGTGAAAAAGGTTGCTGTTGATTTTTTGGTTACATGATCAGCAGCAAGGATAAACAGATAAACAGAGGTGGTAATACATTGTGAGCACTGCTTTTTGTATCATACAGAATGTGATCATTTGTCATGTGCTGTTCCTTGACAGTTTTCTCCCAAACACTGGCTGGAAATTAACATGAAATTAAGCTTCACGTCTGCTTGTCAACCTTATTGCATTTCACTTGTCGAATTCAGCGTCACAGAAGCGAATGGAAAAATCCATGGTATTTTAAGATTACAAAGATACACTAAAGTAGGTAAAAGTTAGCAACTGAGTCTTTAAAAAACAGAATGACATTTGTGAAATGAAATCACATTTGCTAAAAACCTGCAGAGAAAAGACGGAGTTTCCTTTTGGCATTTCTTTTTTCTGACATTGCTGATTTAACCATTGTAGGATTTGCATAGTGCAGAAAAAGCAAGCAGTTCCTGTGTGTAATCATACTGCAAATTATTCCTTTGCCTGTAACACTCAGCAGTTTCTTTTAAGTAATTTGTCTAATTGGTAGTAACGCAGTAGCACATACCTAACAAGGCAAAAGGAAGAGTTTAAAGATTCTAGAGAATCAGACACACTGGAGAAAGTCAACAGTCAGTTCACTCACCACCCTTTAGTTTGCATACAGTCCTAAGAAGGCTTATTACAATGCACTCCTGTTCAGAAGTCACAAAAATGTTGTCAGTAAATCTTGTTTTATGAGTATTATTATATTTATGGAAGTTTGAGTGTTTGAAATTTTACTGTTGAATCAAAATGAAAATGGGGGCAGGTCAAAACCACCAATGGCAAAATCTGTTCCTGAATAAAAACAAGTTGCAACTGCTGGTGTTCATCACATTGCACTGTGATGTGGAAATAGAATTTCTTATTAGGAAATCATAAATTGCTACTTCCACAGTTTCCTTCTAACAATCAAGCAAATGATTATCATACCACTATCATACCATGCTGTAATTTTTTTCTGAAAAACTTAACAAGACATTTAAAGCAATAGTGAACAAATTTGGAAACAAATCTCAATGGATCACATCTCATGAGTCACTCTCACATCTCAACTGAATCTGACCCAGTTTCTCTTTTATTGTGAAGTATATAGAATTCCATAGTTTTGCAGAATTTCACTCAAAAGACAATGTTATGCATTCATCCTCATGGGAAGGAAACCTCAAGTCACACTTCCATTTCCAGACATCATATGCAGTATTGCTGTTGAATGCAGATTTGCATCATTCACTCACGGGCAGTAGAGGCACCAGGGCTATTGTTTTGAATGGGCACCCCACGTTCACAGGTGGGGCGAAGCTTGAATTTCATTCTTGCAAACGGAGAGCTACATCAAATGAAGGAGTAATCATAATTACTTAATTAATTACTTACATAATTAAGACCTCAGAACGGAAAACAGTGAAACTGAGATACATAAAACTAAACTTTTGAAATTGCTTAAAAGTCTGGTTTCCGTTCTAGCAATTCTAAAATACACTGAGGAACCACAATGACATTGTGATATTATATTGAATAATATTAGGTCACAGAAAATGAAGAAATGAAGCACAAAAATGTTTGATTTGGTGGTGGTAGTATGAGGCAAGACTGAGGAAGGGGAGAGAACTCAGAACTTAAGAACTCTGAGAACAGTAATGTTTATTTTACTGAAATAATATTTTACTTGAGTATGGTAAGGCTACTTTACCCACTTTTGCTGAAAAGTATTGTTTAGCCAACTTCAATTATATCAAAGGGGCTAGGGTTAGATCTACTTAGAGTTTGGAAGCATTCAGCATTGAGGGAAAAGTAAGCTATGTTCTGGTGCTGGATACAAATACTTCTATCATTTAGAAAGTGTGAATACAGATAGGTCCCAATGCATCACATCATGGTTAAATAAATTAGAATTGCAGAAGACAAAAACAAACAGCACATGTGAAGAACAAAACCCAACACTTTTCTGGGATGACTATGGACGACAAAAAAAAAATAAAAATTCACAATGCTGAAAGCATACTGTGAAACATGGTGTAAGTAGGGCCATCTCTGGTCTGGATAGCTTACTGCAGTCATAGCAATGTCTTTGTCACATCTGTAACATAACATTATAGCACAGTTAACATATACACCTCCATTACTTTTTTCCCTTCAGCTGCAATTTTTTTCCTGAAAACTTCATGCAATAAAAATTATATTTTTGTTGGGGACTACAATACTGTGCAAAAGTCAGAGACAACTCTTGGGCAAGTTATTCATTTTCCAGAAGATATGTCTGAAGAGATTAACCATAAAATAACCCACTTGCATTAAGGAAGGGTAAAGTCAAAGGAAAAAAAACTGGAGCTCAAAGTATTTCTCACAGATATAGAGAAGCGCAAGGTGTGGTAGACTAACAAAACTCTTTGCAGGACAGAAGAAAATCAAGTTCCAATCTTGCTTATGATTTGAAAAAAAAACCACAGGTGCTTCTGTCTATCCTTCCACTGTGAGAAGACAACGCTATGTCTGAAAGAATGTGTAGCTGTCAGTCATCTGTTACTGAGATAAGGAAATAGACACAACCCCCCCCCCAAAAACAGATAAAACAAGTAAGAGTCCAGACATCAAATTCACTGAATGCGTATGATCATCAGAAGCAGAAAATGTAACCAACTATGAACTTTAAAGCTGTGGAAAATTATCCATGCAGATTTCTTTGAAAAGCTGAAAGCTAGGCTAAGGGTGGACACATGAAGTACTAAAATTTGTGAATTTAGGCATAGTTATTGAAACTCGTGTTATTTTCTGTCAAGTCTATGTCTGCTTTTACTGACGCTGAAAACTTACTAAAACTTTCTGTCTGGGAAAAACATGATCTGAGTTTTGCACAGTACTATACATCTATTGCTTCTGGAAAATATTCCATCAGAACTTCTGTGTGTCGTTGTAAAACCCAAGTCAATATCTAGGCACAAACTGATTGTTTATTTTGAGAATCAACTGTTTGTATGGCCTAGTTGACCCACTGGTCAAACAAGCAGTGCAAACAAATTCCACAAAGACTGCACTTCCAGTGGTGTACAGTATATATAGAAAACATATAGATCACTGTGTTGGCACCAATCTTTCTAAGCTCAACTGAGAAGGATTTGAACTGTAAGCCTGAATGATTTATATGCATACGATCCATGGACATCTGGCAAAAACAGAAAAAAACAGGCCACAGCTACAAATACAACATTGCTTGTTGCCTGCCTGAAAACGTTTAAAGGTTCTTTTTTTCATGTCAACTATTTAAAACGGCAAACGTTACATTAATGTTAAATAGTTGATATGGAAAAAAAAACCTTGCAGCATCAAAGCCTACTGAGCATTTTTAATGACCGCCTTGCAGCAGACAATGATTAAAGTGAGTTAACTAAACTTTAGCTTGTAAATAAAAACTAGGAAAAACAATACATAGGTAATGTAATTGATAAAAATAACTGCAGCACATAAAAAGAAGCCCTTCGGTCACTCCCACTGTCATTGCCAGATGCTTGAGCTGTATCTAAAAGTATATGGAAGAAGACTTCATCAATAGTATCCAGATTACATCACTAAAACTCACACAAAAGCATTCAGCTTCAAACGCTGATACATTTCATAGGCTTCTAATAGGAACAAGAATGGCTAATAAAATACATGTGAACAACTACATAATTTTTGTGGAAAACAAAAAAATAAAACCACAAACACACAAAAAAGCCATTCTTTCAGCACACATTTAACAACTAACCTAACGTACAGGTAGATAATGACAATGCGGCTCCTTGGCTGCTCAAGCGTAGACAGAACAAATATCCACATAATCACACAACAAAAGCAAATGCACCAATGGCAGAACTGAGGTCTTTGAAACTATGGTTGTATGACACACCTTAATTATACAGTTCAACTGAAAAACACTGAGCACATAAAAATCAGTCACTCCCACTGTCACTGTCATCCTCTTCATCACTGTCATTCTCTTCATCACTGTCTTCTTCTGTTTTATCAGTTTTCTCATTTGTATCCAGTAGTCCAGAAAAAAAATCCCCTCCTCCACCAAATGCCTTACTACTAAGTGCCTTGAGTCGTCCGTCTTTCTTCTTCCGTCGTCGGTAATCATTAATTGACGTTTTGGGCAGACTGGAAATGTCCCAGAACTTTATGAGCTGGTCGTGAGCACAACTAGCAACAAAGCGCGTGTCCCGTGAGCAAGCAATCTCTTCAATAGGCTCACCGGCATGTTGACCTACGCTGCCAACTACTCGGTTGGGCAAAATGCTGATAGCTCTGGGGAGGTAAGAAAGCGAACACAAAATTGACAGTCTAAAACACATTTAATGACAATCAAAAATCTCACAATACGACCATAATGTTTAATTTTAAGAAAAATACCCCACTGTACAGTAATATATGTAATAATATATATAATAATATATGTAATAATTCCTAATATAACATAGGTATTTAATTCCTTTATACAGCACTTATATACTCTTCATAAAATCGTTTCTTGTTCCCTTTCTTGTGTGCTTGTTGTCACATTAAAAAGTAAAACCAAGGAAATGTAAATCAATTGTTCACTGTGAAAATTTTAAGCATAGTGATATAATTTTTTCCATATTATTGCCCACCCAATAACAAATACAACAGATACAAATGGGAAAAGAAAAATGTTACTGCTTGTACAAAATACAGAAATATATTTTGAAAAACACAGAAATTAAGAATTTTAGTTTTTTAATCTTCATATTACAGAAGCAAATAGGAAAAGAGAAGTGTGCATCAATCTTTTCCTTACAATTAATTCTTTACAAAATAAGCATACATCATTGTTTGTCCCCAGTGCAAGCCCTCTTACCTGATGACTCCATCCATAGAGGCAGCACAAAGTAAACTGTCTGTAATTGGTACAATGGAGTCAATGGACACCGCCTGGACAGCAAATCGGTCACTAGTGGCCCCAAATCCATTCCAGTTGAAAATGTATATTGTCCCTTCACTGGACCCGCACACCACTTTTCGGCCTCTCTGTTAGTTAGGGAAAGGAGGAGTTAAGTTGGCTTTGCCAGGTAGATCTATTAAACATCATCTTATTGTTGTCCTATTAGATGCCACTCCTGTTACAACTTTTGAGCTACAGCCACCATACTTTGTCCTATCTGGGAAAACATGTTTCTTGCACTCTTTTTTTCAGATATCTTTTTCCCTGTCACTTTTATTAATTTCCTCATAAACAACAGTGGGAACACAATATTCTGCTTTTGATAGTTGTAGCTTTAAAATTTAACAAAACTGGACATGTTCCCCCTGGTTTCCAGTGTTCAGTTTTATAAATCTATGTTGATGGTCTCTTGTGGAATGTGTGCTTCCAAAATAAGATGCAAAAAAAAAAAAATTCTGCTTCCATGTCCAGGTTAAAACAAAAAATCCACAAAAATAGAAAACACATTATTATATGAATTACAAACAGGAGTTTTAACATGTTCCCTGATAATTTTATAAAAACATTTTCCCCCATGACCTTAATTGTTAGTATTCTGGCTGTAATAGCTTCATTTAAATCTAATCCTTCTAAAGCAGAGGAGCAAAGAGGAAAATGATAATGTGCAGAAACGCCTAAATACCTATAACAAGTAAACAAGCTGTGCAGTGGTAAAATAGTCTCAGGCGAGTTACAACATTACACATGTTCTGCTCATCAGGTCTTTGCATTAGAAATAATAGCCCTGTGTTGGGACACTGCAGCATTGCGTTCTAAAAGCTACTTTGCTGTCTTGTTCTATGTCCCATGTAAGCTTGTGGAAAGTCATTTTTGAGTTGTCATACTTCAGAAATCCTTTTTTCACAAACAAAAACCTTGGCTTCTTCTAACAGGAGTAAAATTTATTGCAAGGGATTGAAAAATGGACTGAGAATGACTCACTTTCATAATGGAAACAGAAGTAAGATCTCCATTCTGAAACTCAGAAAGCAGTTCAAATCTTCTCCTTTTTATGCTGAACACACCCATCGTTCCGTCACCACTGAAAAAGATCACAATCAGAAAAAGCCCTCAAAATATCACATGTACACCAAACATGAAAACAATTGCCTTCTCTCCTATTTATAGACATGTCTTAGTATTTTGATATTCAAAAGAGTGGCTCAGCACTTTGTATACCTAATTATTTAAATCTTCAAAATACAACTACTAATGTCAAACTGGGTTTCATAAAGGCCACAGCTCTGCAGAGATAAGCATTTTCCCTCTTCTAACACTCTGCATTCATCTCATGAAGGCCTTGTTAATTAGCTGATCAGATGAATAAGGCAGAAGGTTAATGAAACAGAAACTCTGCAGAGCTATGGCCTGCTAAGACTGGAGTATGGCCTGAATATGCCGTCATGTTAAAGGTTAATAACATATGAAAGCAATTACTGGGGACAAGAACTAGTCCCAAATACATTTCTTTCATTTAAGATTCCAGATTCGGCATTTTAAGAAGAGTTCAGAACAACAACTTCACAATGAGCTGCTACATATAACTGCTATATATTTAATATGGCTGAAATCTGAACAGTCTTTCTAGGGTACAAGCTGTGCCTGTCAGCACAGTACCTGGAGGTAAGCAATGTCTTCTTGGCCTGATCGACAGCAATATCACTGATGTAATCCTCGTGGTGTTTCAGAGACATGAATGAAGTGCCTTTTCTCATGTCCCACACTTTCAGTGTGCCTTCATCGTCACCAGTGGCAATCACATTCTCATCAACTAACAGCAAGGCATTGATGGGTGTGCTAAAAAGGAGTACAGAGCAAGTTAAAAAATGGACAATTACAATTAGCTCACAATACACAGAAGGTGAGTAGAGCAATTACTTTATGTTGACCTATAACATGAGTATGTGCACTTTTTTAAGCTTTTCAGTATAAATTAAATTCACTTTATCACACTGCAACAAGTTCTCATAATATGACTGACTTTTCAGGACTCAGTAGACCAAGTTAATACCTGTGAGCTTTAGGAATACGTGTCACAAGCTTTCCAGCTTCCACATCCATTATGTGAACAGCCTTGTCTTTGGACACACTGAATAATTCTGGGAAGGACAGAGGTATTTACAGAATATTTAAATATTACGCAAAATGCAAAGTACAAAGGAGTCACATCCTGAATATCTGAGATCTGTAAGCTGTTTTGCATATCCACAACTAAAATCAGTGCATACAATTACAAAAACTGCTCCCAGGATTTGCTAGAAATCAAGCTGTTAGCAAATGTACTAGATGTAAGTATTTGGAATGGAATCCTTGACAGAATTATCTAATCATAATTTACAATGATGTCAGAACTTAAGTAAACCATATTTTGCAGGTGATTCACAGCTTCAGTTCAGGATTGAATCATACCCTTAGCTTAAAATGAAGATTGTTGTGAACAGAATCAAGTGTGTCAGTGCAGGAAAAATGTGAAACATGACGCTCACATTCATTCTCAGATTTCAGAATGTTTGCATGTATTCCTGTATGGACCATTTCACCAGTTACAAAGCACTTAAAATGACTTAGGACCTATTATAATCCTTTTGCAGTTAGTTTGCAGCTCTTCAAGCTGCTGGTACCACTATAAACAAAATTTTACAAGACAGCGAATGAATCCATACTAACTTTCACCATCACTTGAGAAAGCAACCTTCCTGCATGACTTGAGGTGATGCCCAGATGACCACAGCTCTTTGTTCTCCCCCTCAGTACAAGAGTAGCTGTATCTGTAATACAGAAATACATATTTAGACAACTATGATGGATTTCTCTCATTTTTATCACTTCTCACTAAAATAGGTTCAGGGTGGCAGTTTTAGAATGGCAGTTCTCCACTGTCTTTAATTACCATAGTAATTTAGTGCAATACTAGGTTTTGCCAGGTTATATGGGTGTAATTCAGTTTCAAACAATCAACACTTAGTTAGTTTAAAGGGGAATTACAGAGTTTTCAAACTTTCTGCATCATGAAATTGTTACGGTGTAAAGAATCATTCAGAGAGGTTTAACATAAAATTCTGCAGAAACTTATAATGTCAGAACCGTTTACAGTGGTGGTGACAGGAACCAAATGTCCAAAGTATTCAATGCCTCTAAGCCACCTCACAGAAAGCTTCACTACAAAATGGTTATGAATACATAAACTGATGCCTAAGACATTTTTTACAACTGTTTTGAGCTTAGTTTTTGGCTTGAAATATAATATTTAAAAATTACATCCGTGAAAGTATTACACCTTAAGACTTGGGAGACATGTGTAGGTTCACTGGTCATTTTGGAAAAAATTAAAGTCTAAATTTGCTTTGTAGACATCATAACCCTTGGTTTCTGTCACCACCAGTGTCTATACAATACAATTTCACATCAAACCACTGTGAATTACTTTGTTTACATTTCAACAATCTAATTAAGAAGTAATTTCATTATTTACTAACATCGACTAAATCATTCAAATACAACTAAGTAGACAGCATTCTTCTCTACTTGTGCTGAAATGCATTACTGAAAAGCATCAAGAAGATGCAATAACTATCTTCAAGTGTTTCAGTGAAAGCACAATTTTTCTCTTACTCTCCCAGGCCACTAATGGAATACAAGAAACCTAATCAAACCCAGAAAATCAAACCTAGTTATATGCTAGAGTGTAGGATGTAAAGACAGTATAATGAACGTATCATTATCTCATACATTTCGCCACATGTCTATGACAAAGAAAACATACAAATATATATCTCCATCAATGTCTCCAGCAGCAAGGATGTCTTCGTTAGGATGGAATGCCAGTGTATTAACGATGGCCTCTTGCTTAATGTCTTCTGGAGTCTCTCGGATCTTCGGTGGTGGAGGCTCGTCATCAAGCTCGTCCTGATGATGTAAGGCAGGTGAACATTAAGGGACTGCGAATAACTTTAACAATGTAACACTGTACAAACGAATCATATCAACCCTGAAGGCAGATACTCTATTTTGCTACTCACTTCTCCAGATAACGCTAGCACGCTTAAAGAAAAACAATTTAGCATAAAAGGCAACACGAGCAGCAAGTACTACAAACGTATTACGTCATATACAACAGAAACTAGTGTAATTAGAAATCTACTGATAAAAAACTCACATTATGTTCTAAAACGCTTATTGTTTCTGCTTCGGGAGGAGAATCATGTGCCTCCTCGGGCGTCGCCATCTTGTTTGTAGGCTACTTTACAAGCTCATTTCCAAGTTAAAAGTCTTCTCTTGCTGTTTCATTTGAAGACTTTTATTGATCTAAAACAAAACAAAAATATGATCGTTATCTTTGTTCGTGTTTTTACTTCAAAATTGTTTTGAAGATTTTTACTGTTTTTCTTAACTTTTTGAATGTGTATTACTAAATAGTAATTTTAAAATAATATTTTTGCACAAAAATATGCATAATTTTAGTAGCCTAAAGGTCGCAAATGATAATCTTATAATTAAATTGTGTTGATTCTTGAGAGCACAAAAATTGTTCGTAAAGTTGTGCGTAAATTTTAATGGAACGTTGCCTACTAGGTTTCACAATTGATTGTATACCAGCTCAAAATAAACACTTGAAAAATGAGAAAAGAAAAGAAACACTAAAACGAACATTTAAATGTTGAAAATAAATGCATCTGATAAAAAATATCACTTTGTGGTTATGACTGCGATTAAACAGTTGTGCCACTAGGTGTCAATACATACACACATATAGAACTCAAGCTTCTACAAAAGTATCCTACTAAGGTACTAAGTACTACCAGAACTACACATAGCCTAGGTCTAACATGAAAACCTTTTATAAATATTGAGAAGATTATTTTCTATTTATTGTATGTGGCAGTGTTAATGAATTCTGACAGAAAACGATCAAATAAAAGTGACAGTCAGATTATGTAAAAAATGTAAAGTATCTAATTTTCAGTGGAAAAGCAAAATAAACATGCAAATTTGTAATTGCAATGTGACCATTATATAACTGCTGCATGTCCTTTGGCTACCATTTATAAAAATGCCATTATGGCTTTAGAAAGTGCAACCACAATACATGTCTCATCTTTTAATGTAGAATCATAATTCATTAATCCACATATGCACCTGAGATTACAAACCAGCAGATTACTTGAATAAACTGTATCAACATATATATATATATATATATATATATATATATATATATATATATATATATATATATAAAACATTGATTATATGAAATAACTATACTTTCTAGTAGAACCCAGTTACATGCAATATTGAGATGAATGTAAACCTGTTATTTTACACTTAAGAATAAGTATGGATTCTCTGAAGAACTACTTTAGTTATAAATCACATATTTCATATTGTAAACCTGCTTAAAATCAGTTTGGTTACAGAGTATTTTATGATTAGTTTTACATTCTGCTCAGTACTTAAAAACGCTTAAATATCTAATATATTTGCAATTTAATTTAAATTTGGTTAAAATTTGTTTGTGACTGATGTAACGTGTTATTTGAACATTAAATACTAAGATAACAAAACAACGTCTTACATTGTAATGTAAACTTTACTTACTTCTATGCTAGCACAACAAACTAAATAACTTTTGGGGCCCCAGAGTGGTGTAACTGCATGTTCATCCCCAACATCAGGATGTGAGTTTGAGCCTCAGTGATGCCATATCTGCAACTTAGAGCCCAAGAGGAGGAAACGCCTGGTGGAGTTCTGCGATGGAGTTCCAGCTAATGGAGACATTGAGTAAAAAAATCTATATTGTTACCATTTCTGAGATGAAGTGCTAAATAATGTTACATAACATACCTCATACTCTGTTGTGTAGGGTCAGTAATAATTGTTTTTGGCCAGTATCTACAGCTTGAATAATTTATTACATCTTAATCCTGTTTAACCGTTTTTATCTCTAGCAGGTCAACTAGAGCAGGTCTGCTTACTAATCTCCCCCCAAAAATACCATTAGCTTATTAGAGTTTATTCAAAATGCGTTGCCTTGGTTTGAAGTGTTGCTACCTGTCTGTAAATTACTCTATGGCTGACCAAAATACATCTACTCAAAGAATACAAACCTAAAACTCGGGACCGGTCAGCTAGCAGTACACAGAAAAATCCAGATTAAGGCATTTCTTCTTTCCTGTGCTTTTAGCATTTAAGCACTTTCTGTGTAGATATTCCACTTTTCAAAATTCCATAAATATTATATATAAAATTATATAATTTTAATGTTTTATGCTGTTTTTATTATTTTTTTTTAAATAAAGCACCCTTAAATGCCTTTATGCCTGTGTATGAAATGTGCTATAGAAGTAAATTTTCCCTGCTTTGCCTTAAAAGAGGTCACTCACCAAAAAACAAACAAACAAAAACATCCCTAACCAGCATAAAACCTTAAAGCATATAGTGTTTTCAGTGATGTCCCATAATCTAGTAAAATGTGGTACAGCCAGGAGCATCTCTTAGGTCCACAACAGTTGTGTACCAGAATCCCAAATTCAGCAGGAATCATTTCCCCACACTTTTGAATGGATCCCTGAAGGTTTCTCTTGTTGAATGTCCCCCATAGTGAGTTGAAGTGTGAGCCCCCACTAGGTGTCTTGCCTGTGGCACTTTCTACCCTTTTACGTTTGAATGTCAAGACTCTCCATGCGGAAAATTGATTCCCAATGATACTACTGAGTGCCTGGGTCACTCAAGAGAAGAAATATAATCTCACTCCAAAAGAAAACCTACAAAATGAAACAGAAATGGTGGAAATAAAGGATTTTCATGAAATTATGAAGATAGTACGTAAATTTAAGCATGAAACACCAAACAAAAATGCATGAAAAGTTTAGCTGTAAATAAGCACCAAGACCCTGTTAATGCTTCTGTCCTAAAGAGTTACTTCACAGTGCTGGGTACAACATATTCAGTATAATGGATACTGGAGGCTAAAACATTAGGCCTAGTTTTGTAATGTGCAACACTATGATCCAGCAGTGGGGTCAAAAGCAAGCATTTAGCTACACTCCACTTTTAAATACCAGCATACTCTACATGCAGGATTCAGTGCCACATATACTGCAAAGTGTCAAGGGCATGCTTCATTCCAGCAATCGAACCATCTAGTGCACCTTCTCCAGGCTGGGACTAACCTGGGCCATGTGTTGAGCTGTAATTCATTCCCCCACCGAATGGGTAAATACCCTCGGCAGAGCCCCTATCAAATTCCTGCAAAACAAAGACACAGAGCACTTGCAAGGGACGACTGCACACTCCCAGCCATAATGAGCCATCTGTTCAGCCATGGCAGCACAAACCAAATGTCATCAAACTGTGAACCCCCTCTCTCTCTTTTTCCACCTCACCATCATTGCAGGTAAACAGTTAGGACTGAGAGAGATCCCTGGTAATGTTCAATGTGTAGTAAACAGCTGTAGCAGTACAGTTCGGATTGGAGATTGGCCTGTGGAAATGTGTTTTGATCAAAGCACAGCAGAAAAAGCATGCATTTATAATCTTAGATAAGCTGTGTTTACTGTGATTTATGATTTGATATATGATATATATATGTATATATATATATATACACACCGATCAGACATAACATTATGACCACCTCTATGTTTCTATGCTCATTGTACATTTTATCAGCTCCACTTACTATATAGGTGCACTTTATAGTTCTACAATTACAGACTGTAGTCCATCTGTTTCTCTGCATACTTTGTTAGCCCCCTTTTACCCTGTTCTTCAGTGGTCAGGACCCCCATGGATCCTCACAGAGCAGGTACTACTTGGGTGGTGGATCATTCTCAGCACTACAGTAACACTGATGTGGTGGTGGTGTGTTAGTGTGTGTTGCGCTGGTATGAGTGGATCAGACACGGCAGTGCTGCTGGAGATATGCTGATCTAAAAGGGGGCTAACAAAGTATGCAGAGAAACAGATGGACTACAGTCTGTAATTGTAGAACTACAAAGTGCACCTATATATATATATATATATATATATATATATATATATATATATATATATATATATATACATATATATACACACACACACGTAAGAGCTGTCCCAGTAAATCAATTAAAACGATTGCTTAGCTTAACTAAAATTACAGGCTTCCTAGTAAGGCTGTACAACTAATAATTTTAAATTCAAAACAGTTATTTGAAAGAGCACAATTTGAATTATACATCATTAATATTTTAGGACTGCCTGTATTTGAAGCAGCAACCAAACACCCACATGATGTCTATATAATAACACAGCCAACTACTACTAGAAGTCTGACATAATCAGCTTTTATGGCACAAGTTAGAAAAACTAGATATGCTAGATAAACTACATATGCCGTATGAGCAAGCACTGGCCTTCAGTACTGAGTTCTGTAATACTGTGACCAGCCATACATGCCACCAATGCAAGGACTAACTTAATTTTGATGAGCAGATAGAAATGGATGATGCTAGCATTTGATAACAATGCTGACAATATTCAAGAATTAAAAATGGATTTTTTTTATTTCATGGTTATCTGAGAATATCATGAAATGCCCTTTTGCTACTCTTGGTTCTTGTAACAAGACTACAATAGCTCTTAACACAGTTTGGACAAAGCATTTAAACTTGCTACTAATTGATGAACAGGCGGTTGGAATTTTTCAGAATATTACTAGAATGTCTTGGGATCTGAGATTTAGACTCGTACAGTTCAAAATCCTGCGTTGATTCTACTGGTCACCTTGTAGATTATACAAGCTAGGTCTACAATCACCAGAATATTGGTGGTGGTGGGATGGGAAGGGTAGCTTGGTACATGTCTGCTGGTCCTGTACAAAAGTTCAACAAATCTGGCTTTGTGTTCATGATTATTTATTTAATCAATTCACTTCAATCAAATATTTTGAGATCCTGTGTCCACAGATGAAGGACTAGAGGATCACCAACACAAACTGCAGCAATAGATGAGCTATCGACTCTGATTTTACATCTGTAAGATGGACCAACAAAGTAGGAGTGTCTAATAGAGTGGACAGTGAGTGGACACTGTGTGTGATCCACTTGTACCACCACAACACACACTAACACTACCACCTCATCAGTGTCACTGCAGTGCTGAGAATGATTTGGTCAAACAATGATTTTAAACAGCATCAAAAAAAGCCAGTTTTTACTCTTTAATTTTAGACCTACCCTCCTAATTGTGAAAATAGAACAGCAATCAGATCAAAAAACAAACGTTTAACTGTTTCTATGAGCAGTTCTATATATTGTTCTTGGTTTGCACAGTCATTGAGCTTCCATATCATATCCATATAACCTGATACAAATACAAATCTTTAGAGATCACTTGCCTCTCCCATTACGATTTTTAAAAAAAAATATCCAAGTTAAGAATTTTATTGCTGTCTGATTTTCTATACTGATTTATCATGATGTATGTCAACCAACAATAGAGGCTTAGGGCTTCATCATCACAGCTTAATTTATAAGATAATCACAATTTATACAATTTATATAAAACAGTGTATGCATGGCCTTTCAAAGATTTTAGAATCTCTGGAGAGCTACGAATGATTTGTCATTGTTCAGTTAATTCCATTTTTATTCTATTATTCCATTTTATTCTAAAAAACGCTGACTATTTGAGTAATTGTCAATATCATCAGTCAACTATTTAATTACTGAAATAATCAATAACCAAAATAAGCAAAAACCCTAAATAAGCAACAACCCTAATTTGCACACATTACACACACCTACATTTACCATTTTATAGAAAATATTCAAATGGCACTACATTATGTTAAAAATCACAAACACCTTTCAGTTTAATCATTTAATGCCCATAAACATTTGCAAACAATAACAACGGCAATTCATTCTGAAGCCTACAACACAGAACGACAAAAGAGAACAGTAAATTATGGTACAGAAGCTGAGGACCACCAAATCATTTAAACCAAGTTATAAAACAAAGAGTGTCCTTGGCAATTGAGTCTTCTAAGGCTTAGTGAAACAACCAAATAGAAAGGGCTAAAAGCAAACCCTTGCCATACATTCTTCAAAATACTTAAGCATATGCTAATTTGGCAGAGAGACATGTGAAGTCTGACTGACTAAATCTTCAGTGTGCAGTGTCCACTTCGACAGGCACCTTGGTTGAACCACACAGTAATGTGTATAAATTTACAGACATTTATTTACTAGAACTGTGCAAAAAAGGTAAGTCTTAATATGAACAAAGCTAAAGGGATCAAAAAATTTTAAGTGGGATAAAAAAAAGGCAAAAATAAAACAGAACTAAAAATGTTTACAAACCCCCTGAAATATATTTGAAAATATGCAAGCTTATCTTAACTGAACTAATGTACACAAAAATTCTTTTTTGCCCCCCATTTTTCAATTAAACAAAGCCTTTTTCAAGTTGCAGGCTGCTATTAGATTTGTGTACTAAGACTGTTTTGTTCAGGATAATAAGACCACAGCTCTGGTTACAGGAGCGGACAAAAGGCAGATGAGGACTACATAGCTCTGGCCCATTTAAACAGCACACTCCCTTCTCCCCTACAAGAGATAAGACAATAGTAATTCTGTTGTGCACAGTGTGTAGAGATTATTTTGATTTTCCTTTTTCATTTTTATTATTTTTTTTTTTGCAGACAGTAATGGAAGAGTGTTTGTGAAAATCCATATATCCTCCTCCACAGGCATTCAGAGGACCACAGAATAGACAGAAGGACAGAAGCCAATCACTGGTCACCAACCCTCTTCCTGGCATCTTTTAACTACCTTTAAACTCTACAGAAAGGTAGATCTCCAGGACAAAGGCTGGTGGCGTGTGGTGCTGGGAAGAGTTTTGGTGAATCATTATTAAATGAGGAGGGAGTGTCTATTCCTTGGTGGGAACCTCAAATTCAGAGGTAGTTTTCTGGGCAACACTGTCTGAACTTTCAGCAGGTTCCGTGCCCTCTGCCGGTTGGCCGTTTTGCTGAAGCCCACTCTTTCCTTCAGTTCCAGCCCCCTCTAGATGACTGGTCTCGTCAAAGCCAGGCCCTTCTCCCTGTGCACCATCGCCATCGTATATGATGTCCTCAGGGTTTGGTGCAGGAGGACAGAACTCCTCATCTGGGAGGAGCTGACGAAATACTGATTCAGCCTACACACAAAGATAAGGACAAATTACAGCACAATTAATCTGTCATTGTTTGACAAGAACTGAGTTATGCACTGTATTTTCTCATTAGGTTGAACGGGATTCTTGCCTGTAAAGTTTATCAAATCTCGTCCACAGCTACTATGAAAGAATGCATTTGTGGACTGAACATTGAAAGGTCACTTACATAAGCAACTAATCTTTTTAGCAAGGCAACTTAATTTTACTTTAACACACAAATGCCTTACACATTCTAAAAAATGATGATAATAATAATTCAAAAATAAAATTTCAAGTTTTAGCATCTCCTCCAAGCTATATTATCGCCCTCTGTTGGACATACCAATTTAATGGAGTAGTTGTGGCCAAGGCTGGCATCAGGGCCAGTGCAGACATGGACATTGCTGGGAAGACTGTAGCAGCTGCTGTCCAGGCTGGATGTGTCTCGCATGTTGAAGTACATGACCCACAATGCTGTAGGCTTCTCACTCTCCACAGAACCTGGACACAATATAGAAATTATCGATACTGCACAAACCGAAGGAATTTTAGACCACTAATGTTGTCTTTCTGAACATATCTAATAGATCTAGTACACTCTTAAAAATAAAACAAAAAAAGTGCCACAAAGCATTTTTGGGCGATGCCCTAGAGCCAGGCCTGCCACACAATCCTATCCGGCCCGTAAAAGTTTTTTAATTATCTACTAATGTTAGCCCTTTTCACAATGTGTTGCACTACAGTCCCCAGCATGCACTGCAACGTAATGTTCTCTGACTCTCCTACCCCAACAACAATCTATGGAACAGTGGTTATACCTCAATTCTACACAAGTCATACCAGTCATAACACCAGTCAGATCACCAAAATGCATTTCCGCAGCAGTTCAACCAATATAGACACTTAACATTAGCTCAGCAGCTCGGAAATTGAGCCCAAGTCTTAATGAACTTACAGCAAAGAAAGGATGCTAGGTGTCTAGTTCAAGCAAAAAGGCAGGTTTAAAAGACTGAGCACCTGGGGAGACAAACATAAGAAACCATATAAGAAACCATTATTGCACCGCTAAAACGCTTTGCACCACACAGGCCTGCTCTGGGACGGTTACCAGCTGCTTGACACCTCCTAAGGAAAACTCCACTTGCAGGGGCTGCTCAAACAACGCAGTCAACCGATGGTAGCACCATATGCACTTCCAAAATCATACTTAATTCTTAGAGAAATAGTAGACACATGATTTGAAGTAGTCTTGCCTGTTTCTCTGCATTCTGTTGGCACCACAGACCAGTGTGACTATATGGTCAAACATAAGAAGACTGTGTGTATGTGGGTCTATGTGTCTTGTTGAAAGTGTAAAGCTGTCAGTTGGTATCATTACCCTTTAAGTACATGAGCTCTCCCACTCCCCTCCTCTCCAAAGAAAAAAAATGAAGAGAAAAGAAAGGCTAGAAAAAGTGGGGAGAGAAAAGGTGTCAGTCTGAAATGTCAGCACGGTCATTACCCAAATGTCACACAATTATGACGCGTGTTCCTTTTCCTGCCTGAAGTGGCCCAGTGATTTGCTTAATTTAGGAAAGGCGAGGGGGAGAGAGGTGTGGCGACATCAATGTTTAACGCCACTTCAAAAAGACCACCCATCCCTCAAAAGGAAGAAGTGCAAAACAATAGCATCTAACACAACTTGCATCCTCACGGCACAAAACTTGGCTGCATGACCTCCTCTCCTGTAACCTTTTGCAAAATGTGCCACAACTTCCTCCTACCTCAAGCATATCCGAAACAATCTACTGATTTACAGCTTCAGCATGCGTCAAGTCAAAAACCTACATGAACATTGAACGTGCTACACACACACACACACACACACACACACACACACTCACACACACTCACACACACTCACACACACTCACACACAGATGTGAAAAATGTCAGATTATCATATCATACACCATGATTCCTGGTGGGCTTAACATATGCCTACAGTGCCACACTTGCCAAAATCACAGCCACCTCTAACATACGCTGGCACCCTGCCTGAACAAAAACTTCAGAAACAAAAAGTAAAGCAAAGTTAACATCAAAAACAGTAAGCCAACAGCAGATTGCAAATTCATTTTAGGGTATTTCGAGAATGCCACATGCGCTACAATTAGAAAGTATATTTTGCTAAGGCAGTGAAGATGCCAGAAGCGATTGCATAATGAACACATTCTAAAGCCTTGTGGAGGCACAGTTTAAAGTAGGAGGTCTTTTTAAACTTAATCCTCTGCCATATTAAACAAAGATGTGACACTGTAATGTCCAGTGGCTAAAAGATTTCCCTCGTTTGAATAAACATGGTTTACAAATTACTTTTTCCTCTTTAAATTGGCCTACATTTATATTTGGTTAATTCTAAAACATGTGTCCGAACTCAACATCCAGTAAACCACACACACACACACGCACACACACACACACACACACTGTGAGGATCTACCGCTCAGGTGACTTTGTCTCTTTGACCTGTTCTGGCCCACTGCTCCCCTTATCTAGTGATTCATCCTGAAGACCTCTGCCAGTATTTGTTCTGACATTTTAATTAAAATACTACTAGCTCATTCCTGTGATAAAAAGGCTGTGTGTCAAGCGAAGCTCTGCTACACGCCCTCTGTTACACTGGCCACACACCTGAACACACAAGACACACATGCACACAGACACCAGTTTTCAGTTTTTGGCCCTCGAAAGCAATTAAACGGCAGAAGAAAAACAAAAATTTGCCATAGATTGAGAAATTGAAAATGGCATGATTGTAAGAAAAGGAGGGAATCTGTAAGAAAGAGAGTGGGAGAGAGAGAGAGAAAATGAGTGAGAGAGAGAGCAGGAGCTGGAGTAAGAAAGAAAGCCATAACAGAGAGATGCAAGATCGGACATGATGATCGTAATGATTGAGAGAAAAGGATTGTGTGGTGGAGTGTAAGAAGGGTGTAGAAGCAGGTCTCAATCTGGCTCTCCTCTGATGACCTTGTATCACTGCCAAGGAGAAGAAGCCATAAAACAAAACGATGACAATCATCATCACCCACAACGGAAACAGTCTGTCAGGATGGAGCTGTCATTGCAATGTCGACATTTGTACCTAACTAAGACACCTTTTTACTGGGGGAAAAAAATGTTAAACAGAAAGTAACGGAATGAAACACATCGTAAAATCTGTGTTGTATTCCTTTTAAAAACATTCTGGAAATTTTTCTAAAAATGACAAATTGTTTTAGGTAAAAACAAACCCATACCATAGACCAAGGCAACTTCTACAAGTAGGCTGTATTTCTATTCTTTCAAACCAAATTTAGATCCAAACTAAAAGAGAAACACATGTCCGGGCCGTTAATGTGCAAATAAAATATATTAATAAAAAACATCCCTACAAACTCATTCACTTTCTGTCCCAACCATTCAATTGTAATGTGAGGTCGAATGTGAGGTCGCACTCCAATTTACAGTCAAGGAGCCAGGCAGACCCTGACAGAGCGTAATGGGAATCAATGGGACGAGTGGCTGGCCCTAGCCTGCCACACCACCATCAATATCCATCACCGTTATTGCCAATAATGCCTCAGCGCAAGCCCCTCAGTGAATGTCACGGCAACGTGAGATCTTTCTTCTTTAAAGAGAAGGAATGGATGATCTCTTTCCACTGTGGATAGCAGGCAGGGATAAGGACTGCTGGCAGGATGTATAGCACAGAGGCATTTGTGTCTTAGGTAAGAGGCAACAGTCGGACGTCAATAATGTGGAGATGGATAGAAAAAGTGGGGGTATAGCTTTAGATAGTGAGGGATGAAAATAAGAAGTGATGCAGATGATGGTCTCACCTTGGGCAGGCTCCTCTCCGGGGCAGCTAGGAACAAGGAACAGCCTGGAAATAACTGGTGCCAAGTCTTCACGGGCTGAGCCTGAGGATGAACAGGTGAGGTGCACCAAATCTGTTGAAGGTTGATACAATTAGACTGCTTAGCATGTAAACCGCAACATTTCTTCAAACCACTATCAATGCAGTGGCCAAAATGAACATTTCAGGATGAATCACTTGTCAGTTTACTGGCTTATAAAGAGCTCAAAAAACTGATATCTGTGAACATTCAAAGAACTATCTAAATGCATAAACAGCTCTTGGCATGGATAAATGAGTTTTCTCTATGATGGAAAATGTTCTACAGTTATGTGCAAAAGTCTGAACACCCCTGGTCAAAATGATTGAAAATACTTCAAAATATCCTCTACAGTGCGCAAACCTAAATGACATTTTTTATGCAAATTTATATGCACAATTTCTTTTTATTTGAAAAAAATATACGATGTGCAAAAAACTTTTGCAGAGGCTATATTTTACCGCAATTCAGTTACAAAGATTTAAGTTAGGCCAGTTTCAAGCCTGCAGAACAGGTCTCAATGACTTTAAATGAATCAGTGGTGAAACTACTGAAATATTTCACAATCCCATATGCTCAGACACTAAGGTTGCTTATCATTGCTTTTTCCTTTTTTGTTCTCTTTGCAAATATGGTCAGAATATTATGTGCGAGTGAGTGTTTCGTCGACCAGAGAGGCTTCTGAAACTCAGAGCCAAAATAATGTTCTGTATGAATCTGAGACAGATGAAATCCTGATGCAGTACATTGGGATGCATTTAAAATGTGGACATAAAACACTGTCAATAGGGGACACAATCTCAGCTGGACCAAATCTGTTGAATGAAGATACAATTAGACTGCTTAGCATAAAAACTGGGTCATTTCTAGAGCTGGCCAATCATGTGGCAGCAGTGAAGTGCATAAAATTATGCAAATACGGGCCAGCAGCTTCAGGTAATATTCACCTTCAGGTAATATTCACATCAACCATAATCTCTTAGATTATTAACCGTGATCTCATAGATTTTGACGGTGGCATGACTGTTGGTGCCAGGTGGGCTGACTTGAGTATTTCTTTAATCACGAGCAGCAGAAATGCATTGTTGATGAAAGAGGTCAACAGGGAAAGGCCACACTGGTTTAAGCTGACAGAAAGGCTACAGTAACTCAAATGTAGCCACCCTGTACAAATGTGGTGAGCCAAAAAGCATCACAGAATGCAAACACATCAAACTTTAAGGCAGATGGGCTACAACAGTAGAAGACCATGTCGGGTTCCACTTCTGCCAGCCAAGAACAGAAAGTTGAGGCTGTAGTGGACACAAGTTCAACAAAACTGGGCAGCTGAAGACTAGAAATCCATTTCACAGAATGTCAGAAAAAAAAAAATATTGTGACATATTGTGCATCGTGAAAACTTCTTGAAGTATCAAGATATTACATTTTTGCCATATTGCCAAGCTCTATTAATTTCTTTTATCAATACAGTGGATAAAATTTTTGGTTGCATAATTAAAAAAAGGGTCTTTAATGGATTTTAATGGATTTCTGTGAAGCTGCTTTGTTTTGTCTTTAATGGATTTCTGTGAAGACTTTAACGGATTTCTCTGAAGCTGCTTTGTGACAACATCAGTTGTAAAAAGCCACTATACAAATAAATTTGACTTGACTAGAAAAATAGTCTGGTTTGATGAATCTCAATTTCTGCTGGGGTACACAGAGGGTTGAGTCAGAATGTGGCGCCAACATCATGAATTCATGGATACAACCTGCATTGTGTCAACAGTCCAGGCTAGTGGAGGAACGATATGGGGAATTTTTCCTTGGCACGCTAATTAATACTAGTTAATACTAATCAATCATCCCTTGAATGTCGCAGTTTAATTGAGTATTGTTGGTGAACATGTGCATCCTTTCATGGCCAGAATTCACCCATCTTCTAATGGCTACTTTCAGCGTGATAATGCAACATGTCACAAAGCAAAAGAAATTGGTTTAAAATTGGTTTCAAAAACATGGTGATGACTTCACTGTTCTCCAGTGGCCTTCCCAGTCACCGGATCTGAATTCAACAGAACATCTTTGTGATGTTTTAGAATGGGAGATTCACAGCACTGTAAAATCTGCAGGAACTGCATGATATACAGTAATGTCAGCATGAGCCAGAATCTCAAAGTAATGCTTCAAACATCTTGTGGAATCCATGCCACACAGAACTGAAGCTGTTTTGAGAGCAAAAGGAGGCTCTAGCCAATATTAGTAAACTTTTCCTAATAAAGTGCTCCGTGAGTATGTCAAAGAGAACAAGCATGTCTTAATACAGTTTTCTGAGCATATCATGGATATCGGCAGTACTTAAAACCCTTCCCAACTGCATATTTGATTTCAATGACAGCATAATTAGTCATAATTGATTGGATTTAGTGCAGCACAGTATGTGAAATGTTGAATACAAATCATGTGGCACTACTAAGTTTCAATTTTTCAGATGTCAGAAAAAAAAATATTGTGACATTGTGCATCATGAAAACTTCTTGAAGTATCAAGATATTACATTTTTGCCATATTGCCAGGCTCTATTAATTTCTTTTATCAATACAGTGGATAAAATTTTTGGTTGCTTCTATTCAAAAAAGGGTGCATCGGTAATTTTTTATGGCCGATTCAATCGAGGGCTGAGTGTATCATTACACCCCTATCATTTGCTCTTTACCCAAAGTTTGCTCTTTGCAGGCTAAACAAATCAAAATAAAACACATAGGCTGATGTACAGGCCTAACATATGCAAGGTGTGCATGCAGCATTTACTGCACTATGTACTTGGGTCATATTATTCTTGCGCAGGGTTGAGCAAAACACTTTGAAAAAGTAGTGATGGCTGAATACAGAATACACTGTCCTAAATGTATTCCATTACAATATATAAAAAAGTAACATATTCAGAATACCTTTAGAATACACACTGTACACGGGAAAAGCTCTGCTGTCACACTGTTGCTCGCTGTTACTGGTTGGCAGTGTTGTCCATGTAATTCTCCTGATAATATGTTTCATGAAAACTTCAGTTAATCAAATGAATATAAAAAAAATACAAAACTCTCAATGAAATTTTGGCTCTCATTGCCTGCTTCAGTCTACTGCTGCTCTCATAATCTCAGTGCCCTTTCATGACCTAAGCCAAGAATTTGCCATATTCCAACAACAAAATCTCAAACATTTGACTATAAAGTGATTGTCAGTTAATGATATGTATGTAACTTGCCACAAAATGCACATGTGAGCTGAGTACAACAGATAAATAACTGGCTCATTACAGTGATTTCAGTCTAGTCTGGCTTCAGAGTTTGTAAAGAAGCCATGTCCTGAGTTCTTCTTTAGAGTAAGTGTTTACATTCTGTGTGGTGAATTTTAACTTATTTAATAAACATGCATTCATGGTGTATCTTTTCAAGTCGTATACACACACACACACACACACACACACACATTTTTTAAACTTAGTTGGTAAGTATTCTGAAAGTATTCTCCTAAAAATGTAAAAAGTAAATGTATTCTGAATACTGCCTTTAAAATGTAACTTGGACTGAATACAGATGTATAATTTCTGTATTTTGAACCCTTAAAAGGATAATCTGCATCTTTAGGTAAAAAAAGAATGTAGCCTAAAAATATATTAAAATTTTCAAATCTCATTTTATCCCCAAAAATGTCTAATATTTAAAAAAAAAGATGACTTGGTTGGATTGTGCCCTTGAGACTCTACAAGGACACATCCCCAATAAAGCACGAAAAACAGCCACTGTTGATGATGATACATAATAAATAAATGTCACTATTTTATAAGCGTGTGTGACTGTCACGCTCATCATCATCCCAGTGATTGTGAGTGATGTGCCAATGTAGAAGTGTATTACTTAAAGGATAAGCGACTCCTATCTATCTCCCTCTGGGAAGCTGTGAATTTGGGGGTGGAGGGGATCAGCTTTTAGCTCTGCTTGAAGACTCTGTCACCCCCTCCCATCACCCTCAAGTCAATTCCCAGAAAGGGGAAGTGAAGTTCCGCTGATTAAGCTTCTCATTCCCCCATCAAGACGAAACCAGCTGCTGGGGCCGGTGCCAAGACTGGCGATCCATCTCCACCTGATCCACCTCGCCTTTACTGGCGTGATTGATAGCAAAATAATGTCAGTGTAACAAAAAGAATAACTTCCATATATAACAATAGAGTTAATGACAGAGTCGTCAGTAGGGTGGGCAGGGCAGATGCACAGAACGTCGAGAGCCGTGGCAGGCTTGGTGTTTGCCTGGGGACTGCTGGCTTTTTTATCTTTTTTTATCTGCCACTGTTTGGCAAATAGTTTAATCAGAGAAGTTTCAAGATTTTACTTGATATTGTGGTAAATAAATATTTACTCAATGATACCACTTCCTTACATATAGGTACTGAGGAGTGTTTCTAAAGAAGGTTTGTGAATTTTCTGTACTAAATTATTAGTTTGCTGGAGTAACTACAAATGAACTGAATGAGCACGTAAAACAAGAGTAGTTATTTGCAGCAGTTCTCTGATACAACTATACTATACTGAAAGGTATATCGAATCAAATTCAATTCAATCAAAATGTATTTGTACAGCACTTTTTTTACAAAAGACAGGGTCAGGAACCAGCTTCATAGCAACACAAAACCTAGAGGGGAACCAACCTAGAGAACCAACCCTCAAAAAGGGAAGTCTTCTGAGAGATTCCAACAAAATAATGAAAATTATCAATAAAGAAACAAAGTAAGCCTATGCATTTAACACAAGCACCCAGTCTAACCTATGAAAACCAATTAGAAATGGACAATGATGTCGGAATCATATAAGTATCAATGGATGTTTACATTTTTAAGATTTCAAACAGATCTTTGATGACATACTTATTGTACACTGAAAGAGCAAAATTTTTAGGTGATGCTGGGCTACTATCCTAAAATGTCTGCATTTTATTTATTTTACTGCATCTGTAACCCTACAGAAATAAGTGTTTCATTTTTCTGTAATGCTAATACACAAACAAATTGGATATTGCTTCACAATTCCCATATGATTGCTTCCTTTAAACTAATGACTAATAGAAGTCTATCAAAAAAAAAAATGAAAATTAAATCTGGTGGACTAACAATTGAGGACTGGCTATTAGAACATGTTAACCTGAACACCTTAATTCATCAAAACATCAGCAGCAACACTACTGGAGCTGTGACTGGTCAAGCTGATCACTAGTACACAGTAACATTGTGGCTGGCTGGAAGGCTCATTTGCATATTTTTGTGATAATCAGTACTGCAAAAGCAAATTTTGATATAATGAATGTCAAATCATGTACTGCTAGTGCCCTACTTTCAATGTAAGCATTAAAGGAATGGCTCAGCAAAAAAATCTAATTTACACAATACTCCACTTATCCCAAATGTAGTCAATCAGCCAAGACCTTCTTTATTTTTGCACTGGAGCAAGCAGTCTAATGTTGCAAATAAACTCTAAAAGACACTCAAATCCTTTCTGTAAATAAATCCTCAAAACTTCTCTCAACCCACTCAAACCACATCTAGGTATTCATTAAGGTTGCACAGGCTCGCTGATGTATTTTAGGGTACAGAATGACACTGTACTATAAAATGACACTGAACTATAAAAATGAACAAAACTGCACAGGAAGAGCATAGGACTGATCTAAAATCGCTGCCGCTGAACAGCTACACAATAAACTTTTTTTTTTTTTTTATACATTACGTTTATAGTTGGACAGTAAGTTGTACCCTAAATCCCACTGACAAAGTCTATGTAACACTAAGACCTGAATACGGTTCGAAAGACGTTTTGATGATGTATTTACAGAAAGGATTTGGGTGACTTCTGACTTCCAGTGTTTGTTAGCAATGTTAACCTCATAGCTCCAGCGTTAAACTAAAGAAGCAAAGTTTAGACAGCAAACATGTCTTGGCTGATCGACTACATCTGTCATAAGTGTAAAAGTGTTAATTTGATTCTCCGCCATTATCCTTATCATGACGTTTGTGTTGCGTGAAACTGTGTTGAGAGCAGAGAGGGCTTACAGGTGCCAGGCATGCAGGTCATGGAGGAAGAGCTGAGCTCCACCATCCTTACGGCTGGAGAAGAGGGTTCAAGAGGAGGCACGGTTACCAGTGAGATCTGCGTGGGGAGCAAAGAATATTAAACACACAGTGTGGACAAAATACCCTAAGAGACAGGCATGAATCAGAACCACAAACACATCTACCAGCAACTACATTACATGGCCCAACAGAAGGTAAACATACACAACAAGTGCGCTTCAATAATGAAGTAAGCAAGACAGAGCAAACTCCTATTAACTAAACTCTGTGCAATCCAAATGGGATCCCCATAATTTTGTTACATGTACCCAGAGAGTGTTTTCTTAAATGTTTTTCCGTTTCAAGCTAGACTAAACTCAGTCCTTTTTAAAATCACGCTCTTGTGGAGAAAAAGCAGAGTCCAAAAAGCAACTACTTCTCTCCTTTTGTGAATGTCATTGCGAGGAATGAACAGCTAATTAAAACTAGCCTGAATATTTAATTACGTTTTGTCACACACAGTCATGTAATATTCCATTTCCACACCATGTCAAGACAGATATGAATTTCTGCTGAGTCTAATGAGCAGAAATTACACGATTTTCTTCTCCTATCTTAGTGTGTGCAAGTGTGTGTTGGTGTATGTCTGCGCATTTGTGTGTGAATACAGAAAAGGGAGTGCCTAATGGAGATCAAGTGGGGCCGAGTTGAGAGTCAAGTGAAGGATGTTCGGGCTCTGTTGAAACTCAAATGCAAATTCCATATTGAACTGATCAACCTTGATTCTTGTGTGCTGTTCATCCATAAGGCCTATATGCTCTGCTCATACAGATAGAACTCAAATGAGTCTCAGTGTATACTAGGCATGTCACTTTCTACTCTCCTGGCCCTACAATTAATTCATCAAATTCCAAAGCTGTTACAGTGAGCAGGATTATGCACTTTCACTGAACTGCTTTTCTTTCTCTTCATAATTCATTGGAGACGTAATGCTCGAGAGCGGGACGTCAAAACTACTGCAACGATCCCACAAATCGTCTATGATGTTTTGTTGTTTCTTTGCCTGCTGACTCTTGGACGCAACCCAAGAATCCATACAAATGTGATAGGCAGGATAAAAACGATGTAATGCAAAACAAGTTGCGCAGTGAAAGTGCAAGATTGGCAAGAAATGCAACACACACACACACACACACACACACACACACACACACACACACAGCCATGGTGAGGACGGTTGAATTTAAATGTGCATATTGGCTATGTAAGCAAGACCTTTAGTTCTGATGGTCCTTCTTTTTGTATGTGATTGAAAATGAGGGAGAGCCTGAGGGCATTGCAAGATGGAGAGAGGGAGACAAAGCAAAGAAAAAGAGACAGCTATCTCGATATACACAGAAAGAAAGGCAGGCCGATGCACAGATAAACAAGTACCTGCTGATCAGACTCGGAGGGTAAGACCGATCGATCTGTGATGACAACCGCTCTGGATATATGCCTGTGAGACCACACAGGAAGGCAGGAATTGGTGAAGTGACCATGGGTAGACGAGACAGACACAAAGATTTACATTTAAATATAAAAAGTATTCATTCAAAAATATAAATCTCAAAAGCATACAAATTAACACCTTCAGTACTGTGCAAAAGTCAAACCACCATTATTTTTTTTTATTTCCAGTAAAACAGATATTTCTGAGGAGGTTAGACATGTGATACGTCACATGAGGAAGGAAGAAAAGGATAAGGAAGAAGAAAGTCAAGAGAAAATAAGTTTAAACAAAAAACTGGAGTTATAAAAGGCCATGTAGATCACCAGAAACTGTCACCATCAGATAAACAGCACTTAAAGCTTTCATCTTCTAGAGAAAATCAAGCTCTAATCTCGCTTTACATCTGAAAGAATTCACAGGTGTCTCTGTCCATCTTTTCACCGTGAGAAGACAAATCAATACTATGAATCTGAAAAGACGTGCTGGTAAAAACGGGCTGGTACTCTCAGAACAGTGGACAGGTGACCACAGAGTCCAGATAATTAAATAAATGAATGGTGGACTTTTGAACATAAGTGTATATCTAAATAAAGAACTTTTGTCTCTGTAAGTCAAAGAAAATAAGAATGGATAATGTTTAGTTATGGTGTAGAAAATGTGAATGTAGAGAAACAGTTTAGGGGTAGAGCGCAAACAATGTAAGATGCAGTGCCTCTGTACTGGCACTTTATTTGCTCTGTGTTTAAACATACATAGGAATAAGATACGAAGAAACAAATTTCAACATAGACAGACACACACGTTCAAAGCCAAATTTTACTTAAGTTCTCTAGTGCTTCTAAATGTTGCATTCTCCATTAAGTCTACATAAACTAGGTTTTATTTACAGACATGTAACCTGGCATAAAGCATGAATTAACTAGCAGTGTTTCTTGTATTTAAATAATTTGGTAAAAACTACACATGGAACTGTGAAAACCGTCAAATAATAGAAATAAAAAAGAACAAGATGAATTATGTGATGGTCAAATAGTCTCTTCAGTGTTACTAGGAAGTAAGACTTTATACATGGTACCAAAGTCCCGATGTTGTAATGTTTTTACAAAACAGGTAACACATAATCCAAACAGGTGTCACAATAATTTAGCCCCAATTTCCACTAATTTAGCCTATATAATGGTTTGTAAATTTAACTGGAAAGCAAAGCATAGTGTAGGGAGTTACATGCAAAAAGGGGCTTAGGTCTTTTTCCCCCTACCCACAGTTTACCTGTTAACTGCTCTCGTTCTCTGCTCTTCTCTAATGTAGCCATCTTCCACCACAAAATGGCTGCAGCTGATTCGCTGGCCATGCGTGTCAATCACAGCTTTACACCTATGAAAACAAAGAAGACAAGACAGGAGAGTTACGTTTCTTCCTAGTTTAGATTCCTAAGCCTAAAGTACAACTCGGATGGGATTAGTTTTACAATACTGTTTAGCATTTGTAATGTTTATGTCCAATTCACAAGGGATAAGAAATTTTGGTATAATTTACAGAGATGGGAGTGGCTACTTCATTTATGCAGTGCCGTCAAAAAAATAAATAAAAAAACTTCTATATGCAAAACGTTGGGCTGCTCATAACAGAAAAAATGTCCAAACATTTAAGTTAATAGTAACTCTCTTCACTTTAACCATCTACCTAGTTGTCTTAAGTGAATGTAATGTGTCATTAGCATTGCCAGTGACATGGGAATTTACAGCCCATACCAATGTTGCTGCATAAAATTGATTTATTTTTTTTGGTCATTTTATGCAAAGTCGTACAATACGACTGGATTTTGGCCACATAAAATATAAGTAAATGTCTCCACACTTAAGGAAAAACAGAAAACTTCTTTTTCCACAAGATATGATAGAATATGACACGACAACATGTATGGAATTAATATAAGTTGAGGTTATTTGTATGTTTTATTTACAATCCTTAAAAATTGTCAATCTTTGCTGACTTGTGAGCGTACAGTTAATAAAAACAAATCACATGGTGGATTTGGATGGGACTAAAATAACAGAAAAATAGTGATTACATTATGCCATCATTTTTGTATGGAAAACTAAACCCTCCTGACTGGCATTTAAACCTTGACAATGATTGAATTTCTAAGCATTCTATTTCAAGAGTGAGAGACAGTGATGTGAAAATGAAAATCCATGTTGGTCTAAAGTTTTGCTAAAAAGTGTGTTAACACAGATCAAAGGGCAAGTGTGTGACCTTCCCACTCTTCTGACAGGGAGAGAGAGAGAGAGACGTGAAGAAAAAAGAGAGAGAGAGAGGAAGAAGAAGGGGGAACGAAGGGGAATCTGTCAGCTTGTTATGTCAAGAGTTATAAATGTGCTTTATAGGGCTCATTATCCAAACTAATAGGCTAGGGGTGACATCCTTGAAATGGACTTTCACAACACAATAAAGGGGCAGGCGAGCGACTCGTTCCTCAGACAAAAAGTGCGGCCTTCAGAACAATCCTCCCTCCGCACACAGGATTGACTGCAGGACATATCTGTTTATGTAAATGAAGATTTATTTACGGAGAGGAGCTGGTGAAAGAAGCTGAGGGCTTTCAATCAATTGCCAGCCAGTAGGATGAGAGCAGGTGATACAGGACATACTCCAAAACCCTAACGCACCTGAGGGGGAGTCTCAGCAAGACACACAATACCAGAACACACTCTTACCTTTGGGACTCAATCCTGTATCTATCCCTTCATTCAAAAAAAAAAAAAAAAACAAACTAATAACTACTGTTGTAATTGACTTTCTTTAAAGCCACTTAATGCCTGACCCAGAGGGCTTTTAATCAATGATTAGGTAAGTATAATAGTAGCAGTAAAGACTCTACATTATGTGCCATCACCTAGTTCTTCATTCAGAGACTATGTAAGATCACTTTCAAGCAATCACAGTTCTGCCTCTTTCCCCATTACTGCATGATGTACAAAGACCTCCAACACAGGAGGAACCTTATTTATAAGTGCAGAAGTTTCTTCTGTCAACGTTCATAGTTGATATAGAGCTAACGACTGGGTTTCATGTGGCCCCAAGGCCAGGTCCTGCTTTCTAGATCATCATAACTGTTTATGAATAGCCCTCATAAAGCACTGGTGGCCTCTAAACCAATCAGAACGTTAACCTTGCTCCCAACGACATGCGCTTCCAAACTCATTTGACTTTTATACACTTCCTCATAAATGCAGTTTAGTTTAGGCTAAACAGATGATGGGTAATATGCCAAATGATGTCATGACGGATGGTACAACTTTCACTGTGACTACTGTATATTTACAGTAGTTGAGAAACTGCTGTAAATATAACGTGGTGCTGAGTGAAATGTCAGTGCTGCAAATTATAATGCTTAAAAACCTTTATCTCTAAACAGTGTTTAAGGCACAAATAAGAAACAAAGAACAGGGCAATGGAATTTCTCCAAAAGCCAACTGGACACGAACAGCTGTTTTAATCTGACTGCCATGGTAAGGCAGAGTGACAAGGCCAATTGCTCCAATTGGCCACGCTGACTAGGGAGAGATAAGAACGGAGGGACAAATGGGTTCGGACGCGTGATTGAGGCGACTGTCGTCCACACTAACAAGTTGGGCTGCTGTCGGACCCACCTCCATGCCGAGTGGCAGGTGGGCTCCGAGGCCCCATAATCCTCTGCTGCATTATTAATCTAACTCTACCCTTTTCAGCTTTATGTCTGTAATAAGAGAAGACATAGGGCGGTAATTTATGATGCTGGGGAAATTAAAATCATTGTTCAGGCTGCCAGACACCTTGCCAACTTCTTTTTTTCCCCTTCTACCTCTTCACCTTCATGGAACTTTTTTCTTGTCGATGATGTATGGAGTGAACAGGGTTGAGTCGACACCCGGGCGCCTCTGGCGGAGTGCAGCGATTCTCCATGCTGCGCCCTGCGCAGTAGCTTTGTGGACTGGATTCCAGGTTCTGACTGACACCCCTATTTGGAGCTCGTCCAATACTCGCCCCAGATCCTCACAGCACATATGGACAGCTCCAACCAGCTTGGTCCTCATCTTGAAGTTTGGACTTTGGAGTTCGCCTTGAAAACCCGGGAGGCCCTGAGTTATAGTGTGCATCTTTCTGGTACTGATGGGGAGAGGTGGAGGAGTTGAGGAACTCCATCTATTCATCATGGCCATCTTGCTTGGTTTTTGTACGCTGCGTTAAGTTCAGAAGACCGCTTAACTGCAACACTGCTCAAGTATAACTGGCAGTAGAGGCACAGAGGGCGACTAAACTGCCTTTTCCAGGGTCAGATCATATATATCAAGAAGGATCTGTGTCAAATGAAACTAGGGAAGTGGACAGTCACCTATGAGCTTGAGAGCTCTTTATGCTCTTTATGACAATAATTCAAAGTCAGGTAACACAGAGCACCAGTTCCAGTTGTTCTCATGTTTGAGTTGCTCTTGGACTGAACATCTCAGTCTTAAGGTTTTACCCTAGCTAGGTATAGCTAGTACTTGCACTCATCCCTCTCTGCAATCCACATCCACAGGAATCCAATCCCCCAGGGTCGCCCACCACAAAGATGAAAAAAACTCAATATATCGCCAAAAACATGGCCAGGGAACAAGCGGGAACGAAAGAGAGAGCAAAGGGGGAGAAAAAAAAATCCCGATCTAACCTAGTTTATGACAACAATCCACCTTTGAAACTCATTAAAGGCCTTTCTGGTGAGGCCTGACGCACATTATCAGCACAGATTAATCAAGGGAGACTGGAGATGAACTCTCATTTTTTAAGAAGCAGCAACAGAGGGCTTTTTTGTCTTCAGATGAAAATCAATTAGTGGAGGTAAGGCCACAAGGAAAAAGCGGCATCACTCATCGCCGGCCCAAGTGGCAGGGCCTGTGATTTGTCTTCCGAGCTCGGCTGCTTCAGGGGGACTGCGCGCTGCTGTCTCCCAGAAAATTAATTCCATATCTATAATTCCGACCCCCTCCCCCACCGACTCACACTTTTTCTCTTTGCTTTATTTCTGAGGGATCTGTTTACTAAAGTGCTTTACTCAAAGTCGAACACCAATCTAGACTGGACAAGCCAGGATAAAGCCTGAATCTGCAGTCTCCTCCGTGATCTTTTTGGTGCATGTTTTCTTGTTCTTTTGTTTTAGTATTTGTGTCAGAGCAGTCTGTGTAGGTGGTGGATCGATAGTGAACTACTTACTTTCCCGACTCCTTGTCCACAACTAGGCACTGCACAGAATGTCGCAGGCAATAAATCCCCCCAAAGACAGCACACATTCTGGAAAAGACACACACACAGACACACACACACACACACACACACTTATTTAGATACAGGCACATTACATTCGATGTGAATGGATCCAGCAAACAACCATAATTACAACTGATAGCATGACATTAAAGGCAACAAAGGATCTGATCACACCTTGTCTACACTAGAATACCAAATTTCAACTCGTTTGACAGGGCAAAAATGTCACCAAGAATGCCATGTTATTTCACAAGTAAAACTTTTTATCACAGCCCTCTTATTATCATAGAAAAAGAGCCATTATGTCAGTATAAATTGCAGTCATTCTCATCAAAGTGTAACAGTCTCAGCCCCATCATACCACTGTACCAGGCTCAGTGAGTATGTAAAACTGCACACGTAGCTTGAAACATGGCCCTGGTATAAGAGGACAGTCATGCATGGAAAACAAAGGAACTACAGAGGCTGTGTGTCAGAGCCCCATGAAAACTAGATCTAAAGCGAGAAATGAAGTGATAGGAAAGGTAGATACATTCAGTTCTTTCTCCCATACAGTCTATGCTTTCAGAAGAAAAAGAAAAGTGGGTGAAAAAAACCCTACTAAATGCCCCTGTCCCCACAAATTAATCTAGAGACATGGCATCTTAATAAAGCACAAGACAAGGGGGGAAAAAGAAAACAGTACACCTGCCAGCAATCATCTGGGCCCATCTAATGTCCCACACAGAAGCCCATAGAAGCAGTTGGGGGTGGAGGTGGGGTGGGGGGGTCCTTTGATGTCATTAACCCTAACTGACAGACGTTTAAGCTGATATTACTCTAATTAACTGCCCGCTGTCGACTGTGATGATGCTACTGGAGCAGACCGCATGGGAGCAGCCATCTTCTTCCCTCTCTGTGCCCCGGCACTCGGCCCTGCGACATCACTCGCTGTCGCGGTACTAAATTAACAGTTGTGAAAATCCAGTACCCTCATACAAGCCCCCAGTCTTTATAGCCTCTAAATGGCATTTCAGTTCCTATCAAGGCAGGAATCAGGGAACGTGATTTTTTAATACGCTAGCAAAACAATGGGGGCCATTAATAGCTAGACGCGGTGACAGCGTGCTCGCCGATGATTTATGAGTTTGTGTATAATTTGATTATGCTATTAATTCCACTGATTACAGCTGCAGCGAGTGTGGAGAAGGTCACATCCAAAATAAATCTTTGACAACTCCCCCCTTCTCATCACCTAACCCCCCACCACCCAAACCCCACAAAATAACTGCCTCCAACTAGTTATTTCTGTAATTAAAAGGTAATGTAACAAGAAGCACAAATAAGCTGCAGGCTCCTCCAGCGACATTACACTCAAGCCCAAAATAAATTGAACAGAGACTTATAACGATGGAGGCTGCCTTGTTTTAATCCGTAGAAATATGATGGGAAGGTGATGATAAAATATTTTAAAAAGATAATGACTAGCTATGTCCATAGGCTGTATTTCAGTTAAATATTAGGTCATCAGGGACACTGATCAATGAGAGTAAGGGGATAAACAAGCAAACATGGGCATGAATGTTCAAAAACTAAGATGGTTGACAAACATTTTTGGTTCTAGAACTTAGCTCACAAAACCTGCTACTTGTCGCTGATCTCCAGAGAGGATGTGGTTAGTAAAGACCCTGTCTTGCTTTAAAAAGTCAAAATTAAACTTAATAAAACTAAAAAATATCAAAACTAACAAAAATAAATAAAAGTAAAATTAATAGAGAAAACAAATAAATAGAAGCACAAATAAGAAAGAAATAAAATAGCAATAAAATATGTAATAAAAACAAAAACTAAGTAAGAGACAACTAAAATAATAGACAGTAAAAAAGTAAGATTAAGTAAAAATCTTAACAAATAAAATTGTTCAATAAAACAGTAAAATAAAATAGACATAAAAAAAAATCAAATAAAAACTTGTACATTGAGTCAAAGTCGTTTGAGAGTAAAAGTTTAAAATGGTCGAGTGACACCAGCGAGCAGAACTTTAGAGTTTCCTGAGTGACATATTCCAGTTTGCTGATGCACTGTAACTAAAAGCAGAATTTCAGAATTCCACTTCAGTAAAAATTCTAGGAACCTGACATGTGATCCCATCCCTAAAGAGAGTCTGATGAATACCATTATTTACAGATAGCATAGGTGTGATGTAAGAGTATTAAGTGTTGTAACCCTGCATTCACAGCGGCAGCAGCGCAACGCGACAAAGTGGTCGGAGGTCATTAATTTTCAGTGAGAGCTAGCGATTTCCGGTGTCAGGAGGCAGCACGAACGGTGGCAATGCTAAGTGAGAGGAGTCAGCGACGGGACAAAGTTGAGCAAAATTTAACTTTATGCAAATACGGAGTGAAGCGATTTGGCAACTACCAATAGGAATGGCAATGAGCGATCAGTGGTTTGGGCAACAAGAGGCGAAAAAGCTGCTGCCAGTGCAAATGCAGGGTAAGGGTCTCCAGTTATGAATCTCACAGCAGAGTTATAAATTTAATCTAACGGTTTAATTAACTTAATCTAATCTTCTGGCAGACACATGTCTATAGATCACTGTAGTCTAGAATCAATAATAAGGTTGTCTCCACGTTCCTTTTCCTAGTATGCATTGGGAAACACGTCTTACGTGTTGCAAGTACTGAATGAATGTACTTGGAGTGAATGGAATGTGTTTAGAGGAGAAAATGTGCTTGGAGATGAAATGCAATAGCCAAGTTTTTTTTTAATGCAACCCTCAGATCAGTGTGGTTTAGTTAGTCTAAACAGGAAGAGAAGAACTAAGCCACCCTTTTCTACTCAGTGAGAACATGGCTAATTTTCCACCCATGAAATGAGACGTGGCTTAGGCCTTGAAGCTACACGAGCTTCTTATACGCACTGTATTCTAAAATTAGCTGATCATATGAGCCTACTTACTACTAGACCTCCAAAGGAGAGGGAAGAGTCTTACTTAGTATCATACTGTTGTGGAAACTAGACCAACCTAATGTGCTAGTCATCTAATTCACTTTTCATTACAATGTTTAACAAAAATTACTAGTGACGCCTGATTTCAGTATTGGCAGATAACTGGTGAAAAAAAAAAGATATATATATATATATATATATATATATATATATATATATATATATATATATTATCCACACAAACATGGCAGCATTGGACAGATGTTGATATTGGACCTATATTTCAAACCAAAATGAATTTTCTGCATTTGTATCCCTCTCCAAATAAGCATGTACCAGCATTGGTAGATTTCCCATAAAATAGCACATATAAGTATCAGCCCACAATTCCTATATTGGTGCATAGCTAAACATGATTTTGTTTGATCTTACACTTCCTAACTAGAACACAAACATTTGTTTCAAATTGCTCTAGCAATTCCAAGCTAGTAATATTGAAGATCTTGACTGCAACACCACAGGTATTTAACAAAGGCATGAAAGGCTGCATTATTAAGTCTTCAATATTAAAAGAAAGCAATGACACATTTGGACATATCTGTTCCGCTCAGACAAAAAGCAAAAAGTAAGTAATCATGGAGGGAGACATGGTAAACGACCAAGAGAATTTTTTTTTAACAGGCATTAACAATATGCATTAACAATAAATCCTCTCTCCATCCACTAGATGCTAAACAAACAGAATTAGCACACTAGGCAAAGACCACTCACCTGTCAGGTTCGCCTTTCGTGAAAATGTGCTTGTAATCTGGGGTGCGCCAGAGTGGGGGGCTAATGGCTGGCCAATAATTAAAAGAAAACAAAGCGGCATGCTGCTTGGCAAGCTACTCTCGCTGAAAATTAAATCCCTACTCCGATTGGAATAAATTAGAAGTTGATTGCGCCCTGAGAAGACGAGGTAGAGGGAAAGGGGGGGACTAATGACAGAGCGGAAATATGATCTGTGCGCAAATGTTGGAAAAGACAATTATTGGTTCTAATTAATGCATTTCCCCGTCCTTTCAATCTGTTTCTGCTTGACCGTTGTCTGATTGGACTGTGGTGCTGTAGTGGATGCAAATCAAAAGCTGTCACGGCCAAATGTGTTTACAAGGCTAAATGAATAGTGTTGCCTCAAACTGTCCAGGTCTCACTCAGAATTGCTCAAGAGTCCATGAACATAGCAGCGAAGACGAAAGGTGGCAGTAGGAGCGCCAAAGGTTATTTAGAAATTAAAAAGAGTCTCCGCTGTCAAAACTTGAGGGATAATGCGGGCAAGGACAGCAAAGCATTTCATCACTTTATTAGCGGCGCTGCTCGCTGATCTGTGAATAACCCGAGAGAGTGAGCATTATTGAGTTTGCGCCGCCATCCATCCATCCATCACCTGCAAGCAGGTATCAGCGTGATGGATGACCCCGCCTTCTCGCCACCTCTCATGCCGACTTTTGTCTCTTAATCCCTTGCTCAGGTCCCTGGCTTTCCATTTTCCAGCCCTTCTTCTTCATTTTCATTTTCTCCATCTCCTAACCAATTTTCTTTTGTCTCTCTTTTTGTCTTACAACTTACAACTCCTATTTCTCTATTAGGCTCCTTCGCCTATCCTGTAGCTCATTGACTACAGGTCAGACACAAGCAATGCCAGAGGACTAAGTTATTTTCTTTTCCTGCTCATCTGTTTTTCATATTCTAAATCTGGTGACAATGCAGTAAGCTAACACGTGTGAGTTAAGACCGTCTGACACTAAAATCACACACACCGGCATGAACGAACTGACATTTATGCACACACCGCACAGTATGACTATGTTGGAGTTGGAACACAGCTGCATGCAGCACAGCTGACACGCAGATTGCAGGTGGGATTGCAGCTCAGCACTTATTTGAACGTCAGCAAGCGTGATTAGTGGAAAAGGATGGAAATCAAAAATGCTAATTAACCTGCTGCACAGTGAAGGGGACGCATTAAAATTCAAAATCCCAGAGGGTGGATACATCAGGTCTTTATCCTGCACTAGCAGGGTAAGGTGTGTATACATTGCAGAAACAGATTATCTGAGTGTTACCAGAAATCATGCAACACGTTGTAAGTAGGCCTGTCACAATCATGAAATTTTAGCTGATGATTAACTGCCATATAATCACATCGATTAACAATTGTCTTTTTTGTTCATTGTATGCAACTATTTAAGTACAAGCCAAAGTCGCCAAATTGGCTGATCAGCTATCTTGTTTCTTAGTTGTTGATAGTGTTACACCAACAAGTCAAATGCTAGAACTTCTAAAAGTTAAAATAAATAACAATATTGTCCTCAACTACACCAGTTGGTTAGTCTGCTGTAGATGGATTTATTTGAAAGACAACCTGATGGACTTTTTTTTCTTCTTTTTCCAGTGATTTCAGATGCGTTTCAAACCGATATTTCAAACAACGACAAACACCCACATGAAACAACACAACTTCAGTTAACCTACCCTTTCGTCTCTGCGACTGTCACTAGCACATGGCTTGCAGCTAACGGTAGCTAGTTTGAAATATACTTTTTAACAAAGTGACTCACTCAGTCAGTGAGTGAGCAAAAATACTAGGCTGTCTGGCAATGTATTGTCTTGTTTTGCAGAAAGAGAAACCATTATTTACATTTTTGCCTTGTTTCTGTCATTTGTTGTTCTCTAAAACAACGAAACGTGCTCCATCCTCTCGATACAAAATTTTTTCATTGCATAACAAATGAAGTACCATATGCTTAAAGTTGTCTATATCTACTATAAAACAACCCTGCCTTCCCCAGCTATGTTTCTCATGTGTTGCAATGCAATTCAAGGTCAAGTCAGCATCATGGACTGTAAGCTATACACTGCACAAATCTGTCTGCCTTCAGGAAAATGTTTTCTCTTAGCTGGCCTTAAGCCAGTGTCCTTCTCGTCATCAGGAATGCATCCTCTCTATGGCTGTGTCCCGAAGCCCCCTTGCCTTTAAGCGCCACAGTTTCACAGCACTGCTCCCTGTAGAACGAGTGCTAAAAGCAGCCTCTCACTGTACTGCAAAGGCCTCGCCTCTCTTTTCTCTTTATTGCTCTGTAAAGAGCTGATGCATTTTCTAAAGACAAGACAAATACTTAAGAGCTGAGTATCTCTTAATGTCTGACCTAAGACTGCTTAAAGTGAAATTTTAATAATTCCATTGCAGCCAGCTATAGTACATGCTAAAGGCAGATGATTAAATGAAATGTACAGTACTGTGCAAAAGTCATTGACAATTTATTCATTTTTTGTTTTTTGTTCTTTTTTTTTTTAATATCATTAATTTCCAGTCAGAACGACCACTAAGAAATTGAAATGTTTAACAGACAACTACACAAAAGCCTCCAACACAAAGTATAATATCAAATCTATCAGCATTTAATTCATTCACTCGCTACTTTTGTGCAACTTATTGCCACTTTAAGTCTTTCATCATTCCATTCTTAAATCCACCGATTTACAGCTGTGTCCCTCCAACATAAGCTATTCCAAATGGTGTCACTGACCTTAGCTGCATTGCAGCTTTCTGTCTAATGTGTGTCTAAAATGGCTAAAGGTGATATTTCTGAGAAACAATTTTTCATCTACAGATTTATTACAATGATCTTGTGATCCAAATTTAGCACATGAGACTCAATGGCACTGTTCCTCTGAACAAACTTGTCCTGTTTACTCTATACTGGAGAGTAGATCTCATGTACGGTGTTGGTTCGCTACACTAGAATCTTTTCAAGTGCCATTTAAAGCATGTATGTGTGTAGTTGGTGATGTTCTGTTCTAATTGTCTATAATCAAGTGAAATCATTACTATTGTAGACAATTGTGAACTAATCACAGATCAGAATGACTGTAAAAAGGGAATGGCTAAATAAATATGCAATAATATTTGGCATATGAAAGAGGATGAAAGACTAATTCTAATATGCAAATTATCAAATTATCATGACATTCCATGATTTCAATTAGCAGCCAAAGGCTACTTCTAAACATCTTGTACTATCCTAAGACACTTGTAACTGTAGATCTACCTCCTTACATAGTTTAGTTCTGACCTGAATCCAACACTCATGAAGAAGAATTTCAGGGGCATGTGAGTATCAATGTGTTAAATTAGTATAATAATTAAACTATGTTTTTAATTTATTTAAGCTTAGATTAAATTAACACAATATATACAATTTTGTGAAAAGTTTAACTTTCTCATTTACAGGGCCAGAGCACACCAACCCAACAAACACCTGAACATTAGCAGTAGTTTTAAAAGGTTTAGAAAAAGAAATAATAAAACAAATGAACGAAAGTGATTGGGAGAGAACATTATAGCATCTCCCAACAATTACATACAGGTACAGTACACCAACACCAATGTTTGGGTTATTTTTGTTTGCTGGGTTGGCCTTTGAAAATTCCTGAGGTTTGCTCACCTACAAAAGCACTGTGGAATTTCACCCAGGCCATACAGCGGGAACAGAAAGGGTGTGTTGCCGTAGCGACCCAGGCATCGCAGGAAGTGCTGTGTGGCCTTCAGGCCCTCCTCTGTCAGGGTCTCTTGGTTCACCATGGCAATGGAGTGGAACACAAAATGCTGCAGGTTCTCGGTTAGATTCTTACTCCTCAGGTACTCCCAAAATGGCTTCTCTGAGAAGTCTATACCAGGGTGTGTGGAAATGGATCAGAATCAGTTAGAAGTAGTCCTCTTGACAGCAACTGCCATTTCAGACTTACATGCAAGCATCACTTGGAAACACTGGAACAAAACAGCATCATGGACACTATCTTCACCAATTTGCCAAATGCACTTACTCCATATCTTCATAACTAATTTTGAACACTGAAACCCCATAAGAATGCTATACAGCAGCAGAGGGCAAAGAGATAGAGAAAGAGAGAGACAGAGAGGGAAGTCATACCCTGGAATTCCTCTGGGTGCTGCTCAAAGTCCAGACAGAAAGTGAGGAACTTCATCAGCATGCGTTTCTCCACCATGGTCAGCTGCTTACTGCCAAACACATCGGCCCGAGAACATGGGACCTTTGGAGAAAGAGATAGTGAGGGACACAGAGATAAAGGAATCAGAGAAAGTAATGAACATGAAAGAAGGAGAATGGTAAAAATGAATGTAACACACCAGATGTGATGGAACTGGAAAAAGAAAGAGGGAAAGAAAATAAGAATAGGATAAAAAGAAATGTCCAAAATTGAAAGAGAGTGTGTGTCAGTAGAGAGAGAGAGAGAGAGAGAGAGAGAGAGAGAGAGAGAGAGAGAGAGAGAGAGAGAGAGAGAGAAAGAAAGAGACACAAGCAAAGATGGAGAAACACAGAAAGATACATAAATGCATATACAGATTGTGAGAGGCTCTCACTACACCCCAAGAAACTCCAAAAGAGAAACACTTTCTAGATCGCAAATTTTCTCGGTCACATTTGTAAAGAGAAAAAGTTGAATCAGAATTGAAATCTCTTTATTGTTGCTGAGTGGCTCCAGCAACTGAGAGTCACAGTTCATTACAATTTGCTAAAACTACGAAGGTCAGATACACCAGAAACCCAGTAGCTACTAGTACCAACGCAGGATATAAATTAAAGCTTTTTAAATTAAATAAAGACTTTATTTTACTAGCTAAACTAAAATACATTCATGACCATGTAAGCATGTAATTTACATGTCATGAAATATACTTGAAAGTATATCACCTGTTTGCATCTATACTTCAATCATCAACCATTATATCACTGTCTGTTCCAAATAGTTAACCTTATCCTTTGTCTATATGGAAGAAAGGAATAGAAATAAAACAGCTCATATTTAAAAGTAAAGCCACAATAAACTTCAAATCCAATTACATATATACAACTGTATGCAAATGTTTGGGCACCTTTGGTCAAATTTCATGTTTTGTTGTTTTCCTAGGTGAAAATAAGTTAACACATTCTCTACAGATAATACCAATCTGCAAATGTTAACGCACTGTTTTTTTGCTGATTTTATTGTATTGAGGAAAAAAAGATCAAATGTGGTCTGTGCAAAAGTTATGGAACACTTTACATGTAGTGTTTTAATTTTTTCATATAAAAAAATATTATATCAAATATTATATCATATTAACATATTAGGTTCAGCAAATTAATAGAAATTCTGCACAATTTGCAGGAAAAATGCCATATTTAAGCCTGTTCCCTGTAGAGGATGTAATTAACTTTTTTTTTTTACCTAGAAAATCAACAAAACATCTAATTTGACTGGGAGTATTTAAACTTTTGCTAATAACTATACATGTATATAAACATGCGCTCCATTTCTCACTTTTGTAATGAGTGCTCACACCCCACTCTATTTGCATCATAATTCTGCCTCTAGATCTAGTGGTATTCTTTCTATTAACCTACGTGGTAGCAGTAGACAACAGTACCAGGCCAAGATTTGGCCGAGTTCTCCTTCCTTTTACCTTCATTGTGTATTACAGCTGCATAATAAAAAATAAATAAATAAATAAATAAACATCAGAATATCTGTTTGTGTACAAACAACTAGCTTGCTTTAGCCTGTTAGCATACCTGTTCCACCTTGCTGGTCCGACAAGTGACGATGCGACTAACATTCTTGAACTCGGCATAGCGGCTGACATTGGACTTGATAAGCAGGTCTACCAATAATCCACGAGAATACAGGAGCTGTGTGGTAAGAATAGAGAAGTGCCACTAACTATAAATTTACATATTTACTCATTTGAGTTCAAATCATTTGGAATTCTCTAGTTGGGGAGCTGGATGTCATTCAATCTGAAATGGAAAAGATTGTTGAATATCAAAACTTTATATTAAGGTGAACAATTTCACCCTTTTTTATAGCAGCAGAAGCACAACACAATGTTGTGTGAATATCCAACAAAACAGGCCCCAACAGGAAGACACAACAGCCTTAATAAGCTCATTTACTGATGCAGTTTAGCTAAGACACATAGCAACCAAAGGAAAATATGCATAATATTATATGGGAAATATTAGATGGGAGACAATTCCCTTAACGCTTGACTGATTTTAATTCCCTTCTTTATCATGCAAAAATGTAAAAAGAGGTTACCAATAGTGATAGCAGACACTGAAAGTCAGGCTGTCATAAGCAAGGCACTAGAATGTCAGGGAAATAGGTCTGTGCAAATTTGGTATTACTCTGTAATCACATACAATGAAATGTTACACAGGATGTATTAACAGCTGAAACAAGGTTGCAAATATTTATTTTAGATTTATTTTACATTTTTATTTAAATCAATAATTGAACTGAATTGAAGAAAATGTCCAAATGTTTCATTGTTTGATAACTCACCTTCGACACAAGATCGATGTTAAACCTGCGTCCTTCCTTCACCAGCTTAGCATAGGTTATCTTCCTTTTCATATGTATAGGTGACTCTGCTTGGTTGCTGTTTGGCTCCTGCTCCTTTTCGCATTCCTCTGATTGGCGAGGTTCTTGGGTGTCAGACGTTAGCTTTTTTTCCGACTCTTGATGCTGTGGCTCATCACCACCTGGTGCGCTGTCATCACGACAAACTGTGTCTTGGCCTTCTGTAGCGCTGCCTCTAGTCTCTTTAGCTTGAACATCAGAGTCCTTGGGAAAACTGTTCACCGCAGCAACCTTCACCACCTCTTCTTCCTCAGGCTCCTCACTACGGGGGAGAACAACAGGTGTCTAGGTCACTAGTGATGTCCCAATCTGAGCCAACCCGGGGATATTTTAATGGACTGGTTATCAGCTACACAAAACCTGATCCACCATGCAATCCTTTCTTTCTTCTATTGTGTGCTCTATTTACGCCATTATCACAGCCATAAATATTATCCACAACCTGTGGCAGTAAGGTGCGTTTTTAGAAGAATAAAATGGGCAAAATATCTGCAGTGTGGAACTATTTTAAAGTTGAAATCTGCAATGTATTCTGTGTAAACATGGGCATGTGAAATATGAGCTTCTACACAGTACACCTCATGTCTAGTTTCTGCTGTTTATCCTGAGTGACATCCTAGCATAATCATGCAGAAAACTCACGAGATGTGTTTCTTTCTCATAAGCAGTCAAAAAATACATCAGTTCTGCCTGCATATTTTTATGTACATATCAAAAACTGGCAGCCAGATCTTCAGGAAGTTAAAATAAACTGGACACACACAATGTTAACACTAATAACTGGTCATTAAAAAAATTAGGCCAAAAATTAAACACATCAGAGCAGAATATCACATTACTTACACACTAAAATTGAACTGACTTTGCTGTAGTACTAATTAACAGGCTAGCATATCTAACCTAAATTGTGTAGGTGTATTACCTATGAAAATACAAAGATCGGATCGTTATCAGCTAATACTTGATACTGATGTAACCTGGTCGTTTGTGAGGACCTGCTGGATATAGGCCAGCTTCTTGTGGTTGGTCCAGACCACAAAAGGGTGTTTAACCCCCTCAAGTCAGTGCCTCCACTCCTCTAAAACAAGCTTCATGGCCAGAAGCTTACTGTCCCCGACGTCATAGTTGTGCTTGGCCAAGGTAAGGCAGTGCAAAAAGAAGACACGACAGAGGAGTTTGAGTGTATGAGGTTGTAGGCATTACGCAAATCTAGTTTGGTGAATAGCGTAGCTTGCTGCAGTGCCCCGAATGCTGTGGACATGAGAGACAGGGGGTTGCAGTTTTTGATGGTGATGGCGTTGATACCCTGATAGTCTACACATCTTTTTTCCCCAAGAAAAAAGAAGCCTGCCCCTGCAGAAGAGGAGGATGGGGGAATAAAGCCCAGCTTAAGCGCTTATTGAATGTATTCATCCTTTGTGCCCTGTTTAGGGGTGAGAACAAAAACAACTGTCCAAGAGGGAGCAGGTTGATAGTGCAGTTGTATGCCCTTTGGAATGGCAAGGCCTGGGCCTTTTGCTAAAGACCTCCTGGAGGTCTCAATACTGTTTGGGGACCATCGAGAGGTCCAGCGCATCTGGCTCCTTAGTGGAAAGCACCCTCCATGTGGGCCTAGTCACCTAGGCAACAACCCTTACACTAGACCCCCATGCAAACATCGATCGAGTGGACCAATCTATGCGTGAGATGTGCTGTGCCAATCTAGGGAACCCCAACACCAGCTGTAAGTGGGAGGCTTGGGTAAGGAACAGTGCTTTCACTATGAGAGCCCACCCGCCATCTCCAGTATGGGGCACTCCAAGGGCTCAATGGGCGGGCCCAGACTGAAAGCCAACAAAGCATCAAGGAAAGTACTTGCCAGCCTTGAGTCGATGAAGGCTCACAGGATGGTGTGGTGACAGGCCCCATAAAAGGATGGCTTTCAAATAGAGCCTTGAAGTGAGCTCCTCACTGGTTCCTCTGGCTGGGTGGGGCCCATGCACTTCCCGATGAGCGAGCATTGCTGCCAGGATGCCCCAGTTCAGAAGACTGCGACCTAGCTTACGGCTAGCAAGGGATGCACATATCAAGACGAATGCATACATGATAAAGACCTACCAGAGTGGAGGGCAGCTGCTGAGTTGCTAGTTCATTCTTGAGCTTCTCGTTGAGCCCCTGCTGGAAGATGGCCGCAAGTGCTGTGTCATTCCAGCCACTCTCAGCGGCTAAGGTGCGAAAATTGATGACGTAATCCGACACCGAGCGGGAGTCTTGGGAGAGTGTTGGGGCACAGCTTCTCTACCACTCACGGGGTTATAGGAGGTCTGGCGCATTGCCTTGATAAAAGCCTTACTGGTGGCACATTCAGGGGAGTTTTGTTCCCACAGAGAAGTGGCCCAAGCCAGAGCGAGAGAGGGAGTTTGAGCAGCGATGGCTGGCTAAGCACCCTCAGTCTGGATGGTAAGGGAGTGGACCCAAGTGCAAAGAGGAAAACTTGGGAGTACCAGGTTTTAACTGAATCAAGCAGATGTGCTGAATGATTGGTAAGCTAACTGGAACGTAATGATTAGGACTTCACTCCATGCTAGCACTTGGTGTATCAGCACTCCACCTCAGGCCAGAATTAAACCAGCAATCTACTGCTTGGCAGTCTGAGGCGTTACCACTGCACCACAGGGAACTACAGGTAGAGGATGAAATTAACTTTTGCAGCTCCTGTTCCTTTTTTTTGTTTGTTTTTACAGCTCTTGCTTCTTTCCTCTTCGTTTGAGAGCCATTTGTATTTTCTTTTACAGCTCTCGTTTCTCGCCTGTCTTTGTTTTGAACCTATTTGTCTTTTTTCTTTTCTTTTGCACTCTCACAACCATACTAGTCACCATTCTACAAAGGTGCAATGCTGAACTCACATTTGCCATGGGCTTAAATGTGCCATCATGCAGGAGTGCTGGTTGGCCACCTCTGCTCACCCTTACACCTACACACTACTCACCAATTAAAATGTGGAAAATGTTGAATGCAGATTAATGTAAAATTTAAAACAGAGTTAGAATAACAAATCTGCCCTCATATTTTCAGATTGTAGACACCTGATTAAAACAGCTGCATGAATGTTACAATAAATGCACTGCTGAAATGTAAATAATGTTGGCTCATCCTTGCTTCCTGATCCTGAAGAAAAAAATGATAGCAGGTTACCAAGAAAACAAGTGAAAAACTATACCTGGCATAAGAGAATACTTCCACGTTAGATATGGAGGACTCTACAGAGTTAAGACACAGCACATCCTCTCCTTCCCCGATCTTATCTCGCCATCCCTGCTCCAATTCAGGGTTTAATACCTCCTGCTGAGTCTGGAAATGCACAACCAAAACATCATCAGCAATTTGCTCCAATTTCCACTTGACATAAGATATAATATTATGTAAGCATTATGTGAACTGTGTGAACATTCTGTGAACCATGTGAACAATATATCTGTACAGAAGTAAAAACCTTGTACTCATCGATCCATGACAGCAGGCCATTGAAAGTAAAGCTGGCCCAGTTTCCAGCATAGTAGTTTCTCCTATAACAGAAATAAATGGTCTTCCTCAAATTTACAGGAAAAGTGTGCATTTGTGCACTGAACATCAGCAAAGCTCAATACTGAGTCACTTCACCGGCATTAAACACTGAGAGATGCATAAACCAGGCATCTGCTATTTGAATTTCTGCAATTATCAGAGAAAATGTATATAGTTATGGACAGTTATAAAATAAAACCATAGGAGGTTTAATATTTGTTTCTTACATTGTAGATGTTATCATTTTACTTAACCTGAGATGCAATATCAGCTGCTCATGTCCCAACATTCTTTGTGGTTCTATGTTGCATACTCAAGTGTAATGGTGATATTAAAACAAACAGACAAAGTGCAAATGTAAAATATAGTCGTAAAACTACACAACAGTAAAAAGCAAATTCTCGAGAACAAAACATTTCTCAGACGTGAGACTTTTTTCTTTCGTGTAGAGCTGATGGAAACTAGTTCACATACTTTTTTTGTGACATTTCAGTTATATATTTGAATTAAATTCAACAGCTGGATGAAACCTGGCTACTGAGTGTTGGGAGTGGTGTAACCAAAAGTTTGTTAATCATAAGTGGATGTTTGCCTGAAAAATTCATCCCTGAAAAGAGACATAAGTCCACCTGCTGTGACTTCAGTTCGAGCAAGACTCATATTTTAGCGTAAAACTACATTAATAAAATTTAAAATAAGTAGATTAGAAAGCTACACAACATTTAGTTTATACAACATTATGGGCAAAATACTGTTTACTACATAAATCATAATCTCAAAAATAGAATAAGCAGAATAGAATAAGAATAAGCCCCTTAGGTGCAGGATTAATGAAAGATATAAACAGCCAGCACATTGTTGTATCAATTTTGACACAAAAATATTATAGTAGAACCAGAGTAAATTCTTTTTTGAGACGAGTGAAAAATTTTTATTGATGCTAAACACTTATACGCATAAGGTTGAATTGAACTAAACTGATATTGCCTTTAATTCCTGTGTGAAGTTCTGCCTTACCTGTCCAAATGCAGAACCCTCTGTCCCACTCGTGAACAGGCAGCAGCAATGACAGACTCTGTGAGGCCTGAGAATAAACAGAGACAGCACGCATTGTCACGGACTGCCATTAAATCCTCCAGAGCACTCTCCTCCCTGACCTCTCTCCAAATGAAATGTTTCATTCAATTTCTGAATTGCTTCGTGTTTCAACATCAAGTCACCAGCACGCTATAGCAGGCCAATGCTCTGACAATTACACTTCCACAATCATAAAAAGTATTACTGGCCACTTGAGTTCCATTCAACACAACTGTGGTAAAAATAGCCTGAGGATAACTATAATAAAACATATGGAAACACAAGGTATATAGGTTATAATAAAGTTAGTTACTTAAAGGGGAATGGTCACATACATATAGTCAATATGTAATTGCTATGGATTTGTTAATGTATTAAACTAGTGGTTTCTCTCCCAGCTTTACTAAACCCACAAACTGCATCTAGTACAGGGCTTGACTCATAAAGGAGTTCAATTGGAGCTAAAGGAGCTAAAATGACCTAGAGCAGAAAAAATGCTCAATAAAGTTAAAATGAACCGTAGATTAACAGTTAAAGAATCACTTGAACCATTCAATGTATCTGTTCATGAGTCTACCATACAAATAGGCACAATTCTCCAGAAAAAAAAAAAACAAAAACAAAGAAAACATTGCTGCAGGCCTTGCCAGAGAGCATCCTGATACTTCAGATCGCTAGTGAAATAAAAAATTGTAGACTAGGGTTGAATTGTTTGGAAAAAAACTCACTGGTTGGTAAGTATGTTTTTTCAATTTAACCCCAATTTCATTAACATGTTTGGCGCAAAAAGGGGATTGCATCATCTGAATCACTGCACCAACATGCAAACATCATCCTAACAGTGAATTATGATGGAGGAAGCATTATAATTTACTTTATTGCCTCTGAGTCTGTATCGACTGCCATCATCTAGGGAAAAATTAATTCCCAAGCTTATCAAGTTATCCTACAAAATCATGTCAGAAACGCAAGCTATTTATTTCCTACTTTTTAGGGAACTTGCTTTTTACATTAAAACTAAAATTTGAACTTTTTCATAAGATGTTTTCATTTCAAGCGATGTGAGCTTTCATTTTAATTGTTTGAAATATTTAATAAATAACCATAAATACACTCTTAAAAAAGATGGCGCTTCAGGGATTCTTTAGTAAAGAAATTGGTTCTATATAGAACCTTTTTGCATGATTAAAAAGGTTCTTTGCATCATGAATAGGTTCTTCAGATTGATGGAGAATGTGCTGTAGATGGTTCTATATAGAAGCGCTTTGAAAATTCTTCTATTGTTACGGTGTCAAGCTTGTAACAAGCTGAAGAACCCTTCTGGGTGCTATATAGAACCCTTTTTAAAAATGTTCTATATAGAACCGTCTATAGCACATTCATGCACATTTTCCATCAAGCCGAAGAACCCTTTCATGATGCAAAAAACCCTTTAATCATGCAAAAGGTTTGTTGACCGTTCGTTGTTTTATATAGAACCATTTTCTTTACTTAAACCCTTAAAGCACCATCTTTAAGAGTGTAGTTCATCTGTGCGCATTTCCTTCAATTATTTTAAAATAAAGATTTACACTCTCACTTTCATTAGAAAAAATATCCCAGCTTTAATAATTGAGCACATTTACAGTTTTGACAAACCTTGTCATAGAACTATTATACTAGTATAGAACTGCTATACTACTACAAAAAAAAGTTCAGTAACTGTAATCGAGGTAAAATGTTCAATTAATTGTGATATTGATTTGAGGTCATATCACCCAGCACTATGAGTAAGTATATTTTGCTACTCTAAAACAAAAGTGCCTGAAAATATATTTCTCTGACATGTTTTTGAATAAAATCTTGGCACATCATCCACTTAGGAGAAAATGCCTTGTGTATGAATCCTTATCAGCATACAAGATGACTCTTCTAGTATGTTATGTCATTAGCTTATTTAAAGAGGCAGCTTCCTTTATTCATCCAATACAGAAACTTATCAATGTCCCTTGGCTCTTTTTGAAGAAATGGTCAGGTGTATTCTTCTGCATGCAGCTGCGTTGTTTGTGCAACACTACTGCTGACACCTAAAAAGGTAAGCCTACAGCCCTACGTTATTACCTGCCAAAGTTCATTTTTTTGCTGTTGTTTTTCCTTCCCTATGGTTTACTGGATATCTGTTCTATCGGACTGTGATTACTTTCGATTTTACTTTCGAAATTGATCATTTTTACTGTATTAGTTCATGTCCCTGGTCAAATTAAGCAGGATTCATCACATCATTAGAAAGATAATATTCTTGCTTTTCTGTAATCTTTGATCGAACAGCAGTGATTTTTGTATGCCTTAAAAATGTCTTACAAGTTCTGATTATATCACCATGCACCAGTGGGTGGGGAAAAATAATATTAAAAAATAATATCATTTTCACCATTCCTCGTCCAACGCCCCCACTTATGACTGTGCAAAAGCAATCAGTAAACTCAGAGACATTCCTTATAATGTCACTTGAAAATGTCACAGTACAGAAGATAAATTTCCAATATATATTGACTTTAAACTAATGACAAACTACTTTTAACACTATTTAACAATTAGCAAATGCATTCAGAGTGTTTGGTATATTTACTATTTCACATACTAAGTTAATACTCCAGTTTAGATACTGTAAAAAGTAGTAGTAAAAGGGTATATGGAATGTGTGGGGTCCAAGAGAGCAAGACTGAACAGCACTAGAGTTGAAAACAACTCCATTAAGTCGCTGAAGCGTGCCTGTCCTTCCATCTTTCTTCTTCCTCATCTGGCCTTGCACCGTCCCATCTCGCACACACAATGGAAAAGTGATTTATTCCGAGCAGACCTAGCGGCCCACCGCATCTTCCTCGGCCCTGGCCATTTAACTGATGGAGAATCCTCTCCACCGGCAGGTTATAGCCTGCCAGACAACCACCATTTCGCACAGGGCTGAACAGCTACATCTGGTATGTGAAGAAAAACAGTGATTTTGCTTTGCATTTTGCTTCTGACTACTACTATTAACAGTTGCAAACTGTGGGAAGCAAGGATGAGCTGTGATGTTAAACTATTACATCAGAACTAAACTATTTGAACTTCTTTGAAAAGTTAGGGCTATTAATAAATGTTCAACTGCCATAAGAAAGAGCATAAATGCTGCATGGGATAATTATAAAAACTATATACGGGCATATCTTTAAAAAACTGTCTTGAAGACACCCTTGCCTTTCATTTTGCTTCAGCAAGATCCAAACTTCAAGCATTCTGTAAGACAACCTTCATGTCTATTCATTTGCCCTTTCAAATTGGAAGCACCTGAACGACCTACTTGCTGGAAAAGCAATAGGCTGGGCTGCTTCTGTCTGCCGAGACAATACTAAAGATGTTTTAAAAAGTGTAAATAACCTCTTGCCGCCATCTTTTAATGCCATTTATCCTATCCTGTATCGATTTTTCCACATCATGTTTGCTAAAGACAAACATTACCTGCCATAAAGCACTGGTGCCACATAGACATGCTTGCCGATAAATAATAGATTGGGGCCAGCAGGACTTTGATGACTGAGCAAAGCCCGAAATGCTTTCAGCAGGAATTGTATGAAATCATAAATCACTCCTCATTTCAGAGAACATTCCAAAATGGATTCTATCTCTGCACCTAAAAGTCATTTTGTGTTTTATTTATAGTCAGTGCTGAAAGAGAGAAAGGGAGAAAGAGAGAGAGAGAAGCATGGGAAGCCACTTCCCTCACACTCCTCCTCTTTTTGTCAGCCGTCCCCCTATCCATCTCCCTCTCACACACAGTCAGCAGTCTCTTCAATTCCTTTCCTCAGATTTGTGGGTGGCAGAGGTCAGCTGTAGAAGATCCTCAAATGAAATCACGATCAAGAAGAGCAGAATAGATTCAGCAACATTTCAGAGCTCAATCCAAGTTACACCTGCTTAACAAATTCTAAAAGTTATCTAGACACATACAGGTCAACATCCTGGTTTATCTTGAACAAATGCATGTAAAGCCTTCACTATCTGCACTGTTCAGAGAGTGTGCCGGTTTGCAAGCTATCAAGCAAGCAACGCTCTAAAGCTCCAAGGACTATTAGAAATAAGTCACCTTAAAAAGAGCACGGCAAAGAGCAGCCTATATATGACTATATTCCATAATCATATGATCGCTAATAGAGGCTATTCAAGCCACAGGCGCTAGAGGTCTGTCCAAGATGAATAGTTACATTAACCTGACTGCAGAGCATGGCCTAGTGAAACGGCTGGCTTGTTTTCGCCACTGCAGCTCTATTAGCAGTAAGGGAGAATACAGCTCTCTTCATGAGAAACTCTAATTGTGCGTCCTAGTCACGGCTGTGTCAAGCAAATCAACAGCTGGCCAGTAACAGCTTCCCACTCCAAACAGGTTCTGTTGCATGAAACTTCTATATACTCCATCGCTCCTTCAGACAGTGAATTTACCAGGTTCAGCCACAAAAGGCATGGGGTTATAAACAAGCAATATAACTCAACAACGTTGAGCTATGACCTATATTTGTGTAAAACTGGAGTTGTGTTACGTGAAAGTCACTAATATCCGCATTATCACCAAGAGTGCATCGACGACTCATCCAGTAGGTCCAAAAGAACCCAGATTAACATCTAAAGAACTGCAGGCTTCACTTGCCTCATTTAAGGTAAGCTTCTGTCATTTGTTCTTTAGTGCGGTAGTGTACACTTACGTCACATGGTATCAGCAGGTATTGGATGTTGGCATTGGTGATTTTTATGAGTATGAGTACGAGTAAATGAGCATGGTATCAGTCCAATACCAGCATCGGTATTGATGCATATTTAAACAATCTACATTTTTGCTCAATTTCAACTGTGGACTATTTAGGAGACCCTGAGAACCGGTCTGAGAACCCCTCTCTTCCACATCAGTAGGTCCTTAAAAATACCAAGCTCAATCTAGAAAATCTGATGAAGGTGTTATATAGTTGTATCTGCAGGAAACACCCACAAACAGAGTTAAATACTTCTGTTTTAAACATACATTATTTAAACATAGTGAGTGGCAATAATTCTTTAAAAAAAGAGCACTATCACAAATTGTAGGTAGGGCAACTGATCGAAAGCAGCACATTCAGATGCAGTGCCACCTTGGCCAAAAAGTGACTATTAACTGAAACATTTGGCTTGCGATCTGCCCAAACACAAACTCTTCCACAATTAAACACACAGGCAGTGCTGTGGGGGAGCATTCATCTCAGAAAAACTTGGTTACAGAAACCTTGACTAATTGTTACCTATCCAACATAGTCTCATTCATTTCCAGTCTATTCGATTACATAATGTAGCCTATCAACAACCGACTGGTAGCCCTTAGGCAAATGTACAACATATGTTTAAATGGGTTTGGTTTGCCTCAGGATTTCTGAATGTGGAGACATTAAGCAGGTTTTTAACACTGAGCAGCTGTGTTTTGATGAAAGCCTTTGGTCCAAGAGACCCAAATGGGCTCCAGGTTCCTTCAAGCTACACACAAAATAAATGTCATATACATACAATTCTGAAAAACACTTTTTCTGGCCCTGGTTGTGCTTGGCATTAAAGGGCCTCCTGTCCTGGATGCTGTTCATAAATGCATTTAAAAGACAATTATAACCACGTTTTTAATTGGAATGTGTTAGGACAGTGGTCACCAACCCTCTTCCTGAAGACTTTTCTGCAGTTTAGTTCCAACCTGCAACATGCTCACCTAATACTGATACATCTAATCCAGCCAATCAAGGACTTATTAACTTCTTCATAAGCTTGAGCAGATGTGAAAGATTGTGGTTTCAACTAGACTCAACTCAGGGTTGGTGACCACTATATTCTAAGATCGAGCTGTCCAGAGCTCAAGGTAGTCAAGCATGCACTGTGTTTGGATCTGTGCATAATCTAAACCAGGGATTCTCAAAAATTCATGAGTCACAAGTTTTCAAATAGTAAATCAAGTTAGATTTTCATTAGATCTGAAATACGCAAATTTTCTTCTATCATTATACATTCTTATATTAAAGGACAGGTACAAAGCACAGCTATAGCACATAGGAAGCATTGTAGAAAAACAGCAATAAAAAAGAAGCTCAAGTTCATTTTACATTCCACTCCTAAATGTTCAACTTAAAGTTTTCATGTTTTATATCAGTTAATTAGCTCTTCACAATCTCAATCTAAAAGGCATGAGGTGAAATAAGCTTTGATGTGACTAAGCTAGCAACTCTACTTTAGGTGTAAATAAATGATTAACATTAGTTTATTTAACTTAAAGACTTAGGTTTGACACCTTTCTTGGTACAAATGTCAAACCACATTTACTAATGGGAACGGTGGTCTGGTGGTGATATTCATTATTTTTCATGTACATGCCTGCCGATGCCGATGCTGATAAACAAACATTTATAAAACATAGAAATTAAGACAACATTCACCTTTATTGGCATAATATAACTACAACATTTATTTCTGTACAGTTTCAAATGCAGTAAAATGAACAAAATGCAGACATTTTAGCACAGTAGCCCAGTGTCACCTTAACATTCTGCTCTTCTCGAAAACTGTAAATCTCAAATATCTGTCAATAATCTCCAAATATCTGTTCAAAATATCCATCAAACTTAAACATCTCCTGGACGTCTATATTTTTAAGCAAGTATCTGCTGATACCAATATGGTTCCGATATCATTGTGCATCCCTAAAATGTGAATACGCACAGTCCGGGATCATGGGATTTTCATTCACGACTTTCTATACTGTTCCTGCTTCTCTCATGTAACAAGTTATTTTAGCCTTATGTACTTAAAGCTAGGCTTAAAAATGCAAAAGTGGAATGCTGCTCAGCACCTGTGAAGAACACCATACAAAAATCCCATCACACCTGGCTGCAGTGAGATTTGAAAGGAGACCTGTTCTGTGCTCTGCCTGGATTGGATGAAGATCTGATCATCACGATCAGATCTTAGTGACTGGATGTCAATGCCAAGTGTAAACAGAGACAATCACTCATTAATTATCTCAGTGTCTCACTAAAAATGTTCCAAATCTAAAGATCCAAAATTCAGTATTTAGTGTTATTTCCTCTGTGGGCTTCCTAGAAATCAAGGCATTCACAGAAACAGTCTTAGATCCTTAGTCTGTGCGCATCAACACCCTTGAGATTCTCAGGTCAGATGTGGGCATGTACAGCAACCGACAGGGCGCAACCAACAGGAACACAGCCTTTCATGCCATTAAAGGGTCTACCAGATGTCATCAGTGCAGCACCATATTGATTAACAACTGCTCCCTGTCCATAGTCTCATTTGCACCGGTATGCAGCAGCAAAAAAGAGGCAGGGGCAACTGGGGAACGTGGGACAAACACGCTTGTCTGAGCAACCTTGACACGGAACAGTGTCTGAGCAGAAATAGCCCAGGTTGCACATGTCCCTGTGTCACTAGCAGCCTAGGGACCAGCTGGCTCTGGTGGTTTTGCATGAGAGGAACCAGAAGTGGGCCACAGATATTCAATTGCGCACCATCAATCACAACACGAGGATGTCGCTCTTAGCGATAGCAGTAGGTTTCCTTTTTTCCCCTCTTTTCTCTCCCATCCTCCACACTATAGCAAAAAAACAAGGCATTCAGCACTAAGAAGCAGCTTTATCTCTTTCCGACTCCAGTACTGTCCTCAGGAACTGGCCTGCATATGAGTGTACCCATGTGCCTCGAATCAGGACACTACAAAAAATGAGGACAGCAACATCAGAAGGGCCCCACTACTTTGGTGGACACATCTTATAAAGAGGGAGCATAATAACCTACATTTTAGGCTACATCCAAAACAAAGTGGTGAAACAGGTCATAGAAGCAAAGTCAATGTCACTTGTCTTTTCTTTATGACTATCGTATGTACTTTAATACTATACTACTATGTGATTCAGAGACTGGTTCATGTGGAATATGGCTTTGAAAATACGTACAAAGTAGGCTATGCTCTTAGGCAGTGAAAACTAAATTAAACTGGATCTGGTCAAGATGAGTTAAAGTTGTGAACTAAACCAATGGCTGGACAGCACTGCAACTGAATAATTAACCTAATATTTGGAAGCTACCAAGAGCAAAAACAAATTAATTAATTAAAAAAACAAGCTTAGTTATGACCCAAAGATAGGCAATCTTTACACAGTTGGGCTGGAGCAACAATGTCTAAGTTTGCTAAAAAGGCTGAACTGAACCCAAAACTCATGTAAGTGTGCAGATATAATATCCTCTGCCCTCTTGTTTCATTATTAATAAATTGTACCATAAAAATATACAGGAAAACGACTGCAAAATCCAGAAATACTCAAAGACTGTATGGCTAGTATAGAGAACCAGAATACTAGTAAATTGTACTCATGAGGGTGATTTCTAAAGTAACAAAATCAGTTTTAAAGTAAGCTCAATAAATGGCAATATTTAACCACTGTGAAAACAAAGATACAGGCTATATTTTTTTTTTTTATGATTTATGGAAAAGTCTCATTCTTTGAGGCTTGCCTCTTTAATCATGATACTTATTAAAATGATGACAACAACTGGCTAGCAAGCATCTAAGTCATAAAGTTAAAAATATAGACAAACACATATGGAGGCAGTTGTTGATCATTGGGACCTATGACCATGTAACTGCAAATTCAGGCTACAGACAGAAAAGCACTAGAGACGTTGAGTAGATAGAAACACAAAGATGACAAAGAAGCACAGAACACACCATAAATGTAATTCTGTGACATACAATAAACACTATGAAACATATTCGGCCCAAAATACCTAAGCTTCATAATTCAGGACGTACACTATTATTTCAAGGTTAGGCTATTTATTACATGCCCGAGTGGATCTAATTTATTGGCTGCATTCGTGAAATGGATAGGTAACAAAACGCTGTGGAATCACGCACATTGGGACAAGAATGCCACAGAAACGCTAATAATGGAGACATGCAAGTCTGTCTGTCTGTCTGTCTGTCTATCTATCCACCTGTCCATCTACCTAAGGTGGCTAACCTAGCTAGTTATCTAAAAAGCAAGATGAACACGTACTAGGAGAAACCAGCTAACGTTAGCCAACTTGACATAATGCGTAATTCTTCGATTTGTTTACAAAGTAGACAACGTAACCTTTGTCCGATATCGTTTTAATATTAGCTACAGATGTCAGAGATGCAATAGTTGCATATCTTTTTAAATGACCTAAAGATTAACGTTTGTGATATTCTACAACATCGTTAGTCATTAGCTTGCTGAACAACGCTAGCTTGCAGCAGCTGCTTCTGTCCATGCTCACAGCATACGATTTCTGTTCATGGCTGCCCCTGTATTTCCCTGGACTCATACATATATGTTTATGGACAAACACAACGACCAATATATTCGTGGTAGAATCTTCTTACCTGTACCGAGTATGACAACATCAAATTCGGATGGGAGGTTGTCGGCAGCCATCTTGAATCTACAACCGTCATGTGACATAACATATGGTGACGTGTACACGACGAGGAGGCTTAAAACGACCAAAACGAATTGTGCACGTTTGTATCATGAATATGCTTTTTTTTTTTTAATTATCTGACTGATCCTATGGTTATTTGTCTAGTCACAGAATGCCACTACATTTCTTCTAAACGGTTTATTTGTTCATTTGATGACAGTCTGCTGGAAATATCTCATCGCATGTTACTGCATCACACCCATTCTGAGGTAAATTAAGTTTGCTTTTATTTCGTTTGAAAACGTTATGTTAGAACTTTAATTATGTAAAGTGGTATTATTTTTACTAGTTAATTTTGAACAATAATACAACACCTTTATATGGTGGGAAAAAAAAATCAAAATCAGACACAGAAGTCCTTTTGTAATTATTGCATTTTGTGGGTAAATTTGGGATTCATTGATTTTGATTTATTTAATTTCCAGTGAAAACATCCATTAATATTTCTGAGAAGTATTAATAATAATAAGAGAAATTTTTAACTAGTGGAGTGTTTTATTAACTGATGAACATAAATTTGAGATCTTTGGAAGTAACAGTCACAGGGTTGGCCATATCGTGGCCACGTAACAAAAATAATTAAAATTTAATGCAAAAGTTAACGCAAGATTCTCACAAGGTCAACTTCTCATATTTAGAACTGTAAATGTCACATAAGCTGAAAAACATTGTCAGTGTACAAACTTTAAACTAATTTTTTCCACTGCATTAGTGACATAACTGCATTTATTCTGGCAATATTTCAATAACAATTTCATGCCCCATCAGTGGTTCCTTAACTCCTCGAATATATACAGATTTTTTTATGGACTTTATAAACTTTCACAGATAGTTACACTCACCCACTCTTGAGGGTCTTTCACTGTCTACATCTTCATTCTCATCATCACTAGCCAAGCTTTGATTTCTGAGATTTTTCCACTGTCAGTTAACTGAAGCACATCAAATGCTGTGTACTCTGTAGAAAAAATATTTTTCATCTTACCATACACTGCATTTAATGCATTATTTGTCTATATACACTGTGATTGCAGAGTAAAATTTTAGCAGCAGCACTAAAAACTAGCCTGAACAATATACATCAAGACCCACTGTCCACTGTAACAGTTTAACACTGTTATTTTTAGTGATATCTAATGTTTTATTTCACAATCCATCCCTAAACAGTAAAATAAACTCATAATATAATGAAAAAGTGTTCTAAATAGGATAAAATTAGTTAAAATGAGCCCTTACTCTGCCTCCTTGGCTGGAGCGCTGCCATGCCTTACTTCAGCGTGCTGATTTCTTTTTCCAGTGCAGTGCGTGGGGCTAAGCTGCTGTTTGATTGGCTGGTAAACGTCTATTCTGATAGACAACAGGTCACAATTAGTGTTATGTGCAGCAAAACATAAAAAAAGAAGAAAACACATGATGTCCATTGCAATGGATGCAGGGTCTGAAAAGGTTAAAAAAGTTGCTCCTGCACCCATACATGTCTAATAAACAGCCTTTTGGGATTCAGCCATGCGTGCACAATTCTATACTGGGCAAACAGTGCACTATTTTGGTGTAGAAGCCAGAACTTAGTGCACTACATAGGAAGTAGGGGACTGTTCGAGATTCAGCCATTGACAAACTTGTGCCACATTGTGCGCTGAAGCTAAAGAACAGGCGTTCTACAGACAGTTCTATGAAGACTCACAAATCACTAAATAAATAAATAAATATTTATTATGAATGTGAAGAAATAAATATTTATTCATACCTTGCAATTCAACAAGTCAAACGAAGCAAAGTCGGCATATATAGACATGCTGCAAATGTTGACTTGTTTGACTCTGTGTAGGAGCAGTGGTTGTGATTGTGTGTGGTTTTGGGTGTGACTTTGAGAAAACAGTTTTTGAGGCTAGTCAGACTGTGAGACAAGTGACCAAAATTTCTGACATGTCAGAAATCCATCCAGTTGTCCGACTGCTCAGTCGAAGCTCGTTTGGGCAGTTAATCACACACATTTCCCCTCTCACACTGCTCACACTGACGAAATCGGCCTAAAATCACAATGTATGCCTCGCTTAATGGGTGACGCCAAGCGGACGCCATTGATCATCCACATCGCGGCCACATTGCGGCCACTTTTATTAACGGCTGCCTTTTGAAGTGAATTTGTACATACAATTACATACAATTGAAAAATATAATTACATACAAATAAATGCATTTTAAATATAGATTTAAGAAATATGTTTTGGCCATGTTCATATATTGCAAATATATATTTCAGAAATATATTTGAAATATATATATTTTCTCCTTATGGGAGACAAATCTTAATATTGCTGTAACTCCCTGATAGGCTAATGTCTGTTTCTGTTTAACACTACTCACACTCTAATTAAAATAAGCTGAACTAGACAACACATTTTGTTAAACTTGACAAGCAAGGATAATTAAACATTGATAGTCTGTTTTGTAGGCTTATTGCGAATCAATGGGTATTTTGTATTTAAATAATAATAAAGGACAAACTTAAAATGTGTATGGAAATAATATAGAAAGAATTCAGTTTTGTTGTAGAAATTACAAGAATAAGTATTTAATCGTGTAAGGAACATTTCACCTTTTAGATGCTTGCAGTCCCTGTCTTATAAAATAAGAGTCCAAGTTTTTGGAATTTCCTTTACTACTTTCTTTCTTCTTTTGCTGTAATTGTTTTGGTAATAATTTGGTGAAAATTATTTACTACATTTATTAAAATTAATAAAACATGAACATTAACATTATTAAGACCTCATGTTTATTCTATCTATTTTTTTTTACTTTTTAATTTCTTTTACTTTTTTTCTTGTTTAAATCTTTGGATTTATTAATTTGTCAATTACTCAATACACTTGTATGTAGTTAATATTTATTATTTCATCTAAAATTTAATTTTTAAGAACTACAACGCAAATTCAACATTTCTTTACACACCAATCTACCAAACTTCTCAGGTGGCAGAGCAGTTCTGTGAACAGGACAGAACAAATGCACCTGAAAAAAGCAGAAGCACTTCAAAAAAATATATATTAATAGTACTGGATAATTCACTGATGAGACGATGGAAAAAGGGAAAAAAATCCAAAAAAATAAAAAAAAATCTTCCCATCAACCAAACAACCATGACAAGACTAAGTAAAATTAAAATGCCACATTGCTAAATATTCTCTTTACAAAACCAAAATAACACAGCTAACATAATTGCACTGCGTTTTAATAAGGTGAGATTAATTGACGTGTGATGGGTTAATATTTACTTTTGACATTTTTTTACCTATTCGTTAAAAAGTTGTAGAAAAAAGCTAATAAAAGTGGCCGCGATGTGGCTGCTCAATGGCGTTCGCTAATAAAAGTGGCCGCGATGCGGATGATCAATGGCGTCCACTAATAAAAGTGGCCGTGATGTGGATGATCAATGACGTCCGCTAAATAAAAGTGGCCGCAATGTGGATGATCAATGGCATCCGCTAATAAAAGTGGCCGCGAAGTAGCCGCGATGTGGATAATCAATGGCGTCCGCTAATAAAAGTGGCCACGAAGTAGCCGCGATGTGGATGATCAATGGCGTCCGGTAATGAAAGTGGCAGCAATGTGCATGATCAATGACGTCCGCTAATGAAAGTGGCCGTGATGTGGAAGATCAACGGCGGCTGCTTATAAAAGTGGCCGCGATGTGGCTGCTCAATGGCGGCCACTTATGAAAGTGTCTGCGATGTGGCTGCACAATGGCATCGGCTTATAAAAGTGGCCGCGATGTGGCTGCTCAATGGCAGCCGCTTATGAAAGTGTCTGGGATGTGGCTGCTCAAGGGCGTCCATTTATGAAAGTGGCCGCAATGTGGCTGCTTAATGGCATCCGCTTATAAAAGTGGCCGCGATGTGGCTGCTCAACGGTGGCCAATTATAAAAGTGGCCGCGACGTGGCTGCTCAAGGGCGTCCACTTATGAAAGTGGCCGTGATGTGGCTGCTCAATGGCATCTGCTTATAAAAGTGGCCGCGAAGTGCCCGTGATGTGGATGATCAATGGCGGCCGCTTATAAAAGTGGCCGCAATGTGGATAATCAATGGCGTCCGCTTATAAAAGTGTCCCGATGTGGCTGCTCAATGGCAGCCGCTTATAAAAGTGGCCGCGATGTGGCTGCTCAATGTCGTCCGCTAATAAAAGTGCCCGCGTTGTGGCAGCTCAATGGCGTCTGCTAATAAAAGTGCCTGCGATGTGGATGATCAGTGTCGTCCGCGATGTGGATGATCAATGACGTCCGCTAATAAAAGTGGCCGCGATGTGGCAGCTCAATGGCGTCCGCTATTAAAAGTGCCTGCGATGTGGATGATCATTGGCGGCCGCTTATAAAAGTGGCCGCGAAGTGCCCGCGATGTGGATGATCAATGGCTGCTCAATGGCATCCACTAATAAAAGTGCCCGCGATGTGGCAGCTCAATGGCATCTGCTAATAAAAGTGCCTGCGATGTGGATGATTATTGGCGTCCACTATGTGGATGATCAATGGCGTCCGCTAATGAAAGTGGTGCGTTTTGGATGATCAATGACGTCCACTAATGAAAGTGTCCGCGATGTGGCTGCTCAATGGCGTCCGCTTATTAAACTTGCCTCAATGTGGCTGCTCAATGGCGGCCGCTTATAAAAGTGGCCGCGATGTGGCTGCTCAATGGCATCTGCTTATGAAAGTGGCCGCGATGTGGCTGCTCAATGATGGCCACTAATAAAATTGGCCGCGATGTGGCTGCTCAATGGCATCTGCTAATAAAAGTGCGTGCGATGTGGATGATCATTGGCGGCCGCTTATAAAAGTAGCCGCGAAGTGCCCGTGATGTGGATGATCAATGGCATCCGCTTATAAAAGTGGCCGCGACGTGAAAAATGGCCGGGAAGTGGCCGCAATGTGGATGATCAATGGCGGCCGCTTATAAAAGTGGCCGCGATGTGGATGATCAATGG